ATTTCTTTTATTTTTTCATTTATACCCGGGTGAATTTCGTTCCACGGCCATTTATTATAAAATCTCGATCGGAGCTTCTTGGCGCTTCGTGCGCGCGCACTATCTCACGCTCGTTTTACTCGATATTACAGCTATACGCGTTGCACGCACCGCACTGCACTATATACACTATGAGAGAAGCAGTTCACGCGGGGCAAAAGAAAAACTTAAAAACACGACGACGACGAGGACGTAGCGTCGCGTCTATAACGAGTTCTCATCGCTCTCTAAAGAAGCTGAGGCGATGATGCGTCGCCAGCTCGCGCGTACACACACACACACACACAGATACACATAAGTAGCCTAGCTCGAACGCACGACGCACGCGTGTCTATAACCAGTCGCGCTGCAGCAGCAGCAGCAGTCCCAATGATAGTTATTTTCTTGCGTAACTGCAAACGCAACCTGCACACTCACACACACAGGCATAGAGAACGAGCGAAAACAGCTTATAACTACTTCCGTCGTCACCTGTGTGAATAATGTGCCGCATCGGTTGCTTTAATATTTTTCCGAAGAATCGCTTCTTATATACATTATTTTTCTACACTGCTACGGGCGCACACGCACATCCATCTAGATCGGCCGCGCGCGCGCGTAAAAGCGTGCGAAAGCTTTAACGTATACGGCGCAATTAATCTTTCACCTCGCGCGTCGCGCGATATAGTAGCTGCGGCTGATGTCCGCGTATACGTACACACGCGCGTATTAGCAATGCGCGCCACGATTAGAGAGCGAGCGAAAGAGCGAGCGAAGCGATCGATCGACGCGAGGGTGGAAATGGCGTGAAAGAAGGAAAGAAGAAAAAAAGAATTCCCCGGCACCCGCATCGTTAGCGATTCTTTGGCGTATAAATATAATGTATAAAGAGGAGATTTTTCCGCGCGGGAAATCCCCGGGTTGAAGCGTGCTGGTATCGGCGGTTGGGCGCGTTTGGAAAATTGATTTCCTCATTCCATCGATTCACCCATTATACGGCGATGCGCTCGCATACGTATGTACACATAATCTATGCGCGTTGGTTTTCTCTCTCTCTCTCTCTCTCTCTCTCTCTCTCTCCCTTTCTCGTCCTTTTCGCTGATCGCTTGTACTCTTCTTTTGCCGAGGTCGTCTCGGGTGCCTCGTATTATATACGTATAAAAGTCAAATAGCCTGCTCGACTCAGCCGCGACTGTCATTTCTTCGCATAAATGCATTACATCTAGAGCTTGCGCCTTTACCGTGAGGTAGTAGTTTGCATACGATACCGATTTATATATGGCATCGTACATGGTTATATGCGTGCACTAAACTGTTGTGCGCTATGCAGGAAGGATTCGCTTAAATTATCGATTTTTCGACCTTCGGAAATATAGTCCTATTATTTTATGTGTGTTTTATATACGTATGCGGGGAGGGCATAAAGTCGAAGCCCGGCGAATAACTGTAATATCGTTAATCTACGTCCTTATTACATTCTCTTTCTCTCCTTCTTTCTCCATCTCTCTTTTTCTCTCTCTTTCTCTCTCTAGCGCAGTTCAACTAATTCCGAAAGGTAGCTCCTTATTACGTTAACGGTTCCTTTTTATCCATAACATAAGACAATCGCGCGCGCGCCGGCTATATCGGCTCTAGCTTCGAAGCTCGTTCCGCTTATTGTTAATAGATTACGCGCTTTGGTCATTAAACTCTCTCTCTTAACTCCGGCAGCGGCCACGAATGGATTTCCTCGCGCGCGCAGATGAGCCAGTCGCAGCACGTCCGACTGACCAATGTGAGCTTATATATATGGACGAGAGATGTATATCTCGGCGCAGTGCACAGCGACAAACAATGAGAATTACGCGTGTACGCGTATGTTTATTAGCGCAAGGACGAAAGTTAAAAAGAAAAAAAAGCAACAAGAGCGAAATAAGGAAAATCAGTCAATTAAAAAAGATAAACTGTTATACACAAGCAGTGTTTATGAAGGTACATTACGTTATATCCTGCAGATGTGTCAACTGCTATATAGTGCAGCGCAGCGCAGCCCGCGGATATAAACTCTCTCGAGCGCGCGCGTCTTTGAAATCAACGTTATACGCGCTACGTGCACCGGTGCCCGATTCGAGATAACATCGCGCTCGCGCGCGCGTATTATAACGTAGCGCTTGTTTTCTCTCGCACTGTTTCGGATAAAAATAAAACACGCGTAAATATATGCCAAGGGACATGTATACGCGAGAGAGCGATTTTCGCACCGCGAAAACGTTTCTTCCTTTTTATTTTTTGGCAAGCAAGCGGAAAAAGAGAGCAACTCGATAAATCACGCACGAGCTGCTGCCGCTGCTGCGTGTGTGACGCGACGACGACGACGACGAGAAAGAGGTGCTGATGAATGAATTTGTCCTGCTAAGAAGTGGTCGATTTTTCCCATGTGCAGCTCGTGTGCATGTATTAAAGTGCAGTACACACATACCACGTTATGTACATACAGCAACGTACGTGTATACACGTATATCAAACATACTCTTGCGCGCATATCTCGCTGCGCGCGCGCGAACCTGTTAGCCTATATTGTTCTAGAAAATATTTCATACATAGCCGCGTGCAGTACAGACTGCACCGCTCGACGTTGAGAGCACCCGTTATAGCATCTCTCTTTCTCTCTCTTTCTCCTTTTCTCGCGGTTATAGTCGATTGGCGCGCAGCAGCAGCAGCAGCTCAGCGTGCAGCAGTGCAGTACTTCCACGCGATACGTACACACGCGCCGGGTCTCGTCGAGTCTCTATATATACACATAAGCTATTAATGCTATTATTACGGTTACATTGCCATTGTCGTCGTTCGGAGTCCTAGAGTCGGTATATTATATACATGTACGCAGCGTCGATATGCAGCCGCATGCATCGTGTGTATAACAATGGTCCCCTGTATATACACTGTGTATACCCCATACCTGGAACGCAGCGAAGAGCGTACACGCAATTTTCCTCTAGTTCCGCGAAATTTCGCCGCTGTGCTGCTGCAGCGGAGAGCTAAATAACTTTTCGCTTATGTACATTACGTTGTACGAGAGAGACAAGAGATATATGTAGTACCCGTGGAGCTTGATTTTTGCAAGGCATCGTTAACGAATGCGTCCTTATCGATATGTTTATGTAAATATTATAAACTGCCTGCAGTACATATATAATAGGACCGGTAAATATTACTTTCTCTCTCGTTCCTTATCTTTTTTCGGTTCTCGAACCGGAGCAGCAGCAGCGGCGGCAGCTTTTCCGTTGTTTGTGTAATTGCCGTTGCCTTGGAATGTCCTATTAGACAATGATTTAATAGGATCGCCAAATGTGCACCTTGGCGCAGCACGCACGTACTTACTTACTTACGCGTGTTGCTCGCGCGACATGATACCCGGCCGTCTCTGCGTGCTCGCATGCGTGCATACGACTACTACTACTATTTAACCGCACTCTCTCATGCGAACCGATCTCTCGTGGTATATATGTATTAAAAGTGATTTATGCATTTATATGCGTAAGTGTATAAATGACTCGAATAACGAGTTACCCTCTCTCGCTTTTATTAGACTTATTATTAATTTTTCTCCTCTTTTCTTTCACTTTTTTCGAGCCCGTGAATTATACCCCGAATACCGGTGGCTTTTCCGCATCTGTATATAATATCGCGTCGCGAAAATTACGCTGTGTCGCGCGTGAAAGCGTCTAATTTGTTTTTCGTTTCTTTCCTTTTTTGTATGTACGAAAAAAATACCCAGAGCAGTGCACTTCCGTATGTAATTTATACGGGGATAGCGTGGACGGAGCAGCTCGCATTGTCGTCGTCGTCTGTAAAAGAGAGAAAAAATTAACGATTTTCCACTTTTTTTCCGCGTGCGTGGACGAGCACTTATTATACTTACAACAGCAGCAGCAACAACAACAGCAACAACAAAAAAGAAAAGAAAAAACTTGTTGAGCACCGCACTGTAAAAATGAGAGTGGCGGTGTATGTATACCGCAGGCTCGAGCGAGCGTCTGCGTATGCACGTGCGTGACAGCTATATACGTGCAATAACGCATACGATTATAACATTTATGATTCACGAGCGGCTGTATATATACGGCATTTTTACTTTTACTCTTCTTGTTACTTTTTTTTTTTTTCGTTGTTGTTACTTCGGCCTCATCTCGGGCGCGCGCGCGCTCGAGAAAAGACTTTCGTTCTCACTGTGCGCACTCGGCTGCGCGTAAAATAGAAAATTCAGAGCGCCGCGCGGTATATTCGCTTATACGTGTATACGTATCGCTTGCGAATATAAATAAAAAATTATGGTGATTTCTCCGGGCGTGTTGCTACACGCGTAAGCTCTTATTACGATTGCGTGAAAATCCTAATGCTCCCCGTATACGATACATAAATAATAATTCATTAAAATCATGTAAAAAAAAAAAAAAAATAATGTAAGAAGCGAAAAAGAAATGAAGAAAAAGCGAGCGCGCTGCGCGTCGTTTCTCTTTTCGCGAGAGGAACGCGTTTCGCAACCTTGAGAGATCCTTTTAACCCGAGTCAAAAAACTCATTACTCCGCGTGGAAGGTGCACATACATATATACAGTACACCACGCAGGTTACTGCTATACGTGTGTACTACAATAGGGCTTTGGACATGTTTACGATCTTGGCGCTGGGCGCGCGCGTCTATCTCTTTTTTCGCTCGCGCACATGCATATAATACACACACACACACACACACACACACAACTCCTGCGTTGTGCGCGCGTTCGGCCGATCTTTCTTTCTCCCTTTTGCGCGCGCGCGCATGTGTGTCTGTCTGTGAGAGACGTCGAAAGAGAAAGAGAGAAAAACTTTTTAAAACTTGCGGTGCGCAGGCAGTGCGCACCGCGCTCGTCTCGTCGAAACATAATAATAATCCTTTTTCGTTGTTTTTTTTTGTTTCGTTAACACAGCTCAAGTACAAGAGGCGAGTTTACAAGATGCTTCACCTCGACGAGAAGCAGTTGAAGGCGCTGCACACGAGGACGAATCTGCGCAGGCTACTCGACTACGTGGCCAACAGCCAGGTCGAGAAAATCGCCAAGATGTGTGGCAAGGGCCTCGATCCGAACTTTCACTGTCAGGACACGGGAGGTGAGTTACTACTACACCGTCTACTGTAATATATATAAAACAATCTTTTATTATTCGTCTTCGTTTTTTGTATATCCGCGTCTCACAAAACGTTGGGCTATATAAATTCGCTACCGATAATATTTTTCTCGAAATGAATATTATATTATATATTTGCTCGCTCAACAATAGCCAACGATAAATCATCCCTCTCGCGGGCGCTCGAGCGGCTGCAGGCCGCTGACCCACATCGTAATATACACACGGAGGAACGAAGCGCGAGCTTTTATATAAATGCTGTATATGCGTAAAAATGCGCGCATAATACAGTCACGCGAGAATATAATAAACAAAGATGTGTCAATTTGATGAAAAAATGAGATTATAATGTATCTATGAAGGTGCGGTCATCGGGCGAGCCTAGATGCAGCCAAGCGGATTCGCAGCTGGACCGCTACCCCTTTACGCGAGTTATTTTATACGGTATATAGTATACCAATGTAGGTAGTACAGTTGATGAAGTTTAACTTTCGAAAAAAAGCTTTAGAAAACCCCTCGGGTATATGGAGCAAAGGCGCATTAGCAAAAAAATGTGAAAAAAGCTCAATTTTTTAGTTGAAACGCGTTGAACAGCGTAGAATTTAATGAATTGCAGCTTTAGAAAAAAAAACTATACGCACTACAGGTACTTCGTTTAACGTAGATTCGATTATTTTTTTAATTATGAAAGATTTCTCCTATACGTATAAATGGGCCTCGCGCCGATAAATCCGTGAACGCAGTAAACTTTCCGGAACATTTTTCTTTATACGCGCCGAGTTTAAAAAAAAAACGGCTTTCCCTCTTTCTCTCTCTTTGGGTTATACACTTCGCGTGACCATGATGCGTGTAGTCCGAAAAAAAATCGTTTCTATATGAAGTACCTGTAATCCAATTGAGCTTGAAAAAGAAAAAACGCGCACCACGGTGAAAAGCAATTTTATTTTCATGTTCCACGCGCGCCGAGCCGCCGCTGCGCGAGAAGCTTTCAGGCGCTCGCTCACGCGCACGCACCGATGGGCCGAGAACATTTCCATTTTATATTCGCGCGCGAACGAGCTCGTCCGCTAGGTTGCTCGCGATCGTTCAAAATAAGAGGCCAGACTGCAGTTTGGCCTTTTTTAATTGAAAATTATGGTATAAAAATTTTCGAGCGAAATGTTTTTCGGCTCATACTCGCGGACAATGAACGATCCGTACATGGAAACTTTTGTTCGGCGGTAATGGCTGATATAGCGCGATGATCGATGACCCGCGAGCAAAAATATATTTTCATTGTCGAACGTATATCTCTGTTATTATCGACCCGTGACGTTGAATAATTTATTCATTTTTCTGTCTTTCATCAAAACAGAAACGCCGCTTACCCTGGCGTCGACCCTGAAGAAAGCTTCGAAAGTCATCATAGCCCTGGTGAACGGCGGCGCGCTACTGGACTACCGAACGAAGGACGGCCTAACGGCGATGCATCGCGCCGTCGAGCGCAACAATCTCGAGGCCGTGAAGACGCTGCTCGAGCTCGGCGCCAGTCCCAATTACAAGGACCCCAAGGGCCTGACGCCGCTCTACTACAGCGTCATCTACAAGACCGACCCGATGCTGTGCGAGACGCTCCTCCACGATCACGCCACGATCGGCGCCCAGGATCTGCAGGGCTGGCAGGAGGTTCACCAGGTAAGATCTTCGTCCTGAATCTTTCCGATGCAGTTATTTTTCACCTTTGTCCGCGACGTATGTGTACTTTGGTCGCGTGATAAATGAAAGATAAACGATAATTTAGGACGCATACGTAATTAAATCTCGACAACGGGTTTATCGATTTTTCAACTTATCGATCGAACGATCATCGATCTTACTCTCATTCTCGACACCTGTGTAGGCCTGTCGCAACAATCTCGTGCAGCACTTGGATCACTTGCTGTTCTACGGCGCGGACATGAACGCGCGCAACGCGTCGGGCAACACGCCGCTGCACATCTGCGCGGTGAACAACACCGACTCGTCCTGCATCAGGCAGCTGCTGTTCCGCGGCGCCCAGAAGGACGCCCTGAACTACGCCAATCAGACGCCCTATCAGGTGGCCGTGATCGCCGGCAACATGGAGCTCGCCGACGTCATCAAGAACTACCAGTCCGACGAAGTCGGTAAGTCGATCGTTGGCGATTCGATATGATTTTGTGATTGCACGCGTACATATGCTACATACGATTATTTATCGATAAATACGATTATACTTACACGGACACAAAAATTGTCATCTCGAACAGACACGACTGTAAGAAAAACGTATTTATACACAAAGAAAACATCAGCGTAGATAGTGCGTGGGAGGGTAGGGCGCGCGATCGCGACAAATATATGAATCACGATCGCGGCGTACGGCAATTTCCTAAGGATGTAACTATCGTTGTTATATAGGCCCCGGATCGGAGCGTACTTATATATACGTATACCCGATAAGCCCGCACCGCCGCCGCCGCCGCGTATTATAATGGAATAACTCGCCACGATAAGGAATCATAAGCGTTCGCGCGCGGAACGACGACGACGAGTGATTCATCCGCGTACACAGTCCGATATATAAGTACACACAAATACCGGTACTTTATGAACATCGCGGCGCGGGGCCGGCTTAAAATTGACTCTACATGACTTGTCAATCTAGCAAAACAATATTCGCGTAGCTCTCGAGTCGTGGCTTGTGCATATGCACGCGCGCGCACATCGTGTAACTACGTGCATACATATAAGCACACACACACAGATAATAATAAGTACACAGAGTACTCGAGAACGATAGGTATCGCGCGTAATAAAATAACCGTAACGGCTGCTGCTGCGGCGGCATCGCAGATTTGAAATCTAACGAGTCTGCGCGCGTGTGTGTGTGTGTGTGTGTGCATACGGTCCTCGTCGGGTACCGCGGCGCGTCGTACACAAACATAGCGTACTTTAAAGAGCCGTGCGCGTAAAGCTCGCGGAAGTTACAAACGAGCTGACCGCGACGAGTTGCGCCGATCAATCGCATCGCGTAGGAGGTCTTGCGTATAATACATACACACACGCACACACACACTATGCATACGAACTGATTGTGTATGTGTATAATGCACTCGAGAGAGACTATACGTATACGCAGACAGACGTATACATGCTGCACGTGTGTACCCCATACACACGAGTGTGCAGTGCAAAAGACACAACTGACGATACTGCTATACCTATATACGATGTACGACGCGACTCTACTTATACGTAGTACTGTATGCATGTGTGTAACATACCGCGTGCTCGCATGCCTTATTTATATTAACCAAAAAAAAGAAGACAACATCAACAACGCAAGGCATGAATTTATCTCTCTACTCACTCTCTCTCTTTCGCATACATATTGTATCGTATATATGCGACGCATGTGTAGCGCATATTACGTATAGGTATATTGGTGTATAAGATGCATGTGTTGTGGCATGTGTGTGTGTCTATACGCACACAGAGTTATACATAACCCGGAGAGCAAAAGATTAGATGCTCGTTAGTATATTTATACAGTTAGAAGCACCAACTGTGCCAACGATGTCTGTGTGTGTGCAGTGTGTATGCGATCGTGCGGCGTACGGTATGCACGCGTGATCTATATATGCACGCCATATAATAGCCAATCTTTCTTTCTTTTTCTTCATCTCTCGGTCTCTCTCTCTCTCTCTCTCTCTCTTTCGTTTAAACCGTTTGACTTTGATGGAGTGCGTTTATTATATTATGAGGAGACGTCTCGTGCGCGGGCAGTATTATAATATATACCTGGTGGTGATGGTAATTTGCTTGTAATGTACTTTTCTCAGATATATCTGCGCGCGCGTGTACGTATGTGTGTGTGTGTCTGTCTATCGGGGGAGCAACAGCGGTATATATAACAACATTTACAATGCGCGTATGCGCGCGCCTATTATGTGTGCACAATGATAATGTAGTTCTTGAAACTAGAGAGCAGCCCGTAGTATAGTGTGCTTAGAGAGATATATATCGAAAATTATTATTTCCATTATAATGTTTCGCGTGCATTATACCAGTCGAGGCGGTGGTGATCGACTTAATTGATTGTATTATATCTCGCGCTGGAGTATTGTAGTGGTGGTGTACCGAGCCGTCACATCGACGTCTCTCGTTATAATTTATAATACGCAGCCGAACTTTATCAATAACCAGTAGTTCGATATAGTAAATTTTCTATCCTTTTTTTTGCTGCTTTAACGATGTAGATAATTAGTCAATGTATAACTGTAGATTAAGCGTTGATGTAGTAGTCTCTGTAACCCATCATTGCGGCGATTTTTAACATCACAAAAATTGATGCGTAAGTAATGAAAATAATCAGCGAGTATCAATGTTCGTCTCTCACTTTAACACAGTATTATTTACCAGCAGCATATCGACGTTGTGGCTTCCGAATTGATAATATATTTATTATTAACAGCGTGTCAAGACTTTTCTTTTGAGTTACTCACTTGTAATGATCTCTACTTAGTTCAAATATAGAAGAAAACCGATAACGAGTTTTCCCACTTTATTTGAGTGATATTTTGCATGCGTATAAAATTACTACATATAACACCTGAAACTAATTTGAGCTTCTAAATCGACGCCGCACACGTGTGAGCTTTGGACTAACATAACGATAACTAGATCTTTAACCAACTGCATCTACTATTATAATCGACGTCACGACCAATTTTCAACTACGAAGACTACTCGATATCTAGATTCTCGAAACGGACGACAGAAAAATAGATTCAAATTTAGACTATAAATAAGAAAACAAACAAAAAATTGCGAATTATTCTGACTCTGAGCCCGGATTGATCCAATTTCATGGATTTATGCCAAATGGGCGCCACCACGAAATATTGCAGTTCCGTTCAAGGGCCCGCCACGTTACAATCCAAAGAGACGCTCCGTAGCCTTTCTCAGCCTGTCCACGAGCTGCTCGGCCGGCAATCTCGGCACCCTGAGCAGGCTCGCCTCGCCGTCCGCGGTTGATTACCAGCAGCCGCTCACCCCGTCCTCGCCCATCGGCATGAGCATGATGTCCGCCTCGATGATTTCGTCCTCGTCGACGGGCGGCGCCACCACGGGCGCCTCGTCCTCGGCCTCCTCCTCGTCCTCGTCGGCCAACAATACGCTTACCCGGGGCAGCGATCAGCGCCAGCAGCTGCTCCAAGACTTCCATCATCAGCTGCATCATCAGTCCAATGCCAGCCGCGCGGTGTCGTCGGCCGATGCCTTCCTGGCGGCCGGCCGCGCGGCCTCCACTCCGACCACAGAGCTCGTCGGCGGCCCCAACGCGGGTCCAACGACGGGCCAGCAGCAACAGCTACCGTCCAGTAATAATGTTAATAGTAACGCTAGTAATACAGGAGCCAACAGTGCACAAAATACCAGTACCATCCAGAGAATTCCGTCCGATCATCATCAGCATCATCAGCATCATCATCAGATGCAGCATCAGAGAATTAACAGCTCGGATTATCAGTGTCCCGCGCAGCTCAGGGAACACGCTGCGAGGTAAGCTTAAATAGTCTTTGCCTCTCTCTCCACATCGCGGCGAGACGTATATATTTGTTATTCTTTTTGAAAATGTCAATGATAATGTTCGATTCAATTCCGTATACGTCTCGCCCGTTCGCAGTTATAATTCAGAAATTCGATCACCTAACTTTTGTTTTGTGCTATTCTGCTCACTTTTGTTTTTGATTTTTACATTTTCATTTGTTATTGTTTATCTTTTTACGAGCATTACGTTTGAACATTATTATTAAATCCATTGAATTTCATTCATGCATATATCATCATTATTTTTCATGACAACATTGAGCAGAGGTTCGAATTTCGATTGGCATACAGCAAAATGTAATGAAAGATATTTTTATCGAAACGAATAATGTCATAACAAATGAGTCGATTTTTGATAAAAATATTTTTCATGAAAAAAAAAAAATTAAAATTTTTAACCCTGCGTATACTTCATTTTCTGGACGATCCATTTTCATATTCGTCCATAAAGTGAATGAAAATATTATAATCATCAAATTCATCATCACATCATCATCATCATAATCATTGTTATCCTGTATGTTTATCATCAATCAATCGATTATTTTTCTTTTCCCTCAGAACCATCCTGTATTCCGAACTCACATTTATATCCTCTCATGAAAGCTGCGATTGTGCAAAGACAATTTATGCCTACCACAAGCTAACATTTGCAATTTAGATTCCTAATTAAAAAAAAACGTTCGACACTTATCCACACCTCAATAAGTAGTATTATCTAACATAAGTTACAAAAAAAAAACGAACAAATAAGTAATCGCATACGATCGCGTCGTCCTCGGTTAAATCTCGGCGATCGACACAAACTTTTCAAAGATTACCGAGCTCCAACGAGTCGCACTACGGTCAGGCCCTGAACAGGCTTCACCAGGAACACCGCTATGAGCTACAACAACAGCAGCAGCAACATCATCATCAACAACAACAACAGCACCACCGCTACGACGGTGTGCATCCGGGCGTGGGTGGTCTTAGACCCCTGGAAATGCCACCGTCGCCGTCGCCCAGCAGTCGGAGCCTCGCGCCCTTCAGCTCGGCGAGCTCCAGTCTGTCCGAAGGTAGCAATCAACCGTCCGGTGAAGATTCGGCCAGCATCGTCACAGGTGAGAGAGATTAGTTTTGGCCTTTCTACCGCGCTCCGAACTCCGAAAAATACTCTTTTTTTTTTGTTTTTGTCACACATACCATGGCCTATCTCCCTTGTGTAATCCTTTTTCTGCCTTCGAAAGACCGCATTCCGTCATAACCACTCGTTCCTCGGCATTATGTTTTATTTTATACTGTTTCCACTCTGGCTCGAAGTCAATAATTATATCATCCGGACGACGTTCCGGAAGTGGACGGATATGACAACTCGAACGTTAAGTACTTGACATCACCACCAGGAATCTCTTTCGATTGAAGAGATTGACTGTTTTAATACAAAAAAATAATAATAATCGACTGGGAGGTAGTATATTGTCTTATAGGTGTACTCTGGAGAATGTATATTTATATATTTTAATGTAAATGGTTATGATAGACAGATATCTTATTTTATTACATAGCTTCTTTGCTAATGTCAACTTCACCTACTGACGTATATATAATAGTTTTCAATTATTTTGCTCTATAGACAATTTATGAACGTTACCTGAGTTTGATATATTTATATACTGCTATATGTATTTTACATAAATTTATTATTACATAATCTTAATATATATATTATCAATGATCATTTAGATGTCATGGGTTTGTTTCTAGATTTAGATGTTACATAGTATATTTTATTCTATCAAATACAATCATATAAGAAATAACGCATTTCTCATACTGTCAAATATACTCATAATGCCATGCTCTATAAACACAATCGATAAAAGTTTGTTGTATCTACATTTAATCTTAAAAAATAATCTTAAACCATGTTACATGGAAAACTTTTGCATGAAAATGAGAGATTGAAAAGAGAAAAAATGCAAACGTCATTTTCATCATTTACGGAGTATACTGACCTCAAGACAAAAACGACATTATAAAATACAGTTTACAAAAAATAATACTAAGCACACGACACAACGCACTGAAAGACATAACACACACGTCTTACATTTCTCATTTTACGATCTAACTAGAGCAGCTTACGGCAAACAAGCGCGGCGCTGAATTAAAATTCTCGAATCATTATAAAAGTACCTTCCATTAAGCGAACAAACAGTCTCTTGCTCTCTCGAGTGCAATTAAATGGAGATGAAGTGAAAAAAAAAGTAAAAAGACGTCTCTCGGCATCGATAACGCAATTGCGAGATAACGCGCCCGGTGTGTAAAGTACACACAAACGCGCAACTGCACGCGCTTAGCTGCGGCTGCTATATATACTTGTTTAGCGATTTCTCTCTCTCTCTATCTTTCTGGTAACACACGACCGCAAATGCATATAATATAATGTATATCTATTTCTCTTGGGTAAAAGTTGACGCGATCGTTATAAATGGCAATAGGCAATGATATTGCACCGCGCGGTCGATAATTGATACGCGCGCGCGCGCACGGTCGACGTTAAACGAGCGTTAAAAAGCTTACCAACGCGCACACATGCACACTCGCAAGTAACGAGTGGATATATAGAGCAAGTAACATCTATTACGCGACACGCGTATAATATATAAAATATGTCGTTGCACACGCACACACATATACGCGCGAGTACGATCGAGTAGTACCTGTATATCCACATTTTAATCTTGAAATATATCTCGCACACACGCGTGCGCGTTTGTATATATGTGATAGTTACGTACGCTGCATTATTTTATATTATACGCTTACGATTTATGGATGATTATGTATATAGGTGACTGATACTCGCGAACGGGATGACGGACCGACCGGATAAAATCGCGTTACTTCGATCCCCTCGAACATCGCTTACGCGGACGGATGAACAATGATGTCGTTTCAAGTGTTTTTTCGTTCATCTTTTTTTTTTTTTTTTTATTTAAGAACACATCAAACAACAGCTGAGTCGATGAGAGAGAACCGACGCGGTGCGTTAATAATAATTGACGTTGATTGTCGCCTCCTCGAGTACTTACATACATGTGTGCGCCGTGCACGCGCCGATAACGTTCCTCTTTCTTTCTTTCTTTCTTTTTTATTATATCATTCGCGTTATATACAATAGGCCGCGCCGAGTTTTTCGTATTATACACACGTCTGCTACGCGCGAGGTTTTGTTTGATTAAGATCGGTATTGTGTCAGTGATAAGTGGGCCATTGGCACGTATGAGGCGTCGTCGTTAGTTCCGTTGTGTGTATGAGTGCTTTTCTTTCTATGTGAGTTTGGTGTTTTGGTGTCGTTAGAGGCGCGCCCAGCTCGATGTGCATCGCGGAAAGTTACGAGAAAATTTTATTGATGAGAACGAGACGAAGGAAAAAGAAAAAAGAGTAAAGTCACGTGTCGCGCAATTACGCGCAAGTGTTAAAACACATCACCCACACACACACACACACTCGTCATAAGCCACGAACGATTTTACAATATACAGAATAATAATGTCTTCGGACTCGACTTAGTCGATCGATTGGAATAAAGAGAAAAGTCATTTTATTAAAACGAGCTTTCGTTTTGCCGCGCGCGCGCGGCGAAATCTCGGCTGGTGGTGCATTGCTTGCTTGCAGACAAGAGCATGGGCGACACGGCCTCGGACGTCATAAGCGACAGCTCGGGCGTCGGCACGTCCCAGTCCGACACGACCAACAACTCGCTCACGATACCCGGCACCACGGTCGTCTGCGTGGAGAACTACAGCAGCGGCATACCCGGCCATCTGTCCATCAATCAGGGCGACATACTCGAAGGTCGGTCTCTGGTGCAGAGGCAGAAATCTTTCTCTTACTACTACTACTACTACTACTACTACTCTCTATCTCTCTTTTCCACTGCTCTCTTTGATCACTGCGGAAACTCCGAAGCACGAGATATTAATCGTTTCTTTCTTTCTTTTTTGCCGTATACACAGTGACAGGAGCGACGGATTGCGGCCTGCTCGAGGGTGTGCTGCGCGGCCAGGGCACGGGTCTGTTTCCGGCGCACTGCGTGCAAGAGGTCCGACTGCGCCACACGAGCGTCGTGCCGATGAACATGCCCGCGGGAGCCGGCGGCGGAGCGGGAGCAGGAGGAGGAATCGTCAGCGCTCAGCAGCAGCAGCAGCAGCCGATGGCGGCCAGCTTGGCGGCGGCGGCGGCACAGGCCGGCAGGAACCGGGTGCTCGGGCGTCGCGAGTCCCAGCACAAGTACTTTGCCACTGCTCCTAGATTAAAGAAACCGTGAGGGAACGCCATTCAAAGTTTTAAAATACGATAAAGACATTGCCAATCATTGTTGTTGTTCTTTTGCTCAATTTGCGCTATACATGAATACACTATTATAAAATAATTTTTGATTATTTCTGTTATGCAGAGCTTTTATAATAATCTCACGTGGGCTTGGAAGCATCTATATTTGTTGGGTTCATTCTTTCGTAAATCATTATATTGTTTGCTTGTATAATCAAAACACTTGAGTATACTTACTATGTATTGTATCTTTGCGTTTTTCAGTAATTTGAAAAAGTTTTTTTTCTGTTCACTTTTCGTTGTACTTTTTTAGAGACGACCTCGACAAGGTCGCTGTCGTAATTTGTGCCATGGCTGGTGTCGACGCCGTTTTGTTGAGATTAGATTTGGAAGTTGTACGGTACTACTACGTGTATACGGGTCATAGACACCAGCTTTATGGATTGAAATGACATTTCTGTAGACTTTGAGAGCATGTTCCCTCGTAAAACAAGACAAATTGAATCTTTCGAAAGATAATTGGTTTCTCCGTAAATAAGAAACTTTTGCAATTAAAACTTTATCTTGTTATCTTTATTTTTTATTATTTATTTTTGAGCAAATTTTTTTTTTATCTCGATACGTCAAGTCAGTAAAAGCAAAGTAGACTCGAGTTGAAATTTTTGTGCTATTATTTTTGCCGTAGGCTATCTTTGCTTGTAAACAATTTGCTTGTAATAAGGATCGTTAAAGACGAAACCAAAAGTACAAAAAAAAACCATCAAAAGCTTTATCCACGTAAAAGGACGCCTTAACAATACACAGCTTTTACTCGACGAATTGCAGAATAACCACGGAGCCGCGCACGGTGGTGCTGCATCGCTCGCGCAAGGGCTTTGGCTTCGTTCTGCGCGGCGCCAAGTCCACCACGAATCTCACCGAGGTCACGCTATCGGCGAGGTATCCAGCCCTCCAGTACCTCGACGACGTCGACGAGGGTGGCGTGGCCGACCTAGCGGGTCTGCGCAAGGGTGACTTCCTCATACAGATCAACGGCGAGGACGTGACCACAGCCCTGCACGAGCACGTGGTCGATCTCATACGCAAGTCCGGCGAGCTCGTGCGAATGACCGTCGTGTCGCCGGTCCTGAGCCTGCCCAACTCCCAGTCGGCCGCCGCACTGCAGACTAGTCAGCCGCTACAGCGGCAATACGCGACGCTGCCGCGCAAGACCAACAACAACAGCCTCGGCGTGGGTAACGCCGGCACCCTGGGCAGATCGGGTCCAGCCCCGCAGCCGCCGAGACGCGACCCCAAGACGACCCTTAGCGTAGGTCGCGCGCGCGCCCGCTCGATGGTCGCCGGTTTGGGTGGCGGCGAGAAGGACGAGCGCGACGAGATGTCGACCAGCGGCGTCGGCTGCATGAAGTCAAACAGTTCGGAGTCGCTGCATCTGAGCCAGCAGGCCCAGCAGGCGGTCAACAATCAGCCGAGGGTGGCCAGCATACGCTCGAGACCCACGTCGTCGCGCATAACAGCGGCCGAACTCGAGGTAAGGGATCGTCAATTCTTCGATTATTTTTCTATTATATATGCGTAGAACGTGTCCGCACACGAGATTGGGCGTCGCTGTTGTTGAAATGTTAATGCTAATAATGTATATTATACAAATATTTCGTTGTTCCAATTGGCATATATTAATTTACTTGTCTGAATAATTTTGTTTCGTATCTATACTATAGCCTATATTATAGTGTTCGTTTATTAATAACAAGCTTTATTTATATTTTATGTGATACGAAAATGAGAGAATAGACAAAGACTGAGTACTTATAAATATAATTGTTGAGGAACTTTTTTTTTATCAAGCATGATGCATGATAAGGATCGCATAAGTCGCTGATCAAACTCATATATTATTACAGGAATTTTCATCAATAATCCTTGTATTGACGAAAAATCATTATACATTTAAATAATATATATTATTATAATCTTTGCATGCCTTGCATAACAATATTTACGAGTCTCTCTCTCTCTATCTCTGTCGGTTTGTCCGCGCGCCTCGACGCAAGATGGGTACAGTATATAACAGCTCAGTTACGTTATAAGGCCATTACAATCATCTATAAAATATCTCATCGTACGCAGTTGCTGGCAGCACACTTATCGTGCGTGGCCAATAAACCCTCTCTAAGCAACGGTATATACCTTGGGTGCGCGCGTAATAATATAATGTGTACGGCACATATATATAAACCCTTTGGGCTCCTGCTCGCAAAACGGCGAAGCGCCGCATTCTCTCTACTACCTACCTCTCTCTCTCCGTAATGTTAAAATAAAAACGAAAAGATAGCACCCAAACATCATGTTCTTCGCACGGTATTCCACAGGAGTTATTCCAGCGTCAGCAGGGCGTGCCACCGGTAATCGGCAACGGCACGTCGAGCCTGAACACGAGGTACGGCTCGGCGATGCACATCAACCAGATGAAGACGCTACCGGCGACGACGCAGCATCAACCGCAGCAGCAACCATCGCCACAACCGTCGCAAAAGAGTAATAAGACGGGCAAAGTTTACGCGAGCGTGGCCGAAATGAAGCGTAAAGGCAAAGTAAGGATGAGAAAGGGAAATCAATGTAGCAATGTATGTTATAAATGAAAATATCATTGAGCGCTTTTTTGGGTTACCACACGTATACGAATATATATATACTTACTTACACAAACACACCTATATATATGCAGCTTGATAATAAATGGTGTCCAGGTGAAGGGGTCCGCCACGCTGTCCTTCGAGAGTTTGTCGTATAATTTAAGAGTCATTGTTGGTTTTTTTCCTTCTTTTTCTATTTTTGTTTTGGTTTTTTTTGGTGGGCTCTCGAAGGTTGTGTCCAAGAGGTTGTTGTAACGACTAACATTCATGCTTTTAACTTAACAAGCTGCAGCTTCGTAATAATAACTAATGATCAATCAATTGCTTCGCTTTGAGAGTTAATAACATTATACATACATCACAGGTTTTGGCGTATTCGACATAAAAAGTATTTTTACATAAACTAACATATCACGTTTTTGCCATTCCTTTTTTAATGCTAACAAACAGAGAGTTGCTGAGGATTGTGCACATCAACGAGGAAGATATCTGTAATGCTTCAATCATTCGATATCATTACTTTTGATCATGCGTAAAACATTGTATTTTTGATCAGAGTCATTGTAAAATTGATAATAATTAATGGTACGATATGAGTAGTAAATTGTCATTTTTGCACGGAAGTTGATGTATTTGTTCTGAGCGATAACGTAGTAATTTTTGTAGTGGTTGTTTTGTTCAATTTTCAGCCTCAAATTTTATCCACGTATTACTAACAAATATCTTTCCTAGGCTAAGTATTCACTAACAATAAAGTGTTTGTATTTAACTTACTTTGTACTTAACTCTGTACTTAACTTACTTTTAAGAAAAATAATGTATTGTCAGGTAATAGGCACATTTGCTCTAGTATTGTCTATCGCCGTCATACGGTCTCGATAAAATTGTCAAAACCATATCTTCTCAAGATTTTCTAACCATCTCTTGTTTCCTTATTAATTTTCAGTCGTCGCGAGTACGTTTCTTCGGGGGTCTCGGCGTCGGCGGCGGCTCGGAGCTGCGCCGCGACTTTCACAGCACACCCGACCTCCAGGCCGCGGCGGCAGCCCAAGCAGCTGCTCAGGCAGCCGCGAGCATGTCGGCGACGGCGGCCTGCGTGATCGGCTTCGGGGCCAAGGGCCACCGCAGCCAGGAGGACGTGAACAACGCCGCTATCTATCTCAGCCGCAACGGTGGCGGTTGTCTGCCACCGCCGAATCATCCGCCGCCTCCGCCGCCCGTTGGCCAACTGGTCAAGGTCAGCGTCGCCCAGGTGCCTGGTCAGCAGCAGCCAACCCAGGCCAACGAGGTCACCCCCGCGTCGGTATACGACAATATGGCGCATATACAGCAAGTCAAGGGTACGTATGATAAAAGTAAGAATTAATTCGTTGTAAATCCCGAGCCGAAGTGCCGATGAAAACCTTTTTCATCTTGTTTAGAATTAGCAGCAGCGACAGCGGAAAACAATTACGGCGTGATGTCGAGTTTCCGACCGTCCAACAACGCCAAACTCTACGCGTCGCCGGAGGACATGAAGTCCGTCGGTTATCGTCCGCGAAACATGGCCGCGGCCAATGCCAATGCTGGAGTTAATAACGCAAATCTACAGCAGCAACAACAGCAGCAACAGCAACAACAGCAACAACAACAGCAGCAGCAACAACAACAGCAAAGAGGCCAATTACGAAAATCGCACAGTTTGCGCACGACGAATAATGCTGGACCCACCCAGGGACAGAATCAGGCCAACGGTGACGTTAAGAATGGCAATCAGTACGCTCAACCTCTGAAAAATGGTAGAAGCCACAGTACAGCCGGTCTGATCCGCGAGAGAAAAAAGAAGTCGAACGGCAGTGTTGTGAATACCGTAAATGGTAAGAGCATTAATAAGTTCATTCAATAATTGATGTTATTTTTTAATTTTACCACTACAACAAAATCGTTTCACATCAACAGGAGTCAACGTACCACCGATTCCCGAGCCCGACTACAGCCTCAGCGAGTCGGATAACGACGAGGCACTGACCGACGAAGGCGAGGAGGAAATCGCCAAGGAGCTAGAAAAGGCCGCTCAGAGAGAAAAGCTCGAGGCGGCTCGCGAGACCTCGGGCAATTCGAACGCCTCTGCCGGTAGCGGAAGCAGCAACAGCAGCTCGTCCGGATCGCTGCCACACTCGTTCAGCGTCGAGGAGATTCAGAACGTGCGGAAACAACTGAAGGTACGTTTGAGAATTATTGGGTATAAAATCTTGACAAGTTCGATATTAATTTGTCTTTTCATGTTAAGACGCAACAAATACTCGTCGAGGACGGCGACAATAGTTCAAGTGGCGTCAGTTCCGATCAAGACGTGCCGGTAGGACCTCCGACGGGTTTCGACGATACGCAAGCTCGCAAAAATGAAGCCAATCATCACCATCAACAGCAGCAAAATGCTCATCATAAAGGTATATTACTCTCCATAATGTAAAAAACTGATGAAATTCAGTTGTTGGGATCGTTCACAAACATTCAATTACCTTTCAGCGCAAAACGAGAAAAACAGTGGCATCGTTGTGACACAGACGACACAATGTCCGCAGCAACAGCAGCAGCCGCAGCAGCAACAACAGAAACGAGTGACGTACGGCGGTGTTTTGACGAGGCACGCCGTCTCTTTGGCTCAATTGCCACCACCCTTGGAGGCTGACGCCGAGGAGCAGAACAACGATCTGTTCGTGCCACCGCCACCGGAATTTAACGCAGACGGCACGCCGGTCGTACCAAGCGACGAGCTCGTGTTCGCACCGCCGCCGCAGTTCTCCGACAATGGCAGGCAGCAGCATCTGCAACAGCAGCAACAGCAGCACAGGGTGAAAATAATCGGCGCGATACCGAAGAGCGGATGCCAGGTTAAGCCGCCCAGCGGTAGGCTACACAGCCAATGAAGATTGATCCGCGGTCGCGCGCTCGAGGTGATCGAGGAGGTCACCAGAATGGACTTTTAAATAAAAAAAAGCCGTTAAAAGCTTTCATCAAAGATCCTCGCGTGCAAAGAGTAAAAAATAATGCATAGGGCTTGGAAGAATTTCATGAATTCGCTAGCACAGTGTGCCGTGGAGTTCCGAGTTTCTGCGAACCAGTTTCCAATCGTTGGAGGCGAGGATCATTGGCGAAAAAAGTAATGTGAACCGAATGGTATATTTGAGAAAATAACGACAATCCGTGTCGATGATTACCGAGTGGTAAGAAAGCTGTAAATCAAAATGATTTGATTTCATTCATCGTGTTTAGTTTAATTGTTTAAGTTGAGCTGGTAACCTCGTGACTCTTATTTTAGTCCTGTCTATATTTATTATCCAAATGAGACGTTCCGAGCTATTTAGTTTCGATTCGTAGTTATGCTTAGGACGTATGTTTTATTACTAAAGAATAATCTTTTAGACTCGTCGTTTGTACATTATTGTCCTAAAAATTTAGTTTTGTTTTTGTGCCAGCTGTGTTATTATTAAATTTCCAATGTTATTTGTAAGAGTTTACTCATAATGTGTCTTTAAAATATCTAATTCAATTAGTTATCAATTTTTGTATATAATTTGTGGTTTTAGTCATTCTGAATTATAAGTTATTCATACGTATTATTAAAAGAATATTAATTATTTGTTAAGTTTAGGTGTGGAGTAAAAACTTCAGATTTTTAGTTACGTGTATTATATCGTTACGAATTGCGATCATGTCGTTCGATTTGTTTTTCGAGAGTCGTTTCGATTTACAGTTTTGATGAAACAAAACAAGAAAAAAAAATTATGAGCCGACTTTAATGAAGAGGTGAAATCGATTGTTTTAAGATTTCACGGGCAACGAACTCTTCCAGCAGAACACATTTTTAAATGTCTTACCAGATCATGGCGCATACGATAGAAATTAATCAAATTTGAGAATCTGTTATCAAAAAATTTTTATTCAAAGTTTTTGTAAAATACAATTTTCGATGAAATTGTAATTGACATTTTGTATCCAATTATATTTTCTTTATACAAGTGTAAATTTATTAAAATATGCATTTTATAGGATGAATTGATACGAAAACATTTTTCCCAATGCTTTAGCATCTTTCCATGATACGAACAATGATCCAACAATTATGCATTTACCGACTGAATGTAATCGGACTACGTGTACAAGTGCACGCCGAAATTCCAATTAAATACTGCATAAATTGTAAAGATACTAAAATCTTATTAAAAATTAATGGGTAATTTTAACTTGAAAAAGTATTTCTAATTATTGTTTTTAAAATAATTAAATACTAAAATTTGCGAATTTTGTTATTATGTTTCACGACCAATTTTTATAATAATAATCTTTTTACCTTTGTAAAGCTTTGAGAAAAAGCGAATTAAATCTTCCAGATGCACAAAAGTACGACATTAAAAAAAATGTGCTCGAAATCGGCAAAAGTTTGATATAGTACATTGATATCTTCGAGATTGGAACTAGAACGGGAGTATCAACAACTCTATGAGTGCTTGCATTGAACATGTGTATACTTAAAAAAGCGAGGCGCGACGCGACGCAATACAAAACAAAAAATAACTAAGAAGCAAACAATTGTTTTTTTCATACATGTTTCATGTACGTGTATTTATAATACTTTTACGATAAAAAATAGCAGGTATCAAATAAATGATGATGAAAAAATTGCAAAATATCACAGGCAATAAGGGTAAATATACATCGTTGTCTATCCAAAATTATGAGTGTAATTTTCACAGAAAAAGTTTTACGCAAAAACGTATATGACTAATCAACAAAACAAAAAAAAAAATAAAGTAGCCGAAACAACGAAACCCGTGAATTTACAATTTGTATCGTATACACGAAAAACTTTTCTAATACCAATGTATCTATACTCAAAAAATAAGAAGTTTGACAAAAATCGTCGAGAAAAAGTTTTTTCAAGAGTAAAAGTCATGTACCTATAATATACTAGGCGTTGAATACTTGCATTTTCTGTTTATCAATTTATTAGATTTCTAAAGCCGATATTCCATAAGAAACGCTCTGCACATTCCGTCGCACTATTTTCTTTTCGTGAAATCATCGTTCGATGCTTGAAAAGCAAGGCTAATTTCCTTCCAGAAATTCATATAACGTGCGGTTCTTCTTGAATAATTCGCGTCACAAGTTAAACGAAGAATGACAAAAAAATTAAATAAAAACTCAAGCATATATGCACATGAAGCGATACGTCCAAGCACCTATAATAATTGTGTGTAAAGCCACATAAATGGTTATATAATTCAAGCATACACATAAAAAGTCATTAGATCCAATAGTACGATTAATTTTATTTTACTATGGTTATAAATAAGACACGGATGTTTTAATGATTAAAATAAGCGCGGCTTATTGTAAACGTGCGGCATCGTAAAAATAAAGATGCCTGTAATTATTACTAATTTTTAATGTAAAACATCTGTGTGTAGCTTTGTAAAATATAGATCATAGACTTTCGTACAATAGGCGTCTTCGAATATTGTCATTGTATCATTTTTCAATATGATTAATAGAGCGACTAATCAATCTTTTTCCTTTAACTGTAAGTTATACGTCGCTTTGTAATTTTTATCAAAACATATTGTTTTCTCAATCATATATTTGATTAAAAATCCTCGTTGATCGAAACAAAAAAAAGGCCGATGTAAGCGAAGATTAATGGGCTGGTCAAGTCGTGTAATAAATAATTATTTCTCGTTGTATATATCAAATTATATATTATATATTATATATAAATTATGAAGAAAAAGACTAAATTGTAAGTTCAAACTTCCTTTTTTTTTCCTTCGTGCAATTGAAATTACGAAATGATTAATATTAACGTATATAGGGCCGATAAACGCTGCGAAGCGAGTGCAGAAGTGTTGCAGAGGCGTCGTAATGTATGAACTATTATCTTATAATCCTACGATGTGTACATAACATTGGAGCATGTTGAAACAAAGAATTAGTATAATAACTGAATTTTACGTTTATTTGTAATATCGTAACTTCGATAATTATCCATTATTAAATTTGATATACATACACTGTAATTATTATTGCTATTAGGTTTTTTTCTTTTTAATAGTGAAACTTTAAAAACGATCTTTCGCACTCTCATCAGTGCTGAATACATCCAATTTTACGAAAGTAGAGTTAAATAGCGTAAAGATCCCCTTGAAGAATGAATTCCTGTGGTTTAGTCATCGCAGGTAAAAAGAGTAAAAGTGCAGATTCGAATGTGAACTTATATGTAATGTTAAGGTTAAAAAAAAAAAGTGTAGGCTCTATTGAAATCGGACGAATTCGACCGTAACAAGCCCATACAGAAACTTTTGGATGACGGCGATCATGATGCGCGTGAGACGTATGTAATTTTTTGATGTTCTTCAAACTGCGAATATTAGAGTTTTAGATATAGATTTTTTCTAAATCATCGTCATTAAAAAAAAAAGTTAAAATAAATAAATGAACTTTGCTAGTGAAAAAAAAATAATAAAAATAAATATATTATCCCACGATTACAGCAATGCGCAAGCACAAACTTTGTGAGTTCGTTTAATAATTTTTCTTCGTGTCTTCCAAAGTTTCCAATGTACGAACTGTGTAACAGTTTTCATAAGTAAGTTCGCTGCTTCAGTTAGTTTTATTATACCTGTCAATGATGATGAAAAAAAAAGTAAGAGAAAAAACAGAAAGAAAATTCCGTTACGTTTCTATGTGCATTAATTTATTTACCAGCCAGTTGAGATGTAAGAAAATGAAAAATTTCAAAATCAATATGCTGCATAATGTATGGCAAAAAAAAATACGTATATGTTGGCGATCGTAGATTATTATTATGATTACTATGATTATTAATTAATTATCATACATGTAATAAAGAATACTATATATAAATTATATGAAGGAGTAAATACAAATCATCAAAGTATGTGAAAATATATTGAATTATATTAATTGAAAGTGTCATAATTTTAATACTAATTACCTCAACACACGCACACTTGTGATATATGTAATAACATTTTACTCAAATTTTAAGTTGTATTTTCATTCGATTAATAGTAGGTCAAAAATAAAATGAAAATTTTTTCCTGCATTGGCATTTATCCATGTATCTGTGTACCCGTGGTTTGAACTCATATTTATGGCTTTCGATCTTTTACGTTTTGAGAATCCACTCTGCGCGAGTCGCACAGTTTCATTGAAATGTCGCGCCAACAGTGATAAGAAGATCTGACAGTCACAAAACCCATACATAACTCGTGCGACCAGCAACAGCGCGAACCCGGTGCGGTTGCAGACTGAATGCCAAGTGCAAAAATTTTAACTCATTAATCATTGAAAATTATTGTAATAAATAACAAAAGACATAATGAACTCCATAAGAATTCTGGTCCAGAGAAATTCTCAGCAGCTGAGGAGAATACACAGATGGTAAATTATTGTTTTTTCTTTAGGATATAGAAATTTTTTCTAAAGTGTAACCTCAATTTCTCTGTCTATTTATTTTTATTCTGCTATTAAAACAATCAGTAATTTGCACCGTTTATTTTTCAAACTTACTCTATTATTTTTTTTTTTTCAAGATTTGAATTCAAGACTAACTGCTTTTTATGTCTTATAATACAGCGCTTGTAAATGGATTGAAATTATATATCTCTTTTTGTTAGTGTTAAGCTGCAAAATGAAGTTGCTGCAGCTGTACCACAAGAAAAGATGACAATACCAGTTCCTGAAGGAGTTGACAAACCAGTGTCACCTAAAATCGACAAAATTGCTCAAGAAATTACAGCTCTCAATCTTCTTGAAGTTGCAGAGTTAAGTGATTTGTTGAAAAAGCGACTGAATCTCCCTGATGCACCAGTAATGCCCATGGGTGGTTTTGCTGCTGCTGCTCCTCCTCCAGAAGTAAGTTAATTCAAAACACTCATTAAAAGCATCACTTCTTATGACTGAGTAAATGTAATTAACATTTTTTTATCAATTAACAGGAAGATGAAGGAAAATCCAAAGCTGTCAAGACCTCATTCACAGTGAAACTCACTAAGTTTGACGATAAGCAAAAAGTTGCTCTCATCAAAGAAATAAAGAGTCTTATCCCTGGCACAAATTTGGTTCAGGCCAAGAAGTTTGTTGAAAGTTTGCCACAAGTAGTGCAGGCTGACATCAGCAAAGATGAGGCTGAAAAGCTCAAGGAAGTCTTAACCAAAGTTGGTGGAGAAGTTGCAATTGAATAGATTGTGTACATATTAGTTTATACAATTATGAGTTAGATTAAAGTGTAAATGTCATGTACTTGTATGTAGTACCAGCATTTAGCGAACAAGATATTTTATGTAAAGCATTTTTTATCTTGACTTGTTACATTAATAAAAAAAACTTGTTAACAATCCAAAATCATTGTGTCATAACTGAACTCTATTTTTGTCTCTTATATAAAAAAAACATATTCAATGGTCATTAAGCAGAAGAAATAAATTTCCATGGTCATGTGGGAAAGAAACGGACCGGTAGAGGATAATTTATCGCACGCGAGTAATATACCAAAAACTTCGTGATACATTCACTGGCGACTCCGTGGCGCTTTTCAGCCTTATCAAACGTACTCGTACTGTAGCATAGCACTTTACAATATATGCTGTATTATGACTGCTATATAACAAGGCTCCGTACAACACGCTGCAAAAATACTACCTGCTGTGTCAATCTCTGCTGCTGCTGTGCTGCGGCCTTTTTAGTTTCACACGAATTCCCTGACCGTTAGGACGTGCGTGTGCGTAGTATTTGGGTGCTCGAGCGACAGCAGCAGTCAGCCAGCGCATATTCAAGCTCTCGCTAATGTTTTGCCGTTACTACTGCTAATAATCATTACATCTGCCACGACACTATGCAATCTGCCGAAGCGGCTAACACGGCTGATGCGGCTGCTGCTCCGGCGGTTGCTGCTGCAGCGTGTGATAACAATACGGAAATGCCGATTATAACGTCTGCAGTCGCAGCTATGGAAATGCACGAGCGTAACGATTCCAACAGCGATTCTAACGAGGTTGGTTTTTTTATTCTGCTGCCTGTTTCGTTTTTGCCATCAACATTTGGCGCAGCACGTCTCGCGCCTGTGTATTTAATCGGCGATGTGATCTAATAAAAAGCCTGCCACTGATGTGGAACGTGGCCTTTAATACGAAAATGTTGTACACTCGATGAAAATGACGTGCAATAATGGTTAGCTAAGCTCGTGCACTCGATGCATGAATATTTATGTGCCGAGTTTGCTTATAGAATGAAATTGATGAAACAATGATCGACTTTGTTCTCATAAATGAGTCAGAGACTGGAGTTTTAGATTGCAAGCGATGTATTGCACTGTTGCTAATTCAATTTTATGGATTATGGCAACATTAAATTAGAACGTTTGATTGGTTTTGAAATTTTTTTACTGAAGCAATGGTAAAATTATAACAAACTTTTGTTGTTTTAATTTGTATGGAAATTTGACACCTTGAATGTTTATATTTCTCGATTAAAACATTTTTGTGCTTTTAATAGGCACCATTGGATACGGTATTATCAACATTGAAACAGCAAACTACTGAATCTATTTCAAAGTTGGAGCAATCGCTTGAGAAAGGTACAGAAACCCAAGGTGCTGCATGGAATAGTTCATCTGGTTTTCTGTCACATTCAAAAGCACCGGATGACATATTGAAAACAGTTCAGGTAAATGTTTGTTTTATTTCCACTCACTTACTCTTTAATTTTTCTCCACACCATTTTAATTCAAATTTTTTGAATCTTTTAGGACTTAATGAGTTATGAAGAAGGTCCCCATACCTTTGATGGTAAAGTTGAACACAATCAACCGACTGGTTTATCACCAATGACAGATGCTGCTCGATTATCTTTAATATCTCATTCGATCTCTGCTCTTGCAACGTCATTACCTAAATCACATGCACAAAGACTGGCTGGTCGAATATCAGCTGATACAACTAGATGGCTAAGTCACATATTTAGATTTGTCGATGGTGCTGTGTCTTTCCATGAAGATCCATTGGAAGGTCTTGTAAGAGTTACTAGACTAGCTTTACACAAAAAATACCCAAGGTATATGGATGAAGGTTTTGGTGCATTGGCAAGTTCTCCACCATTGATTTATAGTTCTGTTTCTGCACCTCTTCTTGCTGCTCAATATTTATGTAAACAAGTAAGTAATTAAATGAGGAAGTTAAAATTCTGTATAACACTTTTGATTAATAAACTTAATGCATTTTGTAGCTATCCTTACCATTGCACTGTATTAGACCAATTCCACTCAACACTATGTTTGGCTCCAGACATACAATGGATATTGCAGCACTTGAAAAAAAACTAGCTGAAGACTCCCAGTCAAATGCTGTTACACCTGTTCTATTATTGGCAGAAGCAGGTTCTGTTCTCACGGGGCACTGTGATAATATAGTAAGACTTAAAGAATTGTGTGATAAATATAATGTTTGGTTGCACTTGCGAGGTGACTCCTTGGCAGCCTTAGCTTTAAATAACTCAATGAAAGATTTGGTAAGAATTTTTTTCCCATTTTTTTATCATTTTATTTTTTTTATCAATGTATCTCACAAAACTTTATTTTTCCAGTCAACGAAAATCGCTCATAGTATAACGTTGCCTCTAGGAATTTGGCTTGGCATACCGTCATTACCATGTGTTACATTGTATAAATTGGTCGATACAAAAGGTGCTAGACTATCTCCAAGAGAAACTACACTTTGTCTTGTTTCGGGTTTAGTACAGGATTCGCTATCAAGACGATTGCCTGTTTTACCTCTTTGGAGTGCTTTGCAAGTATTAGGCCGTGATGGTATTTACAATAGATTTAAGAGATGCTTTTTAGCAATTGAAGAGCTTTATCACAAGATTAAAAAATTTAACTGTATCAGAATATTGGTAAATTGATATTTCATTCTTAAAAAAAAGTATTCAAGGAAAATAAATTCATCCATTACGTAAATTTTACAGAGTCAAGAACCAGGAGAAGGATCAGGTACCTTTTCCATGAACGAGCTTTTAACGACTGCGGTCACGAGCGCGCAACTCGTGCAAAGTGTCACAAGTGCTTTGGTATTTCAGTTTGTCCCTCCTAACATCGAAGATCAACGTATTCCGCCTTACTACGATAAACTGAATTCTTGGCTGGGACAAATACTTGAGCGTCACGTTGAAAACATAGAACTCGAATTTTGCGAACTCGAACAATACGGCATAGCTATTAGAATAAGTCCTTTGGAGAGTACTGAATCACCTCCAAGCAGCGACGATATCGACGATGTGATTGCTTGCTTGGAACAACAAATCGTGAGTGGATGAAAAAGTTTAAGCTTCGTGAAATTTCGTGAAATTTTTAATTATTTCGTGTCTTTTTTCAGGAAATTTTATTAGCTACTGTACAGCACAAAGAGACGTTCGTAAAACTCGTCAAAGAAAACGATTCGCTTCATCTCGTTGAAATGCAAGGTTGGGCTGGTTTGGGAGGTGTTCGCTACGCACCTCCGACTTGGGTACACGTAATGACAGATCAAGCCAAAGAGGAATTGAACGCTCTCAATACTCAACTCGTTGAAACGTTGCGCAGCACCGATGGAGCTTTTTCTCTGGGCGAAGGTGCCGATGGTCTCGCCTGCGTACGCTTCGGAATGGTTACACAAGACACTGGTATGTGATTCGTCAATTTTTCTCATTCATTATTACGAATCATTTATGGCTAAAATAAATTTCTTTCATTTTCCAGACGTATTCGAGCTGTTATCTCTAGTTCTCCAAGTTGGACAGGAAGTGGAGGCAAGTTCGAAGTTGATGGATACCATGTCCGAAGTGGTGAAACGAGGAATCGAAGCTGCTCAAACCGATTTGGAGCGCGAGAATGCGGAAAAAATGTGGCAGGAGGGAATCCTGCGTCACGTGCCGGTAGTCGGAAATATCGTCAATTGGTGGAGCCCACCAACTAAAGAGACCGGGGTGCGTGGTCGCAGTCTAAATTTACAAGCCGGTAAGCAGTGCTTGAATTTTCTTTTTCAATCAAAATTTTTTTGACCTTTTCTTCAAATTTTTTTCAAGATATAATAACTTAATCATAATTTCGTAGAACTTTTTCACAAAGTAGTTATTAAATTCATTCAAGTTAATAAGATTCGAAACCCGTTCTAAATAGATTCAAATTAAGCTTCCGTTCACTCTCAAACTGCTAATGAAATTTTACAATAGAGAATTGCGTTCATTTTATCGCAGTGACTGCGTTATGGCGTAATGATTCATTTCATTCGAGATTATAGCTGTCGACGGTCCGTCCTCGTCACTAAACTTCCTCTGATCTGTGATTGTAATACTTGCATATAACAATGAATGTTTTGATGGAAATTTTCAGGAACTCATTTGATTAAATTTGGCGATAAAATTAGCGAACCTGCCGTTGAAAATATTGCCGATAAATAATTATTTTTAATTAATTATATGCACTACATTGAAAAAAGGTATAAATACAACTGCTAAAAATTATTTGATGGGGTACATGCGCTTGTTATAAATGGCTTTGGACTCTATTCGTTGCTTTGCATTTTTATACTATAAAATTCATAATTCATTTTGCGAAGCTTATTATTTTATATGGGATGGAGATTCTTACGAATCTTTCGAGCGAGCTTTTCTAGCGAACATTAAAATACATTTAAAAAAAATCATTGTTCTCATTTCATTATTCTTTTGATTTTATCACATAAAATGCTTTTATGAACTAAATTTAAATGTTCCTGGGAATATTTATCAAAGTTTTCATGTAAAATTATTTCTTTTAATTATTTCATGAATACTCATAAAAAATAAATTTTATTTTATATATTTTGAACGCTTCAAAACGCGTTCTCACGAAATCATCAATCTTCATCAATATTATCAAATTTAGTGTAAACTTGGCCTTGACTCGAGTTTTGTTTTCATAATGTGTGTCAAATTTCATTCACAGGCGTCGTGGAGAGCACCGAGAATATCTACAAGTATCACATGCAGATGCAAGCCAATTCGGTGCCCAGCCACGGCTCCGGTGCGCGGACCCCGCCGCAGCCCCTTGTCCAAACACCCGTGGGCGGTGCCACCCAGGTGGTGGCAGGCAGTCAAAGTCACAGCCGATCGTCCAGTCACTCGAGTCTGCAGAGCGGCAAAAGTGTACCTCCGTCGTTGTTAACGCAGAACTCATTATTAACGCGCGAAAATCCAGCCGAAACGAAATCGTAGTTGTAAACGAGATTGATCGATGGTACTTATTGACATTTCTGACATTTCGTTTTTTTTTATTGATATTATTATCATCAGCTCTGTGGCGTTTCAAATCGCAATGCATCAGCAGCTTCTGTTGAAATTTCTTTGGATTCGTGCATAGTATAAGTGATAAGCAGCATTCCACTTTTTAATGTTACCCAAAAGAACATTTTGACGAAAAAAATATTTATCGCGACGTAAAAGTTATTAATTTTATCCAAGATCAGCCAAATCTAATATTAGTCGAGTGCTGTCAAACTATACTTTGCGATAGTATATAGCAGATAATTTTGACTAAAATTATTTATTCTATTTTATTACTAAGGTTTGGTAAATCGTTACTGTTTTAATTGTGCATAGATATAAATATTTTTGCAAACGTTTTATTTGATTTTGTTCACTTTATGAAACAATATATTAAATTATGAATAGTTTTTATATCGATGGTACACCCCTGAAGTTTATATTTTATAAACGTTGTTTTGAAAGATATCTAAGGATCGGTGTACTTATTATTTAATTGTAAATGATGAAAATTTATCTCGTACTTTCGAAAAATATAATTTAGATGTCTTATTTTTCGCTAAATTAATTAAAAATAAATGAGTAAATCTAATTGTAACACCATGTCACATAAATTTGATTTTAAGTTTATTGATTTAAATTTTTCTACGCTTGCGTATTTTGGAAATGACGAATTTACGAAAATTGTTGACCATTGACGAAAATTGATAAGCACAAAATCACGTGTGTATTAAGCTCCACCCTAATCGTAAGCTAAAAAAATAATGTTCGCGTAACGAGGAAGAGCTCTGTCAATACAATTTTTCTCGCTACACGAATATTACCAAAGATTTTTTTAAATTATATATTTTACTCAAACGCATGGAGAACAAATCGAGAATCCTCGTATTCGTCGAGAGCAATGGAATTACTAAAACGTGTGCACGAATCACGAAAAACAAAACGTCGATGCTATATGAAAGAAAAAAGTATTGTAAACCATTTTTTGAACCATTTTTGAACAATTACATTATACACCCATTTATCGTTGTAATAAATCATTGCTACTTTAATACGCTAAAAAAGAATCGAGTGGTTGTTCCTTTTACTTTTGTTCCCCACACTGTTATATAGTGAGTGTTCCAGGAAATTACATTACAGACGATAAGAATAACAAAGCCGAATAATCATCCGAAACTTTCAGCTTTTACGGAAGTATGACGCGCAACGTTACAGAGAATACGAATAAGATGTCAAAGATAAAAAGGCACCACATTTCTCGGGCTCTAGTCAACGACGCGTACCCCATTAATATTAAAGACACTATTTATAAATAGGATATCATACTCAAATATGAATGTATTGTATGTTATGTCGAAACGTCAAAATGTTACGGCGCTATCTACTATGTATTCTCCCGAGCTCGATAATGTATTTATAAAATTAAATGTCAACGATCTGTAAATTATGAAAACGTTGCCCAGAAGACGCGCTCATCGTGTAGAATTTTCAGTTTTTAATTCAGCTTCAGTAGAGCTAATTCATAACGTGTTTTTGGGTGTGATTTTGCTCCAATTTATGTAAATCGACACCGAAAAATGTTCCCATAATCGGAGCAATCGGAGCCGTTGGCTCGTCGGTGCGATCGGAGGAGGCACGTCTCGCGTCTGGCCAAATACGCCGCCTGCCTCTCTCTCTTTTGCACTCGGCTGCTGCGCGCCGTGTTCTGCGCGTCTGCGAGAGAGAAAGAGAGAGAAGTATATATATAGAGAGCTCGGCCCGACCGACGTTCGAGCGACTGCGGGATACAAACGCGTCACACGCGATTATTCGCTCCTCAGACACAGGCACATAATACAGCAGCAGCAGCAGAGAGGCATGCGAAGAGAGAAAGACAACACACACATCGCTCGTACATCGTTGTATATATGTTGTACAGTACGAAATGACATCGAACGTCGTAGCCTAACCTTTCGTTTATGTTTGTAAAGTGATATTTTAATAAACACCGTGTTTATTAGCATTGTTTCGTCGTGCGGTGTCTGTGCGTGCGTGCCTGTGCGTTTATTTTTTATCGTTATATTTTTGATATATACGTTGCACAAAGAAACAACCCTTTGAAAAAAATGATAGTGATGGTGAGCAACAGGCCGATCGTTGTTGCGTGATTAACCAGTACCGCAAGTTATGTTGTGCTCGTCGTTGATAACATCGAATCAACATCGTCTTGTTCGTCGTCGCAGTCATCATGAGCACTCTAAAGTCGACCACGAATCAGGAGATCGTCCACGAGGGCTGGCTCATCAAGTCGCCGCCGACGAACCATTTTTGGCACGCGGTTAGTGGCCCTATATTATACGTTGCTCCTTTTTTCTTTTCTCAGCCTTTGCGATGCAGGCTTATAGCGGTGCGCGATCCTTGCGATATTTTGTGCGGCCGTGCGAGAGGGAAATTGAGGTTACAGGACATCTACAGCTCGATGTTTATTTTCGGAGATGAATATACTTATATACGTGTGCGAATATGATGTCGCGCACATTAAGCTATACGTGCGTATTTGAACGTTGTTTCGGACATCTAAAACGATTGACCCTGTTTTTATTCAGAGAGACGTGTCAAAATAACGTTACACGCATATATCGATGAATGAATGGTTTCGCTATTTTAGAAATTCATCTACGCGCTGCTCTCTCTCTCACTCTCTGTCTGTCTGTCTGTCTTTCTCGTTTTATTATTATAATTGCAAATTGCTTTCTGTTTTCGTTGCGAAAATTCATCTTCTCTCTCTCTCTTTCTCCGTCTATGTCTCGCTCTCTCTGTCTCTTTCTCTCTTTTAGCTCAAGGTTATAATGACATTCATTATACCCACCAGTTGCATTCACTCTCGAGAACTTTCAGCGACTCGTCGCTGTGTTGTGCATATCTCGCGTTTATATTAATGAAAAACACCAGAGAAGAGATGCAAATCTCGCGAAATGACACGTGTTATTCTCATTCTCTCTCGAGAACAAAAAAAAACTGCCCAATAAATAAATTATCTTGGGTGTCCGTTGTAAAGAATTGGAGCGACGTGCTTTCAATGATAAATCATACTTTAACATTTCATGCTTATCTCGGGGCTTATTCTTGGCGTTGTTGTTATAACTATATATACAGTCGCGAGCAGGTGCACACTGCTATATAGTAATGTATATAAATGCCACCGCTGGTGTTGCTGCTGCTGCTGCTGCTGCTGCTGTGTAATGCATGCCTATGACGCCGTATTGCTCCGTAATCGTCACGTCCGTTTGTTTTTCCTTAGCATGACTTTTGTGTATGTGTGAGCGACAATCGCTGTCGTACATACAGATGTTATAGTACACATTAATGAATACTATGGACACATTGGCACTTGTCCGCGCGCGATGTGTGTTATAATGCACATCGCGATCATTATAGACATTATTCGAGAGCAAGGACGAATAGGAGTGTGCAAAATGATTTATGCTTGTTTAACGACCGCTAAATTTAAGAAAGAGAGAGATAGAGAGAGAAAGAGTTTTATTGCACCTTTTAAAACGGAAACTTTTTTCTCATTTTTTTGTTTTAATTTCCGATTGTGTCTCAATATTTTTGACATTTGGATTTCCGCTAGATTACGGAGAGAGTACGAGATTGTGATGAATAAGCATGAAGCCAGATAAGATAATTTAATCGCTCTTTTTGTTTAAAATGATTTTCGAAGATTCCTCTATCGTAAATTAAATGTCAAGCAACCCGCGACTAAATTATTATCGCATCAATCAACTGATGATTTTTTTTAAATCATTCAACATATTATAAAAAATTAATGTTTTTCAATTAATTTTTATATTTAGAGATGGAGACAAAGATGGTTCATGCTTCGTCACAGCGGAGAATTGCCAGGTCAATTCATGCTGGAATATTACACAGATGAGACGTGTAAAAAGTCAAAAGGCAGAATTGATTTGGACCAGTGCGAGCAGGTAATAATTTGAAACATTATCATGAAATGTTTGTTGGATATATTGAAAATAATTATTTTTCATAGGTCGATGCTGGTCTCAAATTTACAAATCGAAAACAAAAGTACAAATATATGTTTAATTTAAAAACCCCAAAAAGAACTTACTACTTGGTAGCACAAAATGAGAATGATATGAATAAATGGGTGGATGCGGTTTGTCAAGTATGTGGATTGAAAGCTCAAGAAGAAGATGCTCAGAGCAGGCGTACGTTATTTAAATTTTAAATATCTCATAGCTGTTGTGTATTTTTTCAAGTTAATAAATTTTGAATTTAATTTGTTGCAGTGTTTACATTTGATGCACAAGATTCTCCACCTATTTCACCAGCTAGTACAGTGTCTGGTCCTTACATACCAATAAGCGAGTGTATAACAGGGCGCAGTCTCTTTGAAATTCATTCTCTCAATTCACATGATCAAGGTGGAGAACATTATGATGCACCCAGAAAATTAGCACCTTCTCCACCAAGATCTCCCACTACAACTGATGCGGATAGTGTTTTTACTGATGATGAATCCTCAACTCCGATTCCTAATGTGAATTGGGAAACATTCCCATCACCTAACGAACCGAAAGGTAGTTTAAAATTATGATAAATAGTTATTAAAAGCAAGTTAAAATAATTAAAATTTACTTCATTCAAGGTGAGAATAAGTCAATGGCAAATATTAGTGAAGCAGATGCTAATTCATGGAGTGCACAGAAGAGGTTTGGAAAAATGAAAATTCGTGAAACTCCTAATACACCACCCCCTGAAGAAGTTGTAGTACCAACAGCACCTGCACCACCAAGACCACCAAAACCCTCTCATATGTTTCTCAATAATCCTGGTCATAATTATCTAAATCTTGATGGAGCCACAGAGAGTACAAAACCCATAACTCCATTAGCATCAGCACCATCCACACCAGCTACTGCAATAGTGACTGATGAAACTTATGACTTTCCAAGATCTCATCAACCTGAGGCTATTGATCCTACCAATACACTAGGCAGAAGAACGAGACATTGTTATACAAATGCTGCACCAACAAATGTTACCGGTAATTTGCCATTCAAATATTTGCAAATTTACAAGTTAACTGTCATATTATAATTTACTAATCTATCGTCTAAACAATTAACTTGAACAAATAGATGATGGTCATCGTGTATTCCGTTACGATTTTCACGACGACGAACCATCAAGTCCGCGATCTGAATCGTCTGGCACTGCGACTTATTCCAATCTGCCAAGTCCATTATCCAGAGCTGAAACAGTATCGACTCTGATAGCAACTCCATCGCCAACAACAACGCCTACATCTTCAGGACCAACTCCACCCGTTGTTTATAGACAACTCAAACCCGGTCGTAAAACTAGTGATACCCGATCGTTGATAAGTAACGAGCCATCGCCCGACTTTGAACCACCAAGCATAAACCGTAAACTGAAACCACCGAATCACAAATCCTCACACGATATTGGTAAGTGCGCTCTGCTTTGTAATCATTGGCATGATTACGATCTTTTTTATATCTTTCTATATCTTCTTTTTTTCTATTCTTTTTCCTTCTTATACTTTCTTTTTTTCTATTATTTTTCTATATCTTTCTTTATCTTTCTGTATCTTCTGCTTTCTATTCTTTTTCTATTATATTAGCTTATACTAATAAAAGACGAAAATTTGAAGGTCCTTTGCAATCTTTGCAATTAGCCAACCCTCCGGGACGAGGAAAATCGAGGATGAATCGAAGCCCTACTTTGCAAAACGCACACTCTAATAGACATCTATCGGCATCCGACGATGACAATACCGTCTATGAACAAGACAAAGAAGAGGTACTTTTGACTCATTAAAAATTGTTAAAGTGTACGTTAAAACGAACCTATTATTCATTAATATTTTTTTTCTTTTCAGATTTATTATTTCCAAAACCACAACACTTTTATACCTGCTTCGTCTTCTCGTAAATTCAACGACTTACAGTATCTCGACTTAGATTTAGATAAACCAGACAATTTTAATAATGCTATATCGCCTGTATCGCCTCCTAGCTCAACGGTGTACAAAACTGTAGACTTTTTGAAAACAGAAGCCTTTAATCGTACTAGACAAAAAGTTGAGGAAGAAAGAAAGCAATGTGCGGACGGTTTGACATAAGGTAATTCATATATATTTATTATATATAGTAAGTCAATAACAAATTTTGTATAAAGTATTTTTATCCGAAAAACCGAGCAGTATAATGTTAAGTTCTTCCAAGGAATTGTATATTTTGATTGTAATATTGAAAATTGAGCTTATGAATTTTATGCATTTTTTATTATGAGGTTGTGTGTATTTCAGAGAATGAAATAATTAAAAAATTGTTATGGAGCATCGAACTCTATACATAAAGAGTTTTGCGGGAAATATATTTTTCCAAAAAATATATAAAATCAACTTATACCTCATAAATTTAGAAATAGTTTCATATCAAAATTGATCAAATTAATTCATTTTGGAAAATATTCTCGACAAAACCTGTATTTTGTATGGGTGTACAGTTGAATAGAACTAAAAATTGGATGCATATCGATTGTGAGTAGCAATATATCTGAACGGACCAAAAATGTTGATTTAATTATAAGAAATGTATTATATACCATTTTTACTCTGTAAGTGTTTAGGAGTTATTTTATTGTAAAGATGTAGAGTACAATTAAATATTTTTAATTAATCATTTTAAAGTTTCCAAAGATATAATGGAAATCTAAATTTCATATTGATTTTATTAAAACGAAATAAAAACTGTTATCATATAGCGAACAAAATTTTTCATTATCTTCGTAAATTTTACGGTTTGTTGTAACACAGTTTACATTACAGTAGTATTTAAAGCATTTAAAGTAATTTGATTTGTAAGTTGATCCTCATTACAATTGAAACCTTTTTTTGTTATCCACTGTTGTGTGTTCGAATGAAATTAAAAATGTTCAACTGCGTTATTAGCCATATTTATTGATATTATTATTAGATTAAATATACCGTAGACAAATTTGGAAAAAATTGATAATAAAATGATTCTATACATTCGGATCGTTCTAAAGTAGGTTTTAAAAAAGCAATTTTAATTGAAGTTACGAATAAATTTCAACTACAATTATGAATCTTGGAGAAATTGTTAATTGTGTAATAATTTGATCATGTGACAATTGTAGTTTTTGTATAAATAAATTTTTAGATCTACATTTAACTTGTAGATCGAAACTGTAACATTGGCTTTTTACGATCATCATTAATCTCAATATTTTTTTTTACTAATAAGTCAACGATCTTACGCAATAAATGTAAGCAATTTTTTTCAGAAGCTTTATGCATGAGATAATGGACTTTTGCCCTCGGTAATTAAGGTTAATTGCCCGCAGCATTTATTGATTTGAAAAGTGCACTGTCCAGAAAAATTTAAAAGCTACTTAGGTGCACTTACATCCTGTAAACGTCTCTGTAATTGATATTTTTTCATGTCTCTCTGCAAGCTCAGTAATACGCTAATTATCTCGTTTTGCCGTTTCCTCTGTAGGTATCGATCGATCAGAATTTCCGCAACGAAGATAGTCAAAGCAATGACCAACATTCTACTGAAGAAAACGGCGAACAGTATCCTCATATTGTGGAGTTTCAAGGGCCGGCCCTTCATCTCCAATTGATCTTTCACGTGTTCGTCGAAGGGATGATTTCTCTTCGCCCGAAAGAAGATTACTTTTTCCCATTCGATCAGGCCCATCTCGACCATCCACTGGACGAGGTCCTCGTAGCTGCGCAGCAGCGGCCAGTCCTCGCGCACCACGTTGGCGATCAGCGTCTGGTAGATCGGCTTGGACAGCCAATGAATCGACCGATTGTACGGGGCTAGCTCGCAGTCGTCGATGCAGGCGAGACGCGCGCCTTCCTTCAGCTCTTCGTAGCATTGCTTCACCGTAGTTATGTTGATGAATCGTCTGGCGAGACGATCGTCGAATAAGAACTCCTGGAAGCCAGTTACGCCCTTGATCGTGTAGTTCGAGTTGACGAGGTCGCGCATGTTGTCGATGTTGGGATTCTTCGACTCGACCATCCTCGCCGAGATGTTGCTGCTCAACCAGCCGGTCACGACGAAGAATATCATCCAGACCATGGAGATGTAGACGAGCCGAGGCAAGAAAGCCGTTGGCATCCTCAGGCTGGCGTGTCCGCCGCTCAGCCGGTAGTACTCCATCATGACCTGGAGCGGTCCGGTTTTCAGGACGACGACGAAGATCGGCAGGGTCACGAGGTAGATGCCCGCCATGATTATGTACTGGAGCACCTCCACGACGATGACGCTGTTATCGGCCTCGGACCCGTGGCTCTTTTTGCGCGTCACCACGCACATGGACCTATCGTCGCTGGCTGTGTTCTGCAGCCGCCAGAATTCACCGATATTTCGTCGATACTTCCTCTCCACCAGGATGTCGTGCTGGTTCTCCATGAGTTGTCGGAAGGAGCCTTGGGGCTGGCCCTTGTGAAAGTGCCCCGACACGTTGGACAGGATAATGACCGTCGTGACGTTCATTTTCTTCATCGCCATCTTCACGATATTGAGGTCCAAGCCGGTGTACGAGTCGACGAGGCTGGTGTTCAGCTTCGGATCTTCCAGCTCGAAAAGTTTTTCCCGCAGAGCGCCAGCCACCAGAACGGGATAACCGTTGTCGATTTTTTGCCCCTCCACGGCCATGACCAAATCTTCGCAGTGTCTCTTTTCGACTCGAGGGGCTATTAATTTCAGAAAGCTTGCCATGTACTTGTGGCCGCCGTTGGCCAACTCGATGAGCTCGACGAGCTCCCACAGCTCGGGATCGGTCACCTCCACCGAGAACGGATTCAAACTGTAAATCTGAACTCGATTCTCGGCGTCGATGCAGGCGTAGAGCATGCGAAAAACCTCGAAGCGCATCCAGGCGTCGATGAGATCCCGGCGCGCCTGTCGGCAGGCCAAGACCGATCGCAGCTTCTGATTGATGAATACGAAGACGGAGCGAGCGTCCCAGAGGACGGTCTTGCGCACGAGCTTGAGGGCCAAGGCGACGGTGACGTTGCGACGACCCGTGTGCACCAAGAACAAATTGCCCGAGTAGTACTCGAGGCCGATGGTGTCGTTGAGCGACCAGACGTCGTTGTTCACGCGGCCGAGTCTGGAGCTGAAGTTGGTGTCGGCGGTGCCGCCGATCGTGTACATCTGCAGCTCCGCGGGGAAGTACCTGTGCCAGATGTCGAAGTCGCGGAACTGGCTCGACACTACGACCACTTGGTCGAGCAGGCCGGAGTAGCAGGTCTCGATGATGCCCATCTATTGGGGCGAGAATAATGGATTATTAGAACGTGAAAAAAATGGAAAGAATGTGGGATGTACTCGATGCTTACTACTTTCTTAGCCATCGCGTGGGTGAGCGGAGTTCTGAAGGGAATCACCAATTTGTACAGAGCATCGCGATCCGACGTAGCAGGTGGCAAACAAATTAGCATGCACACGGGAATCAAAGAGCAGAAGGCAAGGTGAGATTTGAACATTTTTCTAGTCCTGCAGCCGCGGTACGTCTTGGCTTCGGCATATGTGTCAGCTAGACTAGAGCTTTTGCCAGCTCGATCGACTATGACAACTTCGACAAAGCTCGAGCTAATTGTAGCGAGCTAAAAATCAGCGTAAAAAGTGATTTTAAAAGCAGGGTGACGATAAAAGTAATTACCGTGCAAATGTCGGAAAATCGATCGAGCGTCTTAAAATAAAATCAACCGTAAAATTAGAGGCTAAAAACATGATCGAAATTTTCAAAGCAGAGGTAATGGAAATTTGGATAAGTATTTCGCCTATAGTTATTTTTAGATTGCTAACGTTAAAAAATTTCATTCCCAGAAACTATAACTATCCGTATTTGATGTTACCGTAATCAATCGAAAATTTCCTCTTATTTTCTTTTTGGCTTTAGGTCATTAAATGTCTGCAAAATGCCACTTAGGTTCGAAAAATGGCATTTAAATTGTTTATTTTTGAGTAAGTATTCGCAAATTTGAATGCAAAAAAAATTGAATTTGCGCATTAATAGTTTAAAATTCATTAAGGGGCACTCAAAGCTGGACTCGTTCTGTTTACGTTGCGCGTCAATGACCTCTCCATGTGTTGTCTGGTACGGTGTTTTGCCCTGTCTGTCATGGTAGCGCTACTATACAAGGAGAATTGTGCGGAGCTTGGTTGTACTTGGCATAGACGCAGTTTTTCAAAATATAGTGAGCACAATACAGTTGTCTTCGCCAGTCTTTTCGTGGTATAGTCAAAGTGATGAGTAAAATCATCACAGAATGATTAATTGTTAACGGATTTCCGAAAGTGATAAAAATGGAATCTAGTGGTTCACTAAACTCTGCTGTCAGGTAATTTTTTATTTTTTGAGAAAGAAATTAGAAAAATATTATCAGAAAATACTTGAACTTATTCGAAATATTTTAGAGTAAAAGAGGAAGATATTGATGTGACACGTATTCAAAATGATGCGGAAATGATTGATGAGAAACCTTATCTTAAAAACGTTCAACATTTACTATTTCCTACAGAACATGCAGTAAGTATTCATAGTTTTAAGTAATTAGTATTGTTTTTCATTAAAATTCTCTCATAGATATGATTTTTCAATAGACCCATACGCTTCGGAAATATGAAGAAAATCACGAAAGTGAACTTGATAACAAAGTGGAAATAGTTTTTGAATGCCAAGACATCAAGTCCAACATTAATTCAGTAGCAGTTGAGAAAATAAAAACCGAGAGGGAAGTGAAACAGAAATTTTTTGGCGATGTTGCAGAAGAATTTAATTTGAATTTTGATTGTGAGCTCAACGATGACATGGAAATAGTTGTTGATTGTAAAGATGTCAAACCCAATATGAATTTGTCAGTAGAAAAAAAAATTGAAGATGATTCTCAAAGTTACTCGTGTAATGTTGAAGATAGCATTGGCTGTAAAACTCAAAACGCATTTAAAATAGAGCCCACAGTGAAGGTGAAACATGAATTCACAGGCAATGCAGAAGAATTGAATTTGAATTTCCGCTGTGTTACCGAACAAAACAAAAAAAAGAAAATTACAAAAAAATTACATAACGAGCATGGATTTAAAACTCACATAGGTGCGGTGCGCAATTTTGTCACACATGCATGTGATTTATGCGGCAAGATATTCTTAAGGGAAAGTAATTTTATCGTCCACAATTGTGAGGTGCATAATAAAATTACACATGCATGTGATGTATGCAGTAAGAATTTCTCAAGCAAAGGTTATCTCAAAATCCACATTGATACGGTGCATAATGGTGTTACAAGCGAATGTGATATATGCAGAAAAAAGTTCTCAAGCAAGGGTAATCTCAAAAAACACATAAATTCAGTGCATAATGGAGTCACACATGCGTGCAATATCTATGGAAAGAAATTCACACAAAAAGTTTGTCTCCAAATCCACATCGATACGGTGCATAACGGTAACAAACATACGTGTGACGTGTGTGGAAAGAAATTCATTCAAAAAGGTTTTCTCAAAATCCACATCGATTCGGTGCATAATGGAGTCACACATGCATGTGATAAATGCGAAAAAAAATACTCAACTAAGGACTATCTCAAAAGTCACATCGATACAATGCACAAAGGTAGATTTTTTGAATAATTTTTTTGAAATCCTCTACGAATGGTAGTCTTAAACGATACATAGATGTGGCGCCTCACTCACGAATTTCAACTTAATAAACGTTAAAATATAATGTACGCGTTCGGAAGATTAATTTGAAAATTTTCATTAATAATAATACTGTGATTTCTTCTAATGTTATCTCATTATGTAAAATTTTTCGAAAAAATTTAATAAATTTTTGTAGGAAAATGAAGCACATTGTTGATTTTAAAGTTAACGAAATATTGACAACATCTAATAAAATTTCAATTGTTCTCACGTTTTCCCATATTCTTCAAAGCCCAATAAACAACTATGAACGGCCATCACAAGCGTTAATTAGCGCTAAAAATTTCAATTAGCCTCGAACTTTGACGTTTATTTTCTATAGAATTTATCGTATATTCGTGCGAACTCCGAGATATCATTGTACGAAGTATACATATTATCTTCTGCCAAATCAGAGCTCAATTGTACGCTTACTACATACAGCGATAAACCCGTTACCCACATGTGTGACATAATAATACAAGCTGTGACAATCAGTCGAAGGCCCGTATACGTTCGCGACGATGCGATGCGCGCACACATGCGTGAGCACGTGCGCTCTCGAGGCATTTAAACGTACATCACAGATATAATAGAAGAGAGGAGAAAAAAAATATCGTCAATGATTTGCATGTTCGAATATCTTGTATATGATACACACAGAAGACGATCGACAAACTACCATTATACACGCACAGATCTGTCAGCTCGAATTGACAGTCAATAATGGCATTGCTCAACCGATCGTCATACACCAAGCCAAGTTCAATCTTCTCGTCGTCGTGAACTGTTACAAGCGCAGATCTGCATACAATATGCGGCAGCGAACGAAGCTAGAAGTAAAAGAAAAAAAAATGTAGCAAAACGATGTATACAACTGACACTCGAGCTTTGCGCGAAGAATTAGCGCGAGAGCGTGGGGTTTTATTCCGCATCAAAACCGCGTGTCGTCGTCTATTGCACAATTTTCACCTATTGTCACAATAGTCTGCGTGCCGCTGTTGCATCGACGCTCGTCTTCGCGCAGTGCATACGCAATGATGGCGCGAGTCGTTAACGAAGACGGGCGGCTGACCTTTCGCAGGCTACTTCCTCAACTCGTTTGCGGTCTCGGCGGTCAGTAGTACGATCGATCTTTTCTTGTTTTGTTCATAAATCGTGAAAAATCATATCATATACGATGAATCTATCGCGCAGCCACCGTGACGATGGTCGAGCTGGGCCTGTCGAGCGGCTGGTCGTCGCCCTACCTGGCCCAGCTCACGGCGCCGGGCTCGCCGCTGCCGCTCACGCTGGAGCAGGCCTCGTGGGTGGCGTCCCTCATCAACGTCGGCCGCTTCGTCGGGGCATTTCTGGGCTCGCTCCTCGTCGAGTACTGCGGCAGCAAACGAGCCATGCTGGTCAACACGCTGCCCATGACTCTGTGCTGGATACTGACCTGTCTCGCGGACTCGCCGATCTGGCTATACCTGGCCCGGCTGAGCGGTGGCCTGTGCCTCGGCATGGCCTACAGTACCTATCCGCTTTACGTCGGCGAGGTCGCCCTACCTCGGATCCGGGGCGCCCTCGTGTCGCTCGTCTCGTTCGGCGGCACCGTGGGTATATTTCTGGGCATCCTGGCCGGTAGCTACCTGGACATGCGACTGTCGGCCGGCATCTATCTGGGCCCGTGTCTCTTTCTCATAATCCTGTTCATGTGGTTGCCGGAGTCGCCTCATCACTTGGTCAAAGGTATAACATCGATCACTTTCAATGTTATCTTAATAATAATCGCGATCCAGAGTCGTGAGAGTGAAAAAAATTCACGCGCTCGTGCTACATAGTTCGCGATAGATATATCTCTCGCAGCGCAACTAATGGAATTAGCGAGCGCACATGTAGTTGACTCGAAGCTTTAACTAGCAAACAATGATCGGTGCGCTTGTTATATATCGCGCTCAAGCGGCATTGACTCAAGGTCGTGCGACGAGAAAAAAAAATAAAACAAACAAACTGATACAGATTTTCTTCTCTCTCTTTCATGAAGTCAACGATTTGAAAAAAGCGCGAGAATCAATCGAGTACTACCGTGCGGGTTACCAGGTCAACGAGGAGCTCGAAGCCGTGCAGAAATTTGTCCGGGGTCAGGGCACTCTGGCTTTCTGGGACAGATTCTGCGAGCTACTGCGCCAGCCGCCCTTACTCAAGGCCACACTGCTCATCGTCTTTCTCTGGACCTTTATGCAGCTCAGTGGCTTCAACAATGTCCTGTTCTACATGGAGATGATCGTTAGGGACGCCGGGGTCACGGTGATCGAGCCCAAAGTCGTGGTGATTTTCGCGGGTCTGGCCGCCGTAGTCGCGTCGGGACTGGCGATATGGATCATCGACAAATACGGAAGGTAATGTAATACCGCAAGACAATCTCGTTGAGATAATCGTTATCTAATTTTGTTTTTATTTCCTTCTCAGAAAAATATTACTGACGATGTCGAGTCTCGGCGTGACCCTATCCATGATCGGCCTCGCCGTACAGTATCTCCTTATCGACGGCCAACCAGCAGCAGGCATCAGCCCGACTCTGCAACTGCTACCGATCGGATCGATCGTGCTCTACGAGATTTTCTTTTTCTTGGGCTTCTTCTGCGTGCCCAGCGCCGTGCTCTCGGAGCTCTTCCCGGCCAATGTCAAGTGCGCCGCCGCCTGTCTGGCCAGCCTCGCCGGCGCCGTGTTCGCCTTCGTCTCGACCAAATCCTATCAGCCGCTGGTCGAGGCCATCGGCACCAGCAACGTCTTCTTTTTGCAGGCCGTTCTGGCGTTCCTGGTCACGCCCTACGTGGCGCTCTTCATGCCCGAGACCAAGGGCAAGAGTCTGCAGCAGATTCAGGACGACTTGATGAGCGCGCGACGATGATGATGACGATCGGATGATCGCGGCCGATTGTTTTATCGATAAGAGGAGATTAACGGATGGATAATTCTGTCAAAACACGCACGATTTATAAAAGCGCAACAGTAGCTTATGCTTTTTTTGACATTTCATCGAGATTATTGTATACGTTTGATTTAATAAACGAAATTTTAATACAATGCATACTTGTATAGAAACAATGCGATGTAAAATGAAAAAAATGGAAACTTTTATTTGATCAGATCAATAATGCCCAGAGCTCTCGACAAATTTGCACAAGACTCGCGCGATCCGAGCAACTCGCTCGCGCCACGATTTGCACATGGATTCTTCTCACTCGATTAAGCCGCTGAGAATGGCAATTCACGATTGTCTTTTTTTACGAATTTTTCTCTCATCTTTTTGTTCATACTCTACACATCGTTAATAGATATATTGTGCAAAATTTTGTATTCGCCATTATCTTATCGTTTCTCGTTTCCCGCGGGGCTCTCTTAATTCGTGAGCAAATCGAGTTTTTGTGCGCTCCACTGGTAAAACGCGTTTTGTATTATGTACTCGTAATATACATATAGCGTGTGTATCATCATCAATTATAAAATGAACGAATCTGAGCGAGTTGAGAGGAAGATAGGGGAGAAAGAAAGAGAGAGAGAGAAATGACGATGAAAAATGAATTCTTAACGACTGGTATATAGTTGTTTCGTGTACGCGCTCGTGTCGCGCTCATGCGACGACGAGAATATAGTCTTTTCATAAGCCTCGCACAGATTCGATCGGCTGCTGTGTGGATTTTTTAATATACAATACAAAAACATCACGTGCAGCATCATGGTGCAGCAGAAAATCGAGCAAGGCATTTTTAGTCGACAATTTTTTCCTCAATGGATCGCCGCTGCTGGGGGTAAGTTTTGAATGATTTACAATATCCGAGTGAGAGAGATTTAAAACGATTACTCGCGTGCCACCACGCGAGAAATGTTTTTATCGGTGAAAGCGTCGGGAGGAAAAATAAGAAGTGCAATGGATTTGCCTAACGCGATAACCCATTGGAGATAATTAATTTTTATACTAAATATTATAAATTTTATTGTATCCGTGTATAATCGAGTGTAGATCGTAAAAAAAAAAGATGCCTCGTGTCGAGCACACGCGAATTCAGTATACGCGTCGTTATTGCCGCTGATAGTAGCACAGTCTCAATGTTTACTTTTGAGCCATCAAAAATCAGCGACGCGCAAAAGTGACTCGGCTATAATACAATATCGCGCGAGGCATTTGCATGAAATCGAAGAAATTTAGAACTTAATTGTATCACGTACATACATTTCGAAAATTGTTAAAAAAAAGAATAGGGCCTACTATTCAAGTTTAAAATTAGCCTCCTTTCAAGGCTGTGTTCTTTAAATCTTATCGGAGATTTGATGCAGACACCTGCTTTTTGGGACGCTCGAACTGTAGCGTGAATTAGATTGTAATTTCTATTTCATGATTATTGAGATTGATGACCGAATTATCAAGCTGACAAAAAAATAAAACACTGCATAACACGGAATACTTTGCCTCATTTATGAAATGTATATAATTTTATGAACTCAGGTGAAAATCTGACTGAGAACAGAAAATTTTCGTCACATAGTGAAGAGTTTTAAATGTTCTTAGGCTATTACCAAAGTCTGTTTACTTCAAGCAATTTTTTGCTTTGGTTCATAAAATTATACATTTTATTATCCGGGGTAAAAATGCTTAACATAAGTAATGGCCCTGTGACTAAAGAATAACAGTATAAAATATTTTAAGATATATAAAAATTAATTGGCTTATTATTAGCGATTTGTCTGCAATAATTACGTTATAAATATTCAGCGGATTTTAAATGATCTGAAAATGACAATTTTCACATCTTTTAAAAAATTCAGAATACTTTTTAACAACTTCGAGTTCGATAATATTACTTTAAGCCGCCACCACTAGATGGCCAGTAACTTTATTTGAGTAAACCTGCAAGTGGCAAAGTTAAAATAATTGTATAAGTCAAAACACGATTTCGACAGTCATCCAGATCTATAGATGAGAAGGAATTTAGTTTCAAATTTTCTGACTAAAAACGGAACAATTTTTTTTCGTTGGACGCATACTATGGACATTGGGTATTGTTCTTGAAGGTCCTAGAAAGCTAAAAAAATGCGCGAACATGAGATTTAAAGATAGGTAATTTTTTTTTGGCTACTTTTGTGTTTTAGCGCCCGAAAAGTCATGTTTTCGAGTAAATACGACAATTCACTCAATTTCTAAGTGGCTGAAAAAGTATGAAAACTCATTTAAAAAAAGTGACTGACTACCCCATTCGATAGGAAATTTTCTTGGCTTTCCGATGGTGATAACAGATTTTTCGATACATTGCATATTCACCGAGAAAATCATCACCAAACATGCCGAGCTAAATATCTTGAAAAAATCAGTACGGAAAAATAGCTTTTTATGGTTTCTTTTTGATTTTTTCTTATGAAAATTGAATATTTTGGAAAATCTGATACTACCATCGGAAAACTGAGGAAATTTCCTATCGAAAGCATATTTTCATTAATTTTTTCCGTTGAATTATGAGCGAGTTTTGATTGTAGCGAGCCGCACAACGCTGAAAACTTTGCGACAACGATTAAAACAACTCGGGAACAGAAAACAGCAAACACAGTAAAAGAAATTCGTTTTTATAACATTGTGATTCGACGGAAAAAATAAATGAAGATATGGTTTTGATTGGATTTTCCATCAGCTTTTTCATGGTGGTATCAGATTTTCCAAAATATTCAATTTTCATAAGAAAAAATCAAAAATAAACCAAAAAGTTCACTATTTCCTTACTGATTTTTTCGAGATATTTAGTTCGGCATGTTTGACCATGATTTTCCCGGTGAATGTGCAATGTGTCAAAAAATCTGTTATCACCATCGGAAAGCCGAGAAAATTTCCTATCGAATGAGGTAGTCAGTCACTTTTTTTAAATGAGTTTTGATACTTTTTCAGCCACTCAGAAATTGAGTGAATTGTCGTATTTACGCGAAAACATGACTTTTCGGGCGCTAAAACACAAAAGTAGCCAGAAAAAAATTACCTATCTTTAAATCTCATGTTCTCGCATTTTTTAGCTTCCTAGGACCTTCAACAACATTACCCAATGTTCATAGTATGCGTCCAACAAAAAAAAAATTGTTCCGTTTTCAGTCAGAAAATTTGAAACTAAATTCCGGAATTGCTCATGTTTTTGATAATTTCTACCGTCACAATAAAAAATGTTCATTAAATAGCCAAAAATGTGGCCATAAATAATTGAAAAAGAAATATTAGTTTCGGTTGGTATAAGTCCAATTCTAATGTTTCTTTTACGTCCAAGACGAGACGAAGCATACTATGAGTTAATTTTTCTGTCAATGCGACTGAAATCGCTAGTGACACAATATTATCAAATCATGTAAAATAATTTAAGAATCCACGAAAGATTCGAGTGCTCGGCCATCTTTCATTATCAAAACAAAAGTCGAAGTACGAGCAAACAAAATCAAAAACATGCCACTTTATAACGACGTCATCGCAATTTCTTCTCGCAGTGATCCTCGTGATGGCCCAGTTGGGCGCCATGTGCGGCTGGACGTCGCCCTATCTGGCCAGACTCAGTCGTCCCGACGCCGAGCTGCATCTCGATCCCGGGGAGGCATCGTGGGTCGCCTCCCTCATCAACGTCGGCCGCTTCCTCGGCGCCTTCCTGGGCTCGGGATGCACCCACCTGTGGGGCAGCAAACACGCCCTGCTCCACACCCTCGTGCCCATGGCCCTCGGCTGGGCCCTCATCCTGTGCGCCAAGGACGCCCTGATGCTCTATCTGGCCCGAGTCAGCCTGGGCTTGGGCATGGGCATGGCCTTCTGCTGCTTTCCGCTCTACATCGGCGAGATCGCCGTGCCCCGGATCCGAGGCGCCATCGTCACCGTCGCGTTCTGCGGCTCTCCCTTCGGCAACGTGCTCGCCAGCGTCATCGGTGCCTATACGAGCATGATCGTCTCCAGCTGCGTCTTCCTCGTGCCCTGCCTGGTGGCCATCGCTCTGTTCTGGTGGCTGCCCGACTCGCCGCATCATCTCGTCAAGCGGGGCGATCTCGAGGGCGCGCGCCAAGCCATCGACTGGTATCGCAACGGGGTCGGCGTCGACGAGGAGCTCAAAGCCGTGCAGGCCTTCGTCCAGTCCGGCGACGGTGCCGCCTCCGCCTTCAAGAACTTCCTCGGCCAGCTCAGTCAGCCCTACATCCGCAAGGCCATCTGCATGTCCATGATGCTGTTCATGTACATGCAGCTGTCGGGACTGAACAGCGTCCTGTTCTACATGGAGAACATCCTGCGCGAGGGCCAAGTCACCATTATCGAGCCGGCCCTGACCGTCATACTGGTCAGCGTCGTGGGAGCTATCACAGCCCTCGCGTCGATCAACCTCATGGACAAGTGTGGCAGACGAGTACTGATCATGACCTCCGGCTGTATCATCACGGTCTCCATGCTGATTCTCGGCGCCAGTTTCGTCCTCCTGGATCACGACTACGATCCGGCCTACATTCAGAGCTTCGTCGTTTTCTCCCTGTTTCTGTTCATGATCGGCTTCGTGGCGGGCCTGATGCCCGTGCCGAGTGCCGTGCTCTCGGAACTCTTTCCGGCCAACGTCAAGTGCGCCGCCGCCTGTCTTGCCTGCCTCACAGGGGCTCTGTTCGCATTCGGTGCTTCGAAAGCCTATCAGCCACTGGTCAGTCTCATCGGCGAGGGCTACGTCTTTTTCATTCACGCCCTGCTGATGTCCACCGTCATTCCCTTCGTGCTGCTCTACATGCCCGAGACCAAGGGCAAGTCGCTACAAGAGATTCAAGATATCCTCAGCAAAAAGAGTTGAAAGGTTGGATTTTAAGTTAAATTTTTGGACCTTTGTAAATTATACGAAAATCTAGCGTGTGTTTTCTCAGCTGATCGAATGTTTTTATTCTACCGCGACTATTTCAATAGTCTAATAATTAGCCTTATCTACGAATAAGCGTATAGATTTCGTATCAGATTGTGTATAGATAGATAGATTAAAATTATGTAAATTATGTATATAAAAAAATCTAATAGATATGATGTAATTGCTTGCCTATAACTTTTAATGACTTCGAGTATCTTCGAGTATCTTTGAGTATATTTATTTTTAATTATTAAATGTAATAAAGTTATTTTTTGTAAAAAACAAACTTTTTAACATGGTGACTTCCAATGATACGTCTTTCTTTTGTTGTCCTTTAATATCTCTTATACGCTTACGACAAACCGTAATAAAAAGCGACAATTGACAATTGACAAATAAATTTTTGTATTCTTTTCGATCGCATATGAAACAATAAATAATAGCTAGCGTATTGCTGATGTGTGAAGTTAGTGGGAGGTAAGTAATTTGACAAAGAACAACAGTTTAGAAGCAATAATTCATTTCATTATCGCGCGAAGACAATTGCTACCCTCATTATATTCTTTATATGGCAAAGCAGAATAAGAAAATAATACCCAATTATCGATTCAAAAATATGCAAAGTTTAAATTTGCACTTATAATATAAATATTACTGTTTTTTCCCTATTGTCTTCGTGTTTTTTAATCGCAAGATAATACCGTAATTAACCAAAATTTATACCAAAAATTGGCACTTAGCATTGTAAAAGTGACCATTCGTACGTCTCCGAAAAGAAGAAAATGTTTAACTTACTGCATTATTTAATCGAATCGTTATTAAAAAGCTCGATCTATCGAAGCTTTATCTTTTTATTTTTTCGCAATACCGACAATAACGCAAACGAAAGGATTATTTTATTTAAATACGCAGGCAAGGCTTTCTTTATCGATCGATAAATAATTATAAATCACACAAACCAGTTTCATATGTAACGCAGCGCAGTATCATTTTACCTTCTCTCGGGACACACGCACCTACTATCAGTCTCTCTCGAGGCATAGTTTTGGCCTATTAGTACCTGGCATAATCTAAATTAATATATTGGCATAGTAGCATTGTACACTCGCGCTCGCTCGCTCGTCATTGTAGCGAAGCCTACAGCTATAGAAACACGTGAGAGGCGACAACTCTCGAGGCTCGTTGGCAGTACCATCGCTCGGAGATCCAGTCATACTAAAAATACGCGCGCTGATAGTGTATTGTTGTTTTGAGTTCATTCAGAACTTTATACCGATCACTCGTCGCTGGCTGTAAAAAATCGTGCCGAGTTCGTGATCGAGCTTTCGATTCGAGGCAATTTTTATTTCATTTTTTTTTTTTTATACAACGATCAAACTACAAAATTGACTCTCTTTCTTTCTTCTGTGAAAATTTCAAGTGGTATTTAATTAGACTCTCGAGTATTGTAATCTTATCGTGGCCCCGATGTAAATAGATGACTCGTTGAATTGCTCCTTATAAATGTCGACCATCAGTCGGGAACAGCTCGCGGCTCTATACCCCGTACAATCGTTTCACGAATGAAGAGACAGACGTGGGACGTAGCTTTAGCAAAACACACCTAAATGGATCAAGAGTCCAGCACGCATCATCATGGTCGTACCGGCAGTCAGCAGTAGTAGTTTTCTCTCAACCAAGTACTATCCGCAATGGATAGCCACCGTAGCAGGTGAGCTTATTGCTATCTTTTATCTAAAAATTTTTTTGATATCGACGAGAGAATGTGCTTTTCTTAATTTTTTCATTTTCATAGTTAAGTGTATGGATCTCATAAGATTTTTTCATACTGGACTTTGCATATTTAACGCTTACAATCATTTCAGATATTTAACATTCATTTTTAAACAATATGATTTGAAAGTATAATAATTTTATCACTGAGCATTTTTGAAATTTGCTAAATGTTTGATGCGTTAGTCACCGTGACGATGCGAAAAATGTATATAAATTGACTTAACTCTGAAATTAAGCACAAATCGATTTTTTTCGCAGCGTGTTGGTGAAAAATTGATGGCAAAATTTGGACGACATTGAACTACTTTGATCATTTAAATTTAATATTCTACATTTTAAAGTTCTCAGAAACGATAATATAATCGTTAATTTGATAGTTACCCAAAAATTTGACATAATTAACATAATAGAACGATGTAATATACAAAAATTGTGCTCTTTTAAAGAGCTCCCAGTATGAGATTGTTTCAACATATTGAGAAATAATTTTAGCAAAGATTAATTGTTACACCGTACAGTCTCAGAAAAAGTAAGGTATTTCATGAAATAAAAATATATATAACTAATACATTTCTCAATATGTTGAAACAATTTCACCGGGTTCAAAGAATTCGTCAAAATAGCCCAGTTGTAATAACGATAATTCCAATTTTTTCTTCCTTTCACAGTATTATTCACGGTGCTCCAGATGGGTGCCATGTGCGGTTGGACGTCGCCCTACCTGGCCCGCTTAACCACACCCAACGACGAGCTCTGGGTGACTCCGGCCTCGGCCTCGTGGATCGCCGCCTTGCTTCACGTGGGCCGCGTCGCGGGCACCATCGTGGGCCTCGTCTGCACCAACATGTGGGGCAGCAAGCGCGCCATGGAGCACACCCTGATCGTCATGCTGCTGGGCTGGTGTCTCGTGCTGTTCGCCGACAGCGCCCTGATCCTCTACTTCGCTCGGTCTCTCAGCGGCATGGGCATCGGCATGATATTCTGCTGCTTTCCGCTCTACATCGGCGAGATCGCCTTCGCCGAGATACGCGGCGCCATCTTCACCCTGACCTTCTGCGGCGCTCCGCTGGGCATCCTCGTGGCCTGCGTCACAGGCTTCTATCTGAGTCTGAGGCACTCAGCCATAGTGTTCATCGTGCCGTGCGTGCTGAACATCGCCCTGTTCCTGTGGCTGCCCGACTCGCCTCATCGACTCGTGCGGAAGGGTGATCTGGCCGGGGCTAAACGCGCCATCTCGTGGTATCGCAACGGCCATGGCGTCGACGAGGAGCTGGCCAACGTCCAGAAGTTCATCGACTCGTCCAGCGAGTCCGGTTTTCTGGACTTTTTGCGCCGCCTCCGGGTGCCCTACATCCGCAAGGCCGTCTTCATCTCGATGATGCTGTTCATGTACATGCAGATCAGTGGCCTCAACTCGATCCTCTTCTACATGGAGATCATCTTCCAGAAGGGTCAGGTGACTCTGCTGCGACCCTCGCTGGCCGTCATCCTCGTCAGTATCGCGGGCGTCCTCGCGGCCGTGGCCTCCACCAATCTCATGGACAAGTGCGGCCGTCGAGTGCTGCTGATCGGCTCGGGCTCCGGCGTCACCCTGGCCATGCTCATGCTCGGCACGCACTTCGCACTGCTGAACTATCTGGGCCTCGCAGCCGCGGAGCACTTCCAGGGCCTCATAATCGGCGGCATCTTCGTCTTTATCGTGAGCTTCATGCTGGGCCTCATGCCCGTGCCGAGTGCCGTCCTCGGTGAGCTGTTCGCCGCCGACACCAAGTGCCAGGCCGCCTTCGTGTCGAGTCTGGTCGGGGCCATCTTCGCCTTCGGCTCCTCCAAGCTGTACCAGCCCATGGTCGACGGCATCGGCGAGGCTTGGGTGTTCTTCATTCACGCCCTGCTGATAATCACGATCGTGCCGTTCGTGCTGCTATTCTTGCCCGAGACCAAGGGAAAGTCTCTCCAAGAGATACAAGATATTCTCAATCCGGGCGGCGTAGTCAAGAATAATAATGACTCATCCCAAGCGTCCGTCGATCGCTTTTAAAAAGATATAACAATACCGCGATAAGTCTGTGCGATGACAAATGTGACCGAACTATGATTAGTCGAGATAATCAGTTAAACTCATGTAAATAGATAAATAGATGTATAATATTTTTACTTTATCGCAAATCTGTGATTGTATTGTTAAGTAGCGAATTATATAACGATAAAAATCTGAGTTGACGAAAATTTTTTTTCTATCGTATACCGATTGTTTATTTATTGCCATCTAATAAAGAACTTGAAAGACAGAGCAGTTAATAGCTAAAGAGAAGACAAAAAAACATCTCAGCAATTGATTCGCTAACTATTTTCACTTTAAACGCGCAGAAGATCGTCGCTTATTATTATTGACAATCGCATAATGTTCCGCTGCAAGTGTACATACGAAAGGCAAGTCAAAAGCAAGACGAAGAAGAGCAGAAAATGCAACCGCATAAGTTGCACTCACTTGGCTCTATATCCATCTCTCTCTTTCGCGCTCGCGCGCGAGCCACCACAGAGCCAGCGTAGCGCAAGGGATTAAAAGATAAAAAAAAAAGGTAAAGAAGAAAAGTAGCCAGCGGTACGGCAAGTCTCGCGTGTATAAGCGCGTCGAGGGTGACAGTCGTGTACGGATTCTTTCTCGCGAGCGCGAGAGAGACGGATAGAGAAAACGAACGAATGAGAGAAACGAGACATTGAAAGCAGCAGCGAGTGCTAGTGGCTAGTCGAGAGGGTGAAGCTCTCTGGGCCGCTCGCTCGTCTCTCTCTCTCTGTGGGCAGTGCTGCACTCGTCGTCGTCATCGTCATCATCGAATAGTCGTCGTGATTTGTCGTCGTAGTTGATCGTTGCTTTCTATAGACATCATGCCACCTTCGCCGATGTTTCCGTTCGATCGGTTTCGCGACTCCGCGAATTATCCTTGTCGCGTGTCGATCGTGTCCGACCAGGCGTCACTAGATTTGGCGCTTGCTCCCGCGAGGCAGCAGGAAGTGCGTAAGTAAACATCGTTATTGATATTGTGTCGAGGGTGGTCGCTGCACTGGCTTATATATATTTTTTCAAAAATGCAATACAGCCGGGAGCAAGCACGACAACAATCACGACTCCTGCAACAATTCGCACAAAACGACGGCGGCGACGGCGACGGTGTTGACGTCCAAGAGCCTCGTTAAACGGATCAAGCAACTGTTGCCTCAAGCCTTGTCCGCTTTTACAGGTATCAATTTTTCTCTTTTCTTTGTTTTCATTATCGCTCTGCGTGCGTGTCGATATCGTAATCGCGCGACTTGTGCAGTATGGATCATAATCGTGGAGATCGGCATCACGTGCGTCTGGTGCTCGCCCTACCTGGCCAAGCTCACCGCCAAGGACTCGCCTCTGCCGCTGAGCGATCGCGAGGCCTCGTGGGTCGCCGCGGCCCTCTTCCTGGGCCAGCTTCTGGGCTCGGTGTCGGGCGCGGTGAGCGTCAATTTCGGCGGCAGCAAGAGGACCTGCCTGATCACGGCCCTGCCCATGGCGCTGGGCTGGATACTCGCCTACTTCGCCTACTCGCCCGGTTGGCTCTACGCCTCGAGATTCAGCTCGGGGATCGGCTCGGGTCTCGGCTTCAGCTGCTTCCCGCTGTACCTGGGCGAGGTGGCCGACCCCAAGGTCCGAGGCTCGCTCGTTTCGTTCGCCATGATGGGCGCACCGGTGGGCAATCTTCTGGGCAGCATCATCGGCTCCAACATGAGCCTGAAGATGTCGAGCGTCGTCTTCCTGGCCCCCTGCGTGCTCCTGTTTCTCTTGCTCAGCGTCATGCCCGACTCGCCTCATCATCTGGTGAAGCAGGGTAAATTGGACGAGGCCAGATGGGCCATCGGTTGGTATCGCGGCTGCGAGTCCGCCGTCGAGAAGGAGTTGGAGGAGACGATCATCTTCGTCAAGTCGACCGAGGCAATTAGCTTCAAGGAAAAACTCGGTGAATATACTCACATATAATAATTGTTGTTAATCGATATGCTAATCATCAAATCTCGTGATCTTCTTCACAGGCGAATTCAGATATCGTCACAATCAAAAGGCCACTATCCTCGTGATGTCGCTGTTCGTCTTCATGCAGCTCTCCGGTCTCAACGACGTCCTCAGCTACATGGAGATCATTCTCGTGCGCGGCAAATTCGTCCTCTACAAGGCCTCGAGCGTCGTGTCGTACGCCGTCGCCGCATCGGTCCTCACCGCTATCTGCTGCATCGGCCTGACCGACAGATTTGGTCGTCGCCTTCTCCTAATTGTCTCCTCCCTAGGCGTCGCCTTATCTCTCAGCATCCTCGGCACTCATTTCTCGTTTCTCGAGGAAGCCGAGACATACCCTGGCTCTCAACTACTACCCATGATCTCCGTGTTTCTGTTCATCATTTTCTTCACCGTCGGCCTCAGCTCCATACCGAGCATAGTCGCCAGCGAGGTCTACTCGGCCAACGTCAAGCCTCTGGCCACCTGCCTGGTGAATCTCACCTCGTCCGCTGCGGCCCTCGTCGCCGCCAAGTCGTTTCAGCCGCTCGTCGATCTGATCGGCGAGGCCTGGGTGTTCTACGGCCACGTGCTCGTCACGCTGATGGTCGTGCCGTTCGCCGTGCTCTTCATGCCCGAGACCAAGGGCAAGTCGCTGCAACAGATCCAAGAGGATTTTCTGAAAAAGTAGACAAAGTCGCCAATGTCTGTACTGTACTGTTCATGAAATAGTGTGTTTAATCCGCGCGAGCCAAGTCGAGTGCTGCAGAGTTGCTGCAGTGACTCGATAAATCGATAAACTTTAATTAGTATTATACAAAACCTGTGTTCGCCGTCAGTATTCTTTTCAATTAATTTTAATTTTTTTGTATATGTCACTTTTTTATATGAAGATTTGTCGAATAAAAAAAAAAGCGTTTAAATGTCAATGTGTCTATTTCTCTACTCTGCATATCTGTGCAAATATATTCCAACAGCCAATATCAAGTGTCGTATTACGTAACCCCGGCAATGGCTGTTGTATATACTTATACTCGGCTACGGCGGCCACGGGGGTGCTGCTGCTGCCGCTGGTTGATAATAATAAGTGTCCGGGGGAGCTTAAAGTTACGTGTATGGTTTCGCCCTATAACTGCTGAGAAATTCGCGATAACCCTATGGGTATAAAACGGTATTACAAAGAAACTGAGAGAATAATTTTTTTTTCAAGCGTCGTCATCGTATCGTGAGTCACGATCATCGTATCGATGAACGAAATAATTTTTTTTTTTTTGCGTGCACAATATTTTTAATGAAAATATTGAAAGTCAAGCGATAAACAATTAATCACCTCGTTGGAGGCGCGCATCGCTTAAAAATTCGAAAACTGCGCGCGAGTGAGAGAGAGAGAGAGAGAGAGCAATATAATTTATGCTTGCGGTGTGAGTAATGCGCTTATGTAAGTCAACAATGTATGTGTGCACGTTTCAAAATTGTCAATGTAATAAAAGTGTGGGAGATGCGCATTTTTTTCTTCGTTCGTTTGTTTACAAACAATCGTGTGTACGCGAGTTGCCACGCATTCGAAAAGACGGGCTGCAGTGGTCACTACTGCGTTCGCGCACGCGAGTCTTCGATATATATAAAAACGCGCGCGAGACTTCGAAGTCTTCGGGATCGAGATTTAATTTTTTCTCATAATTTTGTTTTTTCATTCGCATCTCTGCTGCACGCGCACACGCACACAAGAGAGCTGCTGCTGCTGCAACTCGTTATAAAATATATATCTTCGCGCGGAGCGTCTCTGCGCGCGGCCTGGCGTGAACTCGTTCTGGCGTTTCGAAAAATAAAAAAAGGTATAATATCCAGCCGATGGAAGTAAAGTCATTAAATAATCGCGTCGCGGAGACAGAAATTATACGCTAAACGCGTGCACTCGTTTTGAAGTACACCAGGCTCAGGCTCTGCTGCTGCTCTCTTGGCTCGTGAAAGTAGTCATTCACGATTGAATATTTATCGTGACCGTTATAAGTTCAAAAATGTAAGTTTTCTGCAGCAGATAAGGCATTTTATGTTACATAAAAAAAAAACAAGAAGATTGAAGTGCCGCTTGCATGTTTATGCATCTCGGTTACAACATTCGAGAGCGTATAATATATAGATATATATTTTCTCCTCGAGTGGTATTCAAGTTGCATAAGATTTTTCGCACTTTTACGCCTCCTGCGGACTGCGGACTGCCTCACGCACACAGTTTTCCATCTGTATCTCTTCATGCCGCTGCCGCACAACCATGTGTGTGCTTTTAACCTTGCTTATCTAGTCTTTTTTTTTCTTTAATTACGCTTAACCTTGCTTACATCGATGCATTTCGTATGAATTAATTGATGAATAGATCGTTGCAACTCTATGGCAGCGGCACATATATATGTCCATTCATAGAGGAGAGCCTCGCGGGAGCTGCGGGAGCGAGTCTACGGTCGTCGCCGAGAGCACAGCTAATAAGTCCATACACCGTTAATTTGTCAAATCGAGTGCAGCCGCGCGACGAGAGTGTGTATCACAGTGCAATAGTAGCCAAACAAGTGAGAGTTCGCTGCCTTTTTTTTGTCTTTGTTTTTTTTTGCCCGTTGTTGTCGAACGTTCGTTTATGTCTACATTATGACGCATCCAGAAGCTAATGAGCGTAAGTTGCGTATTATATCAATAATGTGTCAATTCTTAACCGATTGTTCATTTATGCATGCACGTCTATCATGCGCTCGCTTACTTAAGAAGCTTAGCGCGCGATCGCACTTCGCGACGATCGCACACAGCGCGAGTATATAAATTCATTAATTCCGTTATTAATAATATGCGCGTGCACATTAGAAGTCTCGAGTCTCGAGCTAGAGACGCCGCCGTCAACGAGTAATTATATCTTGGCGCATAATCGCTCGTCTAAAAAGCTACACAAACAAAAATACGCGTGTTTTGCAAAAAAGTGTGAACTTCTTTTTTTTTTTGTCATGAAATTTTCACACGAAAACTCTATTCTTATCTTATCTGCGGAAAAGCTGAATTCGCGCGTCGACTCATGACTAAAGGATATTTATATTGCTCGATCAGAACTCAAGAGCTTATTCGCTTATGGCGACGAGCGCGACGAAGGCAGCAACGGCACCAGTGTCAAAGAAGAAGCCACGACGTCGTCGGCAGCGCCATTGCAGTGTAGAATGTCAACGTCCAAGAGCATCGTGGCCAGGGTGAGGCTTCTGTGTCCGCAAGTTTTGGCAGCCGTCGCAGGTGAGTCGAATAACACGAAGAAGAAATCGGTTCGCCATTGCCGATCCGCGATCGTGCAGAGTGTGTACCATATTGTTGTTGTTTTTTTTTTCGTCCAGTATGGCTGATAACGTTGGAAATCGGCATCAGCATCGTGTGGTCGTCGCCGTATCTGGCCCAGCTCATGGAGCCGGACTCGCCGCTGCCGCTGAGCCCCAGCGAGGCGTCGTGGGTCGCGGCGCTGCTCTACCTCGGCCGTCTGATCGGCTCGGTCACGGGCGCCGCCAGCGTCGATCTGTTCGGCAGCAAGAAGTCGTGCCTGTTCAGCGCCCTGCCGATCGCCGCCGGCTGGATACTGACCTACGTGGCGACCTCAGCGGCATGGCTCTACGCGGCGAGGATCAGTCTCGGCCTGGGGTTCGGCTTCGGCTACGCCTGCTTCTCGCTGTATCTCGGTGAAGTGTCGGATCCGAAAATCAGGTGCGTTATATAGAAATGATCGAAATTTTTGTGGCTATAGTTTTTGCTCAACGGATAAGTTTTTTTTCAACAATTTATGGTTACATATGGAGTTATAGAATTAACGATAGAATCATTTACAAACAGAGATACAAATTATGTCCCCTTGACTTATACACCTATTTTCACTTAGCCACTTGCGGATTTACAAATACTCGGTACTCGCCATCTAGCGGTGGAGTCTTAAAGTGCTATCGTCAGATTTGAAATAGGTAAACGTAAGAATGCATTATCAGTATTTTACCACGATGCTTATTGGAAGAACTTCTTGTAAGAAAACGGTTTAATAACCGCTTCACTTGATAGTCCATAGAGCACGGCCCACTTTAAATTTTAATTCATCGCAATCGTAATTTTCTCATAATGCAATTAAAGTACATTTTCACGCGAAATATTATCGAAAAATCTGTCAATTTCTCTATCTCTCATCGGTGCGCGCACGTTGTACTATCCTCTTATCTCGTGCGCCTCGAGTACATTTCTTATCGCTCGCTCGCTCGTGTGCCGCGTGCGTGCATACAGTAGTGACAGCAGCAGCCAGCTGATCATTGATCAAACAAAACTAATCGTCCACGCTCTGATGTAATATAATTTAATTATGCCAAGTTCAAACAACGTCGTTTATTGTACGATCTTTGCAGGGGTGCCCTCGTCTCGTTCGCCATGACTGGCGCGTGCGTGGGCAATTTTCTCGCCAGCGTCACCGGCTCCAACATGAATCTCCAGACGTCGAGCGTCACGTACTTCGTGCCCTGCGTCGTGCTCGTGATCATGCTGGCGATCATGCCGGACTCGCCCCATCATCTGGTCAAGCTGGGCAAGTTCGACGAGGCTAAGAAGGCGATTGAGTGGTATCGTGGCGGCGACCAGGTCGAGAAGGAGCTGGAAGAGGTCACCGAGTTCGTGAGGTCGACCGCTGCGGCGAGCTTCTGTCAGAACTTGGGTGCGTATAAATGATTTACATACGTATGATACGATGATCGACTTTCGTTAATTATAATGTGTGTCAACAGGTGAATTTAAAGAGCGTCACGTTCAACGAGCCACGATCCTTGTGATGATGCTGTTCGCTTACATGCAGCTGTCCGGCCTGAACAACGTCTTTTTCTACATGGAAACGATTCTCAAAAACGGCCAAGTCGACATGGTCAAGCCCTCCACCATCGTAACCTACGCCCTCGGCACGGCAGTCGTCGCCTCGGTGCTCTACATCGGCCTCTACGACAAATTCGGTCGTCGGCTCCTGATGATCGTCTCGTCGCTGGGCGTCTCCGTCGCCCTGACTACCCTCGGCACGCACTTCATTCTACAATCGGCCGGCGTCCAGTGGACCGGATCCCAGTGGCTGCCCGTCCTCTCCATATTCGGCTTCATTGTTTTCTTCGTGCTCGGCCTCGGCTCGATACCCTGCATCGTCGCCAGCGAGGTCTACTCGGCCAACGTCAAGTCCGTCGCGACCTGCATGTCGAATCTGACCGCGGCAGCCACGGCGTTCGCTGCCTCCAAGGCCTATCAGCCGCTGGTCGATATCTGGGGCGAGGGCCCGGTATTTTATCTGCACGCGGCAATCACCCTGACGTCCGTCCCGTATGCCCTGTATTTCATGCCCGAGACCAAGGGAAAATCCCTGCAAGAGATACAGAATGACCTGAGGAATTGATGATCGTTTTATCGCTGTTTTTTGAATGTTTTAGAGGATGAAATTAATGCGTGCAAAGACTGTGAAAAAAATTTAGTTTTTAGAATTTTTAATTAGGAGCTTTATCGTGTATATGTGTTCAATAGGACATTAGTGATGTAAGAGAGAAAAAATATATTTTTTATAATTTATACTTAGTTAGTTGAACCGACTTTTGTGATTTTATATTATACAATGTAAGCGCTTAGAATGATAATACCCGTATCGAGCAAAATAAGAATAATCAATTTTTTGTATAATGGATATGTAAAATAATTTTCCGAATAAAAAGATCGTCCAACGTGACTCAGATCGTAAAGCACTCAATGCATTATATGGTCTTAAGTGGATGCAGCAAGCGCACGAGATCGTCAAGTGCATAAAGTTTAATACAGTATTTCTCTTTCTTGACAACTTTAAGTACCCCCCAGCAGTACATGCAGACAACAAAAAAAGATAGAATAAAAAGTCGAGATATCGAAAGCTTTCGTATATTATATTTTAACTGATACGCAAGTCGTCGTGGCAAGGAAATCTACATTACAGATCTTCGCCGAGCGAGATGTGTCGCAGTGCTGCTCGTGCAACAACCGACGACGACCGAAAGCATCGAGAATCGAATTATCGTCGTCGAAGCTGATTGATACGGTCGTCGTCGTCGTCTTCGGCGGCTCGAACATCGCTGCTGCTGCCTCGAGCGCGTTATTTCACAAGGAGCTGCAGCTATTATACGGGCTGCGTTCGATGATCAGTCCTCCAAGCGCAGCAACTAGTAGCTGCAAGCGCGGGATCTTCGTTCTCTCTCTCTCTCTCTCTCTCGCGCGTTCAATTTAGTTCTGTTAACGATTTTGCCAGATCGTAAAGATCGCGATCTGTGCGCGACTGAAAATTTTCTTCACGCACAGAGCAGAAGCGCGAGTTGATAGATTTGCGTCGGTTTTCGAATTTTGCGACGGCGACGGCAGCGGCAGTGGAAAAACCAAGAAGAATTAAAGATGAGTAAGTGTCTCTCAAATTAACGCTGCAATTGACGTAATCGAATTACCTAGAAATGTGCCTGCTTTGTCTTATACAGTAGTTTGGGAAAAATTTATCCGATCACGGTTGCGTTGAAATTTGATCGAGAGGAAAATTTCGAGTGGTTAAACGATCGTCGATTTTTTTCAGCAGGAGGCGAAGATCCAGAGACACATCAGGGTACATCGGAATGTAACAGGAGCCCAGAGCTAAAAACAAAGAAGAGCATCTTCGTTAGGCTGAAAAATTTGTATCCACAATGTTTAGCCGCATTGGCAGGTAAGATCGTGCAAAAAATCGATCGGTTCAGATCGGTACTGAAAATTTCAAAAAAAATCATACACCGTTGCAGTATGGCTGATAACGCTGGAACTGGGCATCATGATCGTCTGGTCTTCGCCCTATCTGGCCCAACTCACGGTGCCCGATTCACCTCTGCCGCTGACTCTGACCGAGGCCTCGTGGGTCGCGTCGCTCCTCTACATAGGGCGCATCATCGGTGCCATTCTCGGTACCTACCTCGTGAATGAGTACGGCAGCAGAAAGACCGTGCTCAAGACCGCGGCTCCCATGGCCCTCGGTTGGATTCTGACCTATTGCGCCACTTCGCCGGCCTATCTCTACGCAGCGAGAATCAGTCTGGGCATCGGTTTCGGTCTCGGTTACAGCGGCTTCGCCCTGTACCTCGGTGAGGTAGCAGCGCCGAGAATCAGGTTGGTGCACGATTGAATTCGCATGTATAGGTGTCGTTACAATTACGCCGAAAAATAATTTACGATCCGATAATGATTGGATTGTATAATTTTTTTTCGTGCAATTATCGCATTACATACTCTTTTTTACATAGAGAGATAAACGGTATGATGGATTTGACAATAAATAATATCAGCGTGATAACTGTCAGAAAAAAATTAATATAAACAAGACTACATTTGCGGTCCGTTTTTTCTTCATAATAGAACATATCAATTTCTTGATCAATCATTAAAAAGAAATAAATAAATTAGAGAAAAAAACTTACTCTATAACATGAATGTTGACTCCAAAATGAAGGATTGAATTTTCAAAACCATGTTTTGACTTATACACTTATTTTCACTTTGCCACTTGCAGATTTACAGAAAAAAAATACTCGCCATCTAGCGGTGAATGCTAGTTTTAATAATGATTGAATTTACACGAATCTTTTGAGCAACTATCGGAAAAAATCATAATTCAATTGCGCGCTATTTCAGGGGTACGTTAGTATCATTTGCCATCCTCGGCGGATCTTACGGAAACTTGTTGGTCAGTTTCACGGGTGCCAATATGAGTATGCAGCACACGAGCATTATGTACTTCGTGCCGTGCGTCTGCATCATGATTTTGCTTCTCTATCTACCCGACTCGCCGCATCATCTGGCGAAACTCGGCAAGTTAGACGAGGCAAGAAAATCATTGATTTGGTATCGTCATTCGGAGGATATCGACCAGGAGCTGGACGGAATAGTAGTTTACGTAAAGGCCTCCACGGCTTCTAGTTTTAGGGAAAAATTAGGCGAGTAAAATTAATTTTCATTCGATCGGTTGAAATATTATTGCTAAACTTGAATCATTTCACAGGTGAATTTCGAAAACCCCACGTTCGCAACGCCACCATACTAGTCATGATGCTGTTTGCTTTCATGCAGCTGTCGGGTCTCAACAACGTCATGTTCTACATGGAGATAATCCTGAAGAATGCCCACCTCGACATGATCGAACCGTCGTTGGCCGTCACCTACGCCATCATAGCCTCCATCGTCACCGGCAATCTGTGCGTCGGCCTCTACGACAAATTCGGCCGTCGCCTGCTGCTGATCATGTCGAGCGTCAACGTCTCGCTGTCTCTGGCCGGTCTCGGGGCGCACTTCACCCTCGAGTCCGCCGGCGTCCAGTGGGCCGGATCCCAGTGGCTGCCACTCCTGTCCATCTTCGCCTTCATCACGAATTTCGTCGTGGGCCTGGCCTCGATACCGAGCATCGTCTCGAGCGAGGTCTACTCGGCCGACATCAAACCCGTGGCGGCCTGTATGGCCAATCTCACTGCTGCAGCCGCGGCTTTTCTCACCTCCAAGGCCTATCAGCCGATGGTCGACGCCTACGGCGAAGCCTTCGTGTTTTTCACCCACGCCGCGATCACAATCATGATCGTGCCGTTCGCCCTGATATTCATGCCGGAAACTAAGGGCAAGTCGTTGCAGCAGATACAAGATCTCTTGATGAAAAAGTCTTGATTGTAATAATAATAAAAAACAACGAATTGTAATCTCGGGATCGTGCGCTGATGAAATTGTGCATTATATTATTGCGCTACCGTATATTACATTGAACGCGGTTTGATCGTCGGCGAACGATTTGCCAAAGTTAAAAAAGATTGTTGATTCGATAAGTTCGCAAATATTTGCGAGTTGTACAATTATTTACTTTACTTAATTACTCAAACAGCTTCGTTATTTTATATATGATTTTGTCAAATGATATTTCCTTATAAAATTAATAGTATTATAATTATAGCAATAAATTTAACAAATTCAATTAAAATAAACTATTGACAACACTTTCTTATTTAGTTTTCTGTCCAATCTAATATTAAATTTCGTCAGCTTATTTATATATTTTTTTTTATCAAACCGCAGTGATGAAATGATGACGATTTTCCTGCTACGACAAAAAAGTATCAAAAAGTTTTTTAGAGTTGATAAAAATTAAGTTTCAGAATAACTTTTTAAATTAAATATAAAAAATTAATGATATGTTAAGCAGTCTCGTGCATGCATAACATGAGAAACTGGTTCAAATTAGTATCGTCAAAAAATTAATCACTCATGCAGAGATAGATGTGTCAATGTCATTGATCTTAAGATTTCGCGCACCACTTCAACGCATGACAGCCATTAGTTTGTGCTAATTTTAATAAATATACAAATAGACCCCAATGAACAATTTACACACAATATTATGATCTGGTAATTATGATCTCTATTTGTATAGATTCGCAATGGTATAATAGCTTATCAGTTTTATAATACTTGGATCGAGGAAGAGAATCCCGAAATAATATATAATTGTCATGCTCCATTAATGTGACTCGTGGAGTGAAAGTAATGTCTGAATAGATTTTTTTTTCATGTAAATCAGCTTTATATGTTGTTGTTTATTCAGTTTTTTAGTACACCTAAAAAACAATTGACAGAACAACTCGAATCCTTGACTTGGCTTGCGTTCGATAAAAATACTTCGAAGACGCCGATATACGCAGTTACAATAGTACATTCGATTTTTTTAGAGAAAAAATGAGCTTTGCGAGAATAATTGACACTAATACAATATCGGGTTAATTTGAGCGAATACCGCTTTAGGACCAACGCGAACTCGTCGTCGCCACACAATATTTAATGACACGTGTGTGTGCGTAATCAACGTATTAATATACTACTACATATGAGACAGACTAGAAGTCGTAATTGTTTTTTCTTATTGCACGTGATTTATACTGTTACAGCATTTGATCAAATAAGTACATGAAGTTTTGACGTGATAATGAAAGTGTGATGCAAAGTTCAAAACGATTTGCCTCTATAGTTAGTGCGATCCGTTGATGGTATATGATTCGACGATTGGATGATGTAAAAAATAAAAATTTTGAAAGCATAGTGTGTGTGTATGTTTTTTGTCTAGGCGTGATAAATCTGTCCAAAAGTAAGATGCTTGATAATCACATAGCTAATTAAACTTTTTGCATTTTTGGATTTTTTTATAATTAAAGTCGATAAGCTCGATTTAGTGCAAGAAACTGCAGTTCGTCGTCGCACGCACTTGCAGATATAAACGTGACTCGGTCGCGTTATTTCTCATTGACGTTTTGACGTACGTGCTGGGAAAAAGCGTGAACAATTAGGTATTCAAGCTTTTGTTGTTATTTTGCTTTGATACCGAAGATAAACATTGGTAGACAGCGCGTCTAGATTCATGACATTTTTTTATACAAGTCAAGCTTCATCGTGTGTCGATCGTTGAACAAAAGCTAACCCTTTGGTAACAATATAAAGTTTTATTGAAAACAACATATTTTTTTGTAAAGTTCGTCTTCGGGAATCCCACAAAAGCTACAGTTTTAAAAGTAATTTATCACTGAATTTCTAAACATTTAAATCGATAATTGTTTTATTTTGATTCTTTCTTTGATTTTTCTTAATTAGATAATCCAAGTTTCGGGAATTATCGAGAAGATCGTTAACGTACTCATTGACCGATTAACATCTACGATCGGCGCGTGAAAAGAGAGAAAAAAAAAATTAAGAAAAAAAGAAGAAGAGATATCGATGTGTTGTCGATGCATCGAGAAAACATTTAGATAATAGGTGGGGTATATACGCGAACGTAAAAGCTCACAGACGCGTCGATACACGTATATATAAATGTGCGTGCACAGAGACGATACACGACACACAATCAAAACCGCGCAACAATAGCTACAGCGGAGCTTACGCGGACGTATAGCGCGCGTATAATACGAAATACGAAAGCGGCGTTTGCGCACTTGCGTCTTCTCAACGCTACATAGCCGTGCCTCGTCTAGCGTATAGATTGGAGATTTATACAGGAAAAAAAGCGCGGGCAATTACGATAGTAATTTAAAACCATCGCGTAGATCGACGACGAAAAATTTATATTACTGCGACGAGTCGACGCGTTCAGCGCGACGATCGGCCGAAGCGAGCGAGCGCGCGCGCCGCGCGTGTTATATAGTAATATAACATATTATATTCAGTCAAACGGAGCGGAAGCCGAATTCATAAACCAGCGGATCGTGTTGAAAAGTTTTAGTTGGTACCGAGCTGAGCTCAAAGGAAGGTCGCTCCAAGTGAAGCCTAGAGGCAGTTTCGATTTCGTGGATTTTCTAATCCCATCTCGAAGTGAGCCCGTGAAGAGCTAGTCGTTCGGGGGAAAATACTGGATTTTTCTCTTTCTCTGTAAATCAACATCCTGGACGGGATCAATCAGAAGAACAACATGATTCAGGTGGCGAAGAAAACCACGCTGCAAAAGTATTTTCCGCAACTCGTTGCTGGATTAGGAGGTGAGTGTCCTTATAGCTGCTTTTTCTTCCTTTTGAGTCAAGGTGAAGGTTAAAAAGTTAGTCTAATACGTATTTCGTGATTTCCATTGAATATTTTTTAAGAAAACTCTATAAATGTTTAGAAAAGTTCAAATGAAAGACATTAATAGAGTTTTCTCGAAAAATATTCAATGGGAATCCCGAAATACGTATTAGAAAATTTTCCTTTTAACCTTGGCTTCGATATACTTATTTTTCACGTGCGATTTTTGGATTTCTTTTTTTGGTCCGTTATTAGAAAGTGTTAAACTAACGGTCGTGAGCTAAAGTAAAAGTGCAGTGGTATTATAAAAAAAAAAAAAAAAGAAGTGAATAAGGCATGGAATGGTCATTATTGAACATTTATCAAACGTCCAGAAATTTGTTTCTTATCAAGCAATTTCAGAAATTTCTCGATGACGTTCGTACACAACAATACTGAATTCTGGTACTTTCGGCTTACCGATCTCATAGGCATTTCAATACAACCACTATACAATGACAATTTTATTAATGATTTTATAAAATTTAAAATTTTTATAAAATCGCATTTACAAATTAATTCACAAGGTACAATGTAAATTAATATTTTTTAATGCCATGTTAAAAATACTTTGTTCTATTATAATTTAATGGACAATTACAATATAAATTTAGAATTATTTTCAAGAACCACGATTAAACTTCCGTAAGATTTAACACATTTTGTTTGAGAATCGGAGTAAATAAATTTTTTTTAGGACACCTTTCATTTAAATTTAATTTTATTAGCTGAAACCCAATCAAATGATTCATGGTTCTATTCTGAACGCGCTGATTATGTACATGTGTTTACTCAAGTTGATAGGAGCTACTGGTCGGTCAGTCATGTGTAAGGGACACTCGGATAATAAATAAAATTAAAGCACACACAATTCGTGTGATTTGCGATAACTCATTGAGAAAAAAAAATTAAAATTGAAATATAAATCATAACGCACACACGCGCCGTGTTGCACACGACGTTGTACCAACTCGCCTGAAAAATCATCGCATTTTGTTTCCTTAATAATCTCGCGAAGACGACGACGACGACACGCGCGTATATAATATTTACGTGTAAATAGAAATAATTAGACAGAGAACCAAATTACAGCAGCACTGCTCGATTGGGCTCGATCGCACGGCGCGCGTGTGCGAAGATCATTAAGACACACTGACGTGCTGTATACACACACGCGGCATCTTATACTTGCATTAATATAATATACACGACGACGCACGCGCGTCGCTTTGAAAGTTCGAGAATTGCAGCGGCTATATCCCAGAGATGATGCTGTTGTCTATTAAAAAAAAAAAAAAAAAATACATACAACGCTTGAAAGATCTGATGAAACTTTATTCGTTCAATTACTTTGCCAACGTCAGGCAATTCGGTATGTACATATATGCACATATATTATAAATAAACCACGCGAGACGAGAGAGAGAGAAGACCGACCGATTGTTTAAACCTATATCGCAAACGATGAAGATGCAACGGACTCGTAGGCGCGCGAGCTTGTTTAGTGTCTGCGAGAGATTAGAAAACAGCTTAAATAATAAGAAAAGCAAAAACATTACGGCGGTATCAATTGCAAAAACTATCGTAACTGGGAAATGACTTTTTATCTCGCTGCGTCTGGACGTTCACACCAATTTTTGTAATGACGCAAGCCACGTAATGCCTTGCTCGATTGCAATTACTCGGTACAGACAGATCGAGTACATCGATACGCAGGATAATTAATTAAATAAATTTTTTTAATTGTGTGATTTACAGTGACGATGGTGCTGGTGCAATTGGGACTGTCCAGCGGCTGGTCGTCGCCCTATCTGCCCAAGCTCCAGCATCCGGACTCGGCGCTGCGGCTCACGGCGGACGAGGCCTCCTGGGTCGCCAGTCTGCTGAATCTGGGCCGCTTCTGCGGCGCCTTCTGCGGTGCCCTCTCCGTCAACTACTGCGGCACCAAGCGCACGATGCTCTTCAATCTCATCCCGGTGAGCATGTGCTGGCTCCTGACCATTTTGGCGCGCGACGCCCGTTGGCTGTACGCCGCGCGCTTCAGCGGTGGCTTGGGCCTCGGCATGACCTACAGCTCGTTCCCGCTCTATCTGGGCGAGGTGTCGTTCCCCGAGATCAGAGGCTCGCTGGTGTCGATGGCCTCGTGCGGCGGTACCTTCGGCGTGATGCTGAGCAACATCGCCGGCAAGTATCTGGCCATGGAGGTGTCGGCTTCGATCTACCTGGCACCGTGTCTGGTATTCATCGCCCTTTTCTGGTGGTTGCCCGAGTCACCCCATTATCTCATCAAAAGTAAGCATTTGTCCTTTTTTATCTTCTTCTTCCATTATCTTCGATGTGTCGAGACGTAAAAAAAATAGAGTCGTTATGTTGAATTAATGCGCCTATATATCTGTTTACAACTGGTTGAACTTTTAGATTGTCTCTCTGTAAGTTAATTGGGCGCGCATGAATTACGTCAATGTTTTGCCTCGCATGTACTGCTCGTATACATTGCAGACACTTGATTTTTCATTCGATTAGTGTACGAGCTTCGAGTCAATTATTATTATTATACCGTGGAATATCGAATAAGTCATCGCGTCGAGATGGAACAATTAGTCGTTTTTCTTGTTTCATTTGTTTCTAACATTTTTGCTTCGTTTGTACAGGAAAAGACTTTAAAGCAGCCAAAGCATCGATCTCCTGGTACCGAGCCGATCACAACGTCGAGGAGGAATTCGAGTCCGTCCAGCAGTTTATCAACGCGGCCAAAGAGCAAAGCTTCACCGAGAAGCTGGCCGAGTTCAAGAAGCCCGCGATCCGACGCGCCACCATACTCGTCATTCTGCTCTGGACCTTCATGCAGATCTGCGGCTTCAACAATGTACTCTTCTACATGGTGCAGATTCTGCAGGACTCCAAGGTCAATAATCCCGAGGACTTCGCCATGTACGTGAGCGCTGCCGGTGTCGCTGCGTCGACTCTCTCGATCGTGATGATCGACCGATGCGGAAGGTGAGCGAATATCAATTTTCCTTTTTATTTTATTTTCGTATAATTGAACCTATTTTTAAATGTCATTTTGCTTCCCCCCCACAGACGTTGGTTGCTCATCGTTTCGAGCATCGGCGTGTCCATCGGTCTGGCCGGCCTCGGTGCCCACTTCCTCCTGCTCGACCAGGAGGAGACGTTCCCGAATCTCCACTGGCTGCCCATCATCTCGCTCTTCGTCTTCGAGATCGCCTTCTTCGTCGGTCTCATGTCCGTGCCCAGTGCCGTGCTCAGCGAGATATTCCCGAGCAACGTTAAGTGCATCGCCGCCTGCTTCGCCAGTCTGGCCGGAGCCATCGCCGCGTTCGCCTCCACGAGGTCCTTCCAGCCGTTCATCGGCCTCATGGGCACGAGCAACGTCTTCTTCATGCACGCCGGCATCACCCTCCTGATAGTGCCCTACGCGATTATCTTCATGCCCGAGACCAAGGGAAAGACGCTGCAGCAGATTCAGGAGCTGCTGACCAGGCGCTGATGCCCGGGCGGATCCTGGCTGTTATATTATTATCATTATAATTTTTTAGATATTTTAAGGCATTTTTTTTGAATTTTAATCGACGATCGGTGGGTGCGGTGCGCTCGCGCGATCGTCGTCTACATTTTAGGCTACTGTCATGATACAATGATACTCGTTAGGTAGATTCGATTTCCATTTTTTTCGTTGACGCTCGTCCGAAATCGATTAATTCGCAAAGTTTTGTAAGACCGCGCTTCCTCGAGATTATTTAATTTTTTTATAATAAAATATAATAAGCGTGCCTTCTGACTTTGTGCATTATCGCACAAGATAATTCGATATTGATGCACATAAGTAATAGTATTAAATAAATTGTTTCGCATTATCTATTGAATTTTGGACCATTAGCAAGTTATAGAAGTTTTTATAAATTTTCATTGTATGTAAATATTATATGAGTATTCGATTATTTGAATATTACTCAGTAGAAGCAATGAATTTGTACAAAGATAACGATAATTTTATTTTTTAATATATCGTTGTTATAGATTTAAAGAACTGTGTAAACGAAAATAAAACAAATGACATTTTTTATATAAAAAGTTTTTTCTCCTTATTCTTATTTATACAGTGGACGTGGGTGAAAAAATTGATTCAAAAACATTAAGTTGAACGCAGAGTTAAAATTTTATTCCTCTCTTATCATAGTATCTATTCAATGTATCACATACTGTAGATTATAAAATGACATATTATCTAAGGATACAAGGACATTAAAAACTGATTTTCATATAGAATTTTCGTCGATATTTGAGATTGATTCATTTTTTTTGTACACATAGAAAGTTGGCCAGCACGAAGTCACATACTGCAAAATACACTAAAAAACACGCACGTTGCGTACTTAGCTATGATATCGGCTAAAAGGTTAAAATCGGTCCCTCTCGATGGTCCAAAATATCTGAAATAAATCAAACATATCGTTTGTTGAAAATGTTCGCAGACGATAACAAATTTTTTTTTAAATACTTGATGTGCTTATACCTTTGGCTATGCTCCACCAAGGTAGGGTAATGTAAGTGAGAAAGGCGTTGAGCGGAACAGATTGGGCCCTTTTGTTTTCTTTCCAAAAGTGAAAAGTCTGCGTGAATCCTCGCATTGTCCATAGAGGATTGTAAGCCCCATCGTCTAGTTCTAAAATTAAAAAATAAAGTCCCGAAATTATGTTGCATTCAATTTATTCGATCAGACTTTGTCAAACAACATAATTTTTATTCAACATTACAAAAATAATACTTAAATACTCGATTCTAAATCTCATAAAACAATTGCTACGATACTAAATATATTACTTTTGTATTTTTTTTTTATTTATGAAGTAGTATTTCTATGTAATTGTATAAATGCTCATTTGTATTGTGATAAGGATATTCAGATCTTACGAATATTCAATTTGAAACTAACTAGTTTCGAGCTCGGTTTTAAATTTTGCAAATAAATAACATTGAAATTAAAAGAAAAAGAAGCAACATAGAACAACAGTGCAAGATTTGAAGAAAAGTAACTCTGGTGATGGTCGTAGAAACGATAAAGGGTATGTGTTGGGTAAAACATAAAACCTATAGCAGATAATCTTGACTATTTGCATGTGAGGCTAGACTATTGGTGTGAGTTGAATCAGCGCAATTCATTGTGATTTCTTATATTTTTTAATTTTCAACTATTATAATGTATAATTTTTTCGAACATTCGATTTTTTTACCAAACAATTTAATAATTTGAGTACCCTAAGTACCCAAACTCTCTAACAAGCGAAATGCGAAGCACGTGCTCTGAAATTTATGTTTTATTTGTGGCATCTACTTACTAAAGTTGCATGTTTAAAAAAATTCTTTACTTGTAACTTTATATTTTTCGATTTTCATTACAGCGTTCAGTACAAGAACATCGAGTACAATGACTAAATATTGCAACTGTTTGCCTAGTTTCAACGACGGCCTATTCAGTTCGCCAAACATTGATTAGAAATCAAAAAATTTAATTAGGTCGCATAATTAAGATTCTTTGAATTAATCGAGTAATTAAAAAATTACGTCAAAGTAATAAACCTAACAGAATAAAAGGCTTTTTCTATTTAATCATGGCAATACCTCAGCTTTAATACGTTACACACATATTACGATATCCCCTGATATATTAAGTAATGATTTTTATGGCTGTAAAATACACTTAATAGTATTGTTTTAACCTCGAAATTGCTGTCATTTAGGATACATTTTTTTCTTATCGACCTCATAAATATCTGGTTGTAATTGTGTTTACGGTATAATGCAATTCTTCGTGTATTGGAGCCGTAGTACTAATTTTCTACTTGTTTTTCTACATAAATAATTTAGACTAGAAAAGAAATACATCGAACTGATTTCCATTGATCCTTTAATGAGTTCTATTGTTTAATAACAGTAATATTAGATTTCCATTCAATTTTTCAAATTATGCTCATTTCACTGGATTGTCTTTGAATTTTCTGGACCCAATTTTACCGTCACGTTCATTATCCCAAAAAAGGATCCATGTGAAATCGACACTCTCTACTGTATTTGATCACATATAGCTCTGTTTCAGGTACGTATTGTAAGGTAGTAGTTTGCTTCATGTATAACAGCATAGCTAGTAATTTTGTTGATGAAAGAGAGAGAGAGAGAGAGACAGAGAGAAATAGAGAGAAACAGTGTGTGACAGAGACAAAGAGTTTGGTTGCTTAATGTGGGCGGGGGGTGGTGTTGGTGGTGGGCATGTTTTTGTACGAAAATTACCCTGTGAGCCGTTGCGCCTGGGCAGCTCGCACCAGTAGTAGATAGCGGTGCCGTCGGGCGTGACGCGATGCGGCGGCAGCGGATTCGTCGCGCCGATCGGCCCGGAAAAGGCTCGCCGTCTGCGCTGCCTCGGCAGCGTAGCGCTTCTCTCGCTCCTCGTCGGCGTCGTCGTCGTCGTTGTCGTCGTCGTCGGCGTCGTCGTTGTTGTCTCGTTGTGATCACCGTTATGATCGTTATTCCCGTTCGACTTTGTCGTCGATGTATTGAAAATATCGTCCTTGTCGTAATTGCTACTACTAGTGTACGAGGAAGACATGATTCTGTCACAGCCGCCGCCAGCACTGGCGAGACTCCGCGAGCGTCCCGGACGCGTGTGACGCTCGCTGCGGGGGGATGAGCTACTACTGTGCTGCTGCTGCTGATGATGATGATGATGATGCGGATAACGATGATGATGATTGTTGCGTTGCTGATGACGATTGTTTTGCTGATGATAGTATTGAAAAAGCGAGGCAGGCGTCGGATCGCCGGACGCTACGGGAGAGGCTGCCACCGACGACGATTCGTCCTGCTGCAGGGGCAATTCTTCACGGCCGTTGACGATTATCGCGTTGGAATCGATTTTCTGACGCACTACGACGTCGTCGTCGGTGGGCGAATTGCCGCTGCTCGCCGGCAGCGTCTCGCTGCCGACTTCGATCGTTTGCGGCTGAATGACTCCTGCTTCTTGACGATGATGATCTCCATTGACGGAATTTTGCCTCGAAGGACCTGCGAGGATACACACGTGTCCATCAGCTCTTTGTTTCTCGGTCTTTACTCAATCTTTTTTTCTCTCGTGCTGCTCTCGAGCGCCGGTCTTCTTAGCGTTATATGCCCAAAATTGGGAACTTTTTTGGTCCTACGAATCTTAGAGGATCTTGGAAATAACGAACGCAGCTTTTGGCATTATTCTCTACTCTACAGTATTTTTATGAAAATCAAATTTCAAGCAGCAAAAAAAAATTGCAAAAATAAAAACTGCGCCTTTACGTTAGCGAATGATGCTTCAAAAAATGAAAAATAAAAAAAAAATTCAGCACTCGTTAGAGTCAAAATCATTCGGGCTTTCGGACCAGTTCCTTTCTCGAATTTTAATTTCTTCTTTTTTTTCCAAGATTCTCCAAGAAAAGAGGATCAGTTATCATACACGTATCGCGCGATTTTAATCGGATTTTTTACTTTCCGACCGAAAGGACGTGTTGTGTAGTATAAATCTCACCGCGAGGCTGCAGGCCTGCAGTTATGATTTTGGTGTTACATTCTCTTCTCGCTGCAGCGAGACGATTAGCGGCGGCATTGCATCGATGTCTCGGACTTTCGTGGTTAAATCTGCTGCGCAGGACCGGCGACGACTGGGCCGACCAGTACTGGCCAGACGCTCGTCGTTGATGTCGTTGCTGATGCTGTTGCAGATTCTGACGTGCTTTGATTTCTCGATCGTACGTCTCGTTGTCATCGCCTGAGAGCGTGTTTGCAATCCACGAAAATAAATCATACAAATGTTTCTCTTTTTTTTTCAGCTGGTTTATATAGGCGCATTCGTTGTTTGGTGCGTTGGTTCATTGGTTGAATTTTGTTTTTCTTTTGGTTGGTTTGTGCGAGTTGTATAATTGGTGCTTTGGTATTTTCATTACGTGTCGGAGTTGTTGTCCAGACTTAATAAGGTTGACGTTCATTTAATCTAACGTTTGTTTGCACATTCAAAGTTGTAAATTTCAATGAAATCATTACGGCTATCGCAATCACGATATCAAATACTAGTAGGCTTTATTACGTAGTAGCCGAGCTAAAATTTGAGTCATACTATTTGATAAGCAGTAATGATTTGATTTGAACGGAAAAGTGTAGTTTATTTTAGTGGAGGTGGAGAGGTAGAATTAGATTATGTACTTCGTATTGTTTCAAATTCTGAAGTATTTATTCGGGGGATGTGAATATCAAATTCTATACTAATATTATCTAACGCTATAGTGTACACACGAGGTAATATTTCTACTAATTATAAGTTCTAAACTTTCGATGCAATGGAACTAGTCTGGTTCTATTTGTGTATCTAATAAGGGTTATTTTCTTTTTTTGGATTCAAATATTATCTTTGAAAAAAAAATTGACTGAAGAATCTTTATTTGATCAAGATATTTTTCATGGAAATTTTAAATTGAAATTTTATTTAGAGAAAAGATTGACGTCAACATGAATTTATGAAAAAAGTTAGAGAATGTATGAATTTATTGATTAATAGCATGAACGAACATTTGTGTATGTATCGGCCCAAATGACTTGGAGTAACAATGCAATTATGCTGATGCGATATAACCAGCCTTGCAAAAAACGAGCAATAAATATTGAAAAAAATGATAACAATGCATGTTAAGAGAGCATAAAAATGTTTTTAGCAAGCAACGATATGATACGGTAAAATCGTGCATCAAGCGAGATAAATAGAAAGAGGCAATGCAAAGGGGTCGAGCTCCATTCGAATTGTATGCAGCGAATTTTTTCATAAAATGAGCTTTCGTTAAGAGCAAATTCATAAATAATATAAATATCGATCGAAATTTTATACTAAAGAATGTAAAATCATTGGCAGAAAGTTGTCGTCGACATATAATGCACTCTATTCATTATATCACGAATAGAACTGAAAAATCGTCACTGTACCGTCTTTGACGTCGCCGGCCTCGATCTCGTTCAGTCCGTTGGCCATGGAGTCGAGGCCCTCGTTCTCCGAGCGCGCCTTGGAGCCGGCGCTGTCGCCGGGCTTGGTGCGCCAGCCGCCCCGCGCAAAATTGTTCAGATTCGAGCTCGGATCCGAGAGTCGACGCTGATGCCGGCAGAGAAACATCTCCTCGGCGTCGTCCCACTCGGCGTCCCAGAGAGCGTCCGTCACGCAGTATCCCGGCTCCGAGGTCGGCGTCTCGGCGCCCGAGCCCTTGGGCTTCGTCACCGCCATCTCCGCATGTCCCTTTCCTACAAACAAAAGAGATGATATTCATTTATATCTACTCTAAGAAAAATATTTGGCCCGATCAACCAAGGCTTCATTGTTTCAAGTGCTTGGTTAAAGCCAGATCTATTGGTTACTTGTTTAAAGATGAACCTTCCTTATAGGCTGTTTTCACAGTCGTCAGTGACGGTCAAAAATCGACCAGCTGATTTGACTGGAGGCCAAACCAAGCGACCGCCCGTATACTTTACATGTTAAAGTTGGTTGGTAAAAGTGCTTATAATTAGTTTAACGCTCAGTAAAAAAATAAACAAAAAATATCTGGAGAAAGCGGAAATCCTTGTGTATCGAAATATCGAAGCGGTTTATAGTTAAAGTCTTTAGATTGTTGTTGCGTCGAGACCATCAGTCGGTTGACAAATCCCGAAATGTTCCAATGAGCGACACAGTTTGTTTTTCGTGAGAAAAAATCTTATGAAAAAAACTCACGTTTATTTTTGGTACAAAGTACAATTTGCTCAATTGAGAGCACCTTTGTAAATCAAATTTATGATTTACGGTAATCAAAGAAATTGTTGCAAAGAAAGAGAGAGCGATGAGCGTAGCTCCTCTTCTTTTCACGGTTACCTGGAGAATGAATTTATTTATCATTACTCCGAACAACCCGACAGCGGTTGCTATGCAACCTTCTTTTTTTTATAAAATATACATGTTCGATGTATATCGAACAATTGTAAATAAAAAACATTGAAATTTCGGCTTTTTGTCTGTTATATTGTCAATAAACTCTAATAAAATAGTTATTAAAAGTGGTTTTTTGGGTTGCAATACAAACCCTCAAGCGGAGAATTGTTTATTCTTTGAAATTACCAAAAACTTAAAAACAATCGTAATTTCGAAAACTTATGAAAATGATCTCGCAATCGTCTTCCAAACTAAGTCTGCTGTTGGTGGAAAGATAGTATTCTTAATTACGATTGTTTTTTAGTTTTACATTGGTAATTTCAAAGAATAAACAATTCTCCGCTTGAGGGTTTGTATTGCAACCCAAAAAACCACTTTTAATAACTATTTTATTAGAGTTTATTGACAATATAACAGACAAAAAAGCCGAAACTTCAATGTTTTTTTATTTACAATCTAAAGACTTTAACTAAAAACCGCTTCGATATTTCGATACACAAGGATTTCCGCTTTCTCCAGATATTTTTTGTTTATTTTTTTACCGAACGTTAAACTAATTACAAGAACTTTTACCAACCAACTTTAACATGTAAAGTATACGGACGGTCGCTTTGTTTGGCCTCCAGTCAAATCAGCTGGTCATTTGTGACCGTCACCGACGACTGTGAAAACAGCCTATATACTAATCTAAATGATATTTCGTCACTTGCGGATACGAAAAAATAGTTGCTGAATGCCCTCTAGCGGCAAAACATTAGGCTCCTTTTTTATTACAGTTCATTAAATCAATGAAATATTTCGTAAAAATATTTTGAATGAAACTGGGTTCGTCAACTTGATGAATCAAGTAGTCCTTACTATGACGTATTTCGTCAATTTAGTGAAATATTTACTTGGCATATACCAATGAAATATTGAGTTGTTTCGATAAAATATTTCGTAACAACATTTTGAATGGAACTAGTTTCATCAACTTGATGAATCAAGTAATCTTAAATATGAAGCAATTTGTCAATTTAGTGAAATATTTACTTGGTATGTCTGCCCATCAAATATTTCATCGTAGTAATCACAATTTTATTAATTTTATTTATTTATTTCATTCATTTTGTGAAATATGAAATATGAAATGATATTTCATTCACTTCGTGATTGTTTCAATAAAATTTTTTCCTCGGTGTAGGTTTAATCAATTTCCTAATCATTTTTTACTTACCCTGAGGTCCCTTCATTCTAACGAATTCTACTCGTTGCGATCCAGCGCCTGAGAATAGGCCGAATGTCATGCGCTGGGCCATCTTTGTGCTCAAGCTTGACTATAAACAGGCGCATTAAATGAATACGCTACATTAAGTATGCTTTCAAATAATTAAGAAACGAGAAATGAAGCTCACTCTAGCGTCGTAGACTTTTTTCAGCGCGTCGTATCTAATTGAGCCGAGAAAAATGACACCCTGGATGGCGCCCTCGCGATCCGAGGCGACCAGCTCCACGCATACCATTTCCCCGTCCCTGACTAGTATATCACAGAAAACTTCGTCGAAATTGTCCACCATGAAGCAGATGTGCGGATACGTCATCTCCTCGAGCTCGCCCTTGGCGTCCATGCGCCGACGACTCGGGCTGGCGTACACCTTCTGGGAATGTCTGCGCAATACCTGCCGCAAGGGCATCACAGGAAGGAAGAGAAGAGCGAAATTAATTTTCCATTAAGTAAATTGCTCGAAGCTCTCAACGCTCGCAGCAGCAAATGAAAATGCAGTATGTACAGGTGTGTGAAAAAAGTTTTTCTCTATATTACTCAGTGTAGCAACAGGTGAATCTCATCACGTTTTAAAGCTTTGATGAAAAAAAAAAAAATAATAATAATAAACTGAAAGCTCGGAAGGCTCTCTGCCAGCCAGCTGGAGGCAGGCAGCGGATTGAATTTAGATCAAGCTGCTGCGTTGCGAGAGATTACCTAGTGTATACTCACTTGCAATTCCTTGGGGCTCGTTCTCGTGCATATGGCGAGTGTGAGCGTGTAATCGAACTGATGCACCACGAGATTGAGATAGACCGTCTCCTCCCAGTCGATGTCCGGGTCGCCGATCGGCAGCTTCTTGCTGTCCTTGCGAAAAACGTCGACCTCGGTCTCGAACTTTGGCAGGAACTTGGACGACGACTTGATGTGCTTCTTGCGCACGAAGAAGAGCAGATCGTCACCGTCGATCGTGTGCTCGGCCTGGAATAGAAAGTGCCGCACGAACAGATCCGTCCAGTAGGTAGTGCCGTGCAGCATGACGAATCCTGAATCTGCGAAAGTACAAATGAGCGACGTTAATGGCATCGCAAAAGTTGTTTGTTTTTCCTTTTCTAGTTCAATATTCGCGCGCTTAATGAAACTCAAACTCGCGAAGAATGAAGATTTCTTAATTATTCTCCCGAGAAAATGAAACCCGAGAAATTCGTTATTTATAAAGTCTCTATCTTTGCTCTGCACTTGGCCTGCAGGCACGAAACAGCTGGCACGAATCTCTGTGCTCTAATCGAGCTACAGTGTTTTCTTCATTTTAAAAAGATGCAACGCAAGCGAAAGTTTAATTTTTCGGAGCAAAATCGCGTCGGGGACTCGACGTTGCTTCTCTCGCTCGAATCGATTTTTTCAGTAAAGTAGCCCTCTTTCCCTCGTCGTCGCGCGGTGCAGCTGACTAGGCTCATTTGTTCGAAAAATGACTCCTCGGTTTTGAATAAGTAATCGATATAATATGTATGTATGTAACATCGCATGCTGTGAACACGGCTGCGTGTCGTTCGGCTAAGGCCGCGCGCTACACTAGGCATGTATCATAACATATTAGCGGCGCAAGGCTGCTTCAATTAAAATGCGAAAGTCGTCATAATCGTTTTATATACTTTGTTCTATTATATTTGTGTGCTATGTAGCTACTTTGGACTGTATTGTTTCGGTACTGTATTCTTTCGCAAAAAAATCTTTACCGTCGATATAACGATGTGTTTATTGCATAAACTTTTTTTCAACGATTTGTAAAATTAGAATCGTTGCGTACGGTGCGCGGCTGGTTACGTATTATATACGCTGGACAGATAATCTCCATTTTTTTCATCATCGCCGCGATGTGCAGCGTATAAAAGAAGTCGTCCTTCTATATTAACGCATGTGCCGAGGAGAGTCATTATACAATTGAGTAAATTAAATGTATCGTTGCGTATGTAGTCAACATAATATTATAGATGTGTATCAAATACGATATAAACAAACGCGCACGCCAAAACGTATGTTGTCTGCTGGTCGGTGTATGTGTTAGACATACACAATCGACGCGCGGCGAGATCCCTAACATATGATAAGAAAGTTGCGCGCTGCACGTTATACGTACGTAAGTATAACATAGGTAAGTACGAGCGCGATGATGAATCATGCAACATTACGCCGCGGCACCGATAAATTTGCGCTATTATTGCGTTGTATACATGCATGCGGTGCGGGTGATCGAAGCTATCTCAAAAACGATTCGTTCGATTCACGAGTAGCTCTTGTTTTTGCCAAAATCGAATCGATGGAGATTACATTTTTGTTTGCGCGATAGTGCCCACGATAGACACGCATTTTAACATACGGCCGGTGTGACGAAACTCTTATCTCGCGAGACACACTTTTTTCCTATTGATAAACGGACAAATAAATTCAAAGCTCTCTCTCTCTCTCTTTCTCACCATCTTTGATCAACTGTCTCATCTCCTTGGTGCGTTGAAAATTGATCTCCTCGAGCAATTGTTCCAGCATCGTGGGCGGTCGTCCTAAGCTTTTCGTACTGCAGCCCGCCATTGCGCTTTGTGTGTCTATTGTTTTGTGCTTGCGTGCAAGTTCCACTGTTTATTTTCTTCGAGCTCGTAGCAGCAGCAGCAGCTGTCTCGCTTCTTATCTCGTGTTTCTTCTATCGCCTCTACTTGAATATTCAAATACCTCGACCTTCTTTTCTCTCTCTCTTCTTTCCTTACGAACGAAATACAACGTCGAAACTCCTTATCATGGTCGTCGCTTGCGTTGCTTTGGCACCGAGTCGTTGTGAGCGGCCTCCTCCTCTTTGTGCGTTATCGTGTCGTCGAAATTTTTCTTAATACATAAGCAGTAGTGGCAGCAGCACGTTGTTGTTGTTGTTGTCACTGGCGAGGTCAACGACAGCATTGTTTTTTAGTTGCACCGCACTGCACCACACCGTACTACCGCTTAAACGTCAAAACAACATCACAGCAATAATCACATAAACATTCGCACACACACACACAGTCCAGCCGGGTGTGGATAGTCGTCGTCGCGTGGTATAGTGCAGCTCTGCCTTTGTCGAACTGCTGCCTGGAATAAGCGCGAGGGGGAGCTTGCCCCCGAGTAAGTGTGTGTCAGCCGCCTGCACGACGACGACGACGACGACGATGCTTGTTGTGTTAGCTACTCGTACGCAGTGCGCAGCGGCTCCGAAGTGTGTATATAATAATATATGAGAAGGGGAACGTCGTCGGCTGCTGCTGCTGCTGTGCACGCATACATGCATGTAGTACGCCTGTGTCATACACGCCGAGCGGCTTTTAACGCCGATACGATAAAGTCGATATTTCAACGCATGCGTCGTTGCCATAACGTAGGCTTTTAACGCTCGGCTGGTGCTGCGAGAGCTTTGAGCGTATCGAGCGCGGCAAAATTCGAAAAATCGTCGGTCCATTTATACGTCGCGCGAGAGAAAGTTAAGTTATTCAATTTTATCGGTTTAGCTAAGTGTTACTGTACATAAAGAATACAGATTAATTTAATCGATTTAGCCATAAACACGGCGATTTCAATCGGGGCATTCAATTGCCGATACTGGAGTTAATAAAAACGCAAAAGCACACATCAATCATTTTGAAAATAAAAAAAGTACAAATACACCATCGCCGATAGAGGAGCTATATGCACGCGGTTGCAATCATAATAAAAGCGTTCGAGTTTAATCGCGATATACGGACTCTCGTATAGTTAGACCACTCCGAGAGTCGCGCTCACGCACACATTCATGCTGTATAATCCGCTCATTTCCGTTTGCCATATCAAGAGTCCGCGATGGACTACGCGGCAGGCGAAGTAAGAGCGAAATCTGTGTCAATATGCGTATACATATAAAACACGTGTATTCGCGCGTGCAATACAGTGAAAACTGCACGTACAGTCGACTCGAAACTCGAATCGATGCGCCTTGACGCGCGATTCTTCTTTCTTTTCCCTTTTCTTTTTTTTTTTGCTTGCATTATTAAAAAAATGAAGAGCAGATACTTTCCCCTACATGCGGTTGATCGATCGCGTAGCTTTTATACGTGCGTGTGTAGTTTATATCTAAGACGACGCGAGTACAAGTACAGTGCAAAGTATACAGAGGCATCACGCGCTATAAGGAGCTACGTCGCTGGAGCTCGACTCGTGCGAATATGCTGCTCGAGTCGCTGCCGGGGCCCGCGAGCTCGCGATATACTATATACGATACACACGCATTATATATATAGTGTATTTGCGGCTTACTCGTCGTCGTCGTCGTCGTCGTGTGCTGCGTGTACCGAACGACGCGCGGACGACCCACGCGCCAGTCTCTTTTGCGCTTTCCATTAGTAAACGACACGCAGTGCAGAGCAGAGACGACTACGACGAGCCTCCTTAGCACGCCGCAGACGTGCGTTGCTCCCGTATTATACAATTTTCGTATTTATACTGTACACGTGTGTGGACTGGAGCGAGTGACATTGTATACAAAGTTGACGTATCTTTGTGAAGTGCGCAGAGACACGCGTGAATCGACGCGCGTTAGTCACGTGTGAGCTTTGAGATCGAGGAGAATCGGTTATAAAGCTGATCGAGCATCGGCTGCAGGAACGACCAAGTGATAAGTACGATTTATTGTTCTATAACGTACCTTTTTTGAGAAGATAGAAAATATATGATAGAATAAAGTATAATGCAGATTTTGTATGCATTGTTTACTTCATTACTGAAGCATCTCTAATCACAAATAACCGATCTTCGTTTACTCACCATATGAAAAATAAAGCAGGCAATTATTTAATTTTTTTTTCTTTCCGACTGTGAGGCATTGAAATGTTAGCTGTGGATAATAATTATTTCAAGGGTGATACATTGCTCATCTTCGATCAATGTCGATAGAGATATTTTCAGCCTACGCAGCATCCTCCACCTCGTTTTGTTCTTTTATACCGATAACAGTTATTATATTATACGTATACGCTGTAAATGAAGATCTGAAAAAAATTGCGAATGACCCAAATGTCTCGCTCGAACTCGCGCGTGATCGGATATCCCGAAGAGCAAATATTATTACATTATAATAAATATAAATATTATTTGAAATGCATATCGCGAAGCCTTGGCTTATGCCAACACGATGGATATTATAATTCATCGAGCGCAGCGAGTCTTTGGCATACTAGCGATTAACATTATATAGTTGCAGCCGCACTTGTCCGAGATGTTAGTTTTCTCGCTCGCGTTTGCGATACGTGACGATTTACACGACTCGACCTACGTTCGGTAGAGTCGCGCGGCGGATATAATGTCGAACTATTTTTCATTTGAAAAATGATGAACCGGAAAAATACGAGAGTTATCATCATCATTTTTATATTCACGCGCGGCCGTTCTGCGTGTGATTCGAGCGCAGCAGCCGTTTACATAGACTAAACTTAGACGATTGGTATAAGGAAAACGATCGCGATGATACACTTAAAGTTTAAAAACGGACGCGCGGTAGCCTGTGTTGTTTACAAGCTCCAAATTTTATACGCGTGGCGCGCCGTCTCGTTCGTCTCGCACGTGTGCATCTTTATGATTATTATGATTTGTTTTTTTCCCCATTTCATTTTCTCATGCAAACTCGTAACGATCCTCGTCGAAACCGATACGCATATAGACGCAGCGGAAGGTGAGAAATATGCGTTACCGCGGCCGTTAATTCCTAATCCATGACGTTTTCAGGCGCTGCTCGAGTTCGCGTTTAGTCACAGCCGCCTTTTGGTTCTAAAAAAAAAAAAAAAAAATGCACGTGTGTAATTGTGACCCGTGCTCCGCAGTAATAATATCGTTTTTTTTTGTTGTTCCGTAAGATTGGAACACAATCGCTAAGCGCCGTTGTGTTTCTCAGAAATCCAATCATAAAATCGTTCACGATTTTGCCACGCTTTGTTTGGCAAACGTTATAATAACGCGCGAGATATGTATGCATGCAGAGAGTCGCACGCCTATAACGGCAAATATAACTTTGTGATGCATCTCTCGACACTGTGTCGTCGATTCGTCAAAAACTAATCTAGCTCGCATAATTGCACGCCGTGGTGCATTATAAATAAATACACGTTCGTACACAGTCGAAAAATGACGCCTTTGACGCGCGTTTACCGCAGAAGAAGAGAACACAAATCGGTTGCATAATTCGCGCGCGACCCAAAATGATGCGTATCGCGCAAATCAAAGCTCGCACACGCATGGCAATAGTCGATTATAAACTCTCTTGATAGAGAAGGAGGAAGGGGAGGGGAGGAACAACGAAGCAATTTTCCATTATTCAACTCGAGGAGTTTTGCGTATACGTATACGCGCGCGTTACATAAAAAGTCATCGACACTGTATAGTACAAGAGATATTAGTCCACTTGTGTTTGTATGCATGTGTGTGTGTGTGCCACCGAGAGTCGTCTTGACGCTGACCTTCCATAACTCATCAAATCTTTATATTTCTCGCTCTCCGTACGTCAGTATCTACTATACGTGTGTCTGTGTGTATGTGTACTGCTCGTACTGCATATACACACAGCGTTGGCACAATAAACTCATAAAATCGAGTAATGACTGCAGTTTCCTTTGCTCTCTCGCTCTTCTCCGCGCTACGTATGCGTCGTCGTCGTCCATCATAATCATCGGTCGCGCTCGCGGCACCGCACACAACACTGCATGCATCGCCGCAGGTCGCAAAAAAAGGCATTAACGCATGTAATAATTGTACCACTACAACTGCCTATGCACGCCGTTTATTATGTATATATATTTTTTTCCTCTCTTTTGCATGCAATCCGCTTCCGAAGAAATAGGCCTTATCGCACGTTCTGCCGCGCGGTGATTAATGTCCCGGTGTGTCTCGCGGCGGATGTACTTTAAAAGTGTGCGCATAAAAGTTGAATGGAGCAACGACAAAAGAGACGAATAAGAAATAATAAAAAAAAGGAAGAAAATCGTCGCAGCTGAGATGCTCTCGTTTCTGTAGTGCAGCTGCCTTTGGCGCTTTGTGCATACACGTCGCGCTTCACGACGACCTTGTTTATTCATTTAATCGCTGCAATTCGATTGAGTCGTTCGCCTCTCTTTTTTTTGTCTATAACGACGATTAGCCATTTAAATATATTTCAGCCGCATGTAAACGAGAGAGCAGTCATCGACTCGATCCCGCGATCCCGATTCTTCGCCGGCACGTATGCGTCTATAAAACGTGCACTGCACACACATGCCGTGAGTGAAATTTATCGAGGTGTGCAAGAGCAAGCAGCAATGCACGTTATAAGATAGCGCGAACGCGGCTAGAAAATCGCGTCTTGGGAGCTGTTATTAGACACGTGGCGCGAGCGAGCGAGCTGCACTTTTGTTTCTTCGCGACGCGCATGATTGGGGCGCTTTCTTTTGCGGGAAAGGGATAATTCTGACAAAACGTAAATGTGCACACGTTTGATCGTTACGTCGTCGTCGCACTCGTGTGGTTTTAAGCAAAAAAAATGTACTCCCAATGAAGAGCCAAGCCACGACGACGACGACGGCTTAAGTGCCCCGCTGCGGTAATCTCGTTTATACGTTAAAATTAAGCTTGTTCCTCTCTCTTTCTGTCTCATGCGGCGAGAGATTTTTAGATACACTTTTCATTCCCGCGTAGTTTGTAATTAGATGCTCTTTTTGCGCTGCGTCGAACTGGCTATTCATGAAAGTTAGTTTTTTCAGATACACAATTTTCCAGTCCTGCAAATGCTGTGGCTAACACATATCGTCTGTGCGCGCTCTCGCATACACGCGCAAGAAAGATATAATTGATAACAGGTCGTTAATTTTCGTGTAAAGTAGAAAGTTTGCTCCAGCAAGGAGTTTTGCATATTTCATAATGAAGATAAAAAAAAAATAATTGTTTTTTTCTTCCCTCCCATTTAATTGCTCGATACATTTACGCGTCGCGCGCTATTTTTCATTCTCGCGATCATCGACCGATAATTCGACGCACGAGTCGTGATTTTTTTTTGTTCGTTTTGAACACGAGAGATAGAGAAAGAGAGAGAGAGAGATGCATCGAAAGAAGCGAATTCATTCGTCGATGCGTTTTATAAAAGGCTATAGCCGCTGCGCACAATATGCAAATGCATTGTCTCTTTATCGTACGCACGCATTTTAAAACTTGTGCAGAAAGACCGAAGTGCTCATGCTTTCAAGAGATGCAAACGCGCTCGCGCGCTTATAACTATTAACGTTTGGCGTTCACCTTGAATCGCTAAAAAGTTTCGATGGAAGCAGAGAAAAAAAAACGTCCGAAGAGGATGTGAGAAAAGGTGAAGCGTGTAAACGTCGACGCGCGCGGAGATATGTTGCAAACAAAACTTTGGCGTATCTTTGACTTACGAGCTCGCACCGTTTTAGAAGCGAGAGAACTGCACACAGTGTTTATTTTTGAAATATGCAGCATACTTACACGAGTTCTCTTAAAATATGTATAGGAGCACGATTAAAATTCTTAATTAATACACATTTTTTGTGACAATTTTACTGTGAATCTCAAGTTTAATTGCTACACGATATATAACTACAAAATCAAAATATAACGAGCCAACTAACTGACTAATCGTAGTTGAGCTCTCTGTGTAAACGCCATGAAATATGATTTTATCTCTGTCTCTCATGCTCTCTCCTCATTCGTTTACTCTCTTCTCCAAAAGGTGCACACTGCTCTACGTACCATAAGCTCGTAAAACGCAGCGGCGGCGGCAGGTAGTTAAAGGTGCGCTGCACTGCACTACACGCTACACGACGACGATGATGATACCGGCGGTGATGCGGCGTTCAATAGGCTTAGCCTGGCTGTGCTGTGTCGTCATCGGCCAGGCCCGGGCTGGATGTCCGCTGAAACCCAAGACCGAGCAAACTTCCGCCACGAGGCTGCCCGGCGACGGCGGCTATCGCATACTCATCAGCGGCGAGTACGACAAGTACATACCCAACGCCGTCTACACCATCGGTCTACAAGGTATAAGGCGGACGTTTCAAACGTGTTATGCAATTTCAAGCCGTTTCGTCACTTTTTTCACTCTTTTGTCATGTACGAATTTTTTTGCACTTAGGATCCGGCGACTTTGATCAACTGGAGCGATTCGAGCGATTCACCCTGTCGGTGGACGCGCAGTCGCCCTCGTCGTTCGATCGGCCCTATCCGCGCACCGGCTACTTCCAGATCTTCCCGGACTCGCTCACCGAGTTCAACGAGGACTGCGTCAACACCGTGTCCGAGTCGTCGGACCGGCCCAAGTCCGAGGTGCAGGTGCTGTGGCGAGCGCCGCCCCGTGGCTCGGGCTGCGTCGTCTTCACGGCGATGGTGATGGAGGGCCCGACGCGCTGGTACGCCGGCGACGGCCACCTGCAGCGCGTCTTCTGCGAGATGAGCCCCCGCGAGACCGAGAGCCTCGACACGCTGCGATGCTGCGCCTGCGACGAGGCCAAGTACAAGGTAAGCCGGAATAATAGTAGAGTCAAAAGCATAAAATAACTTGGAGTGTACAGGTACTATTTATATGTGGAAAAATTTGTTTTGTCACTTGCGTATTTACTATGTAGTCCATCTGTTGGTGGAATAAAGAAGCTCGTAATCATATATGACACCATTGATTGAACGATGATTCATCTCGTTACGATACAAGATAATTTTTAGAATATTTGCTCTATAGACTCCGCATCTGAGGAGTCTATATAGCTATACGGTCATCGCGCTCGCTCGCTCGGTTTTCGTGGGTTTAAGTCTGTATCCAAAGCGCCTGGAGAGGTTATTTGAACACCAAAAAACACATGACTGCCGTTTTTGACCAATTATCTATAGAAGGCACTGGATTCATAAAACAGTATAGGTAGACTTTTATATTAATCATATAATAATCATATGAGCGGTTTATTCGGTGACGTGTAGTCGTACGTAAGTCGGTTACAAGTGGCGAGCGTAAGCTCAGTCAAAGCCCGCGACGACGCACAGCGTCGCGCTCACCCGATCAGATATGACTGGGAAGCACTTAACAAATTCCAACACTATCAGAATTTATACTAATCGGAAATTTGTTTTGCCACTTGCGAATTCGCAATACTCCATCTGTTGATAAAATCAAGAAGCTCATAATCGTGACAACTTTAATTCTTATGATCAATTTTGTTATGATAACAAACGGCCATTTTAGAATGATATATTTCGAGGTGCCACTAGTATATTAATCCTTACATTTTTCTAATTTTTCAAATGAGTTATATTTTTGTAGAGAATATAATAATAAGTATTATTATTCTAAAATTAATTTGTTATAGTAACAAGATTTATCATAATAATCAGGGTGTCATGTTAGATAATGAGCTTTTTGATTTCGTCAACAGATGGAGTATTATAAATTCGCAAGTGGCAAAACAAAGTATCGCTGAGTATAAATACTCATAATTGGTCAAAAATAAAACTACATGCGAAGCCACAGTTGTATTCATAATAATTTCAAACAATAAAAAGGTTTTACGAAAATCCGTAAAATAACGTGTCCTGCCACAGATGGTCCTCGAGGGTATCTGGTCGAACGAGACGCACCCCAAAGACTTTCCGCAGAGCGTCTGGCTGACGCGCTTCAGCGACGTAATCGGCGCCACGCACGAGACGAACTTCTCGTTCTGGGGCCGTGACCACGTGGCCAGCGACGGCTTCCGCCAGCTCGCCGAGTGGGGCTCGGTGGCGGGCCTCGAGGGCGAGTTCCAGGCCAAGCAGCGCTACCTCAAGACCTTCATCAAGGCGCCCGGCCTCTGGTATCCGAGCATGAACAGCAACACGTCGGCCAGTTTCGAGTGAGTCACGATATAATATACTCTGCATTGAGACATTTTATTGAAAGTATCCTCAATTTCGAGGCTAAAATCGCGATCTAAATTTTCATCCTGTGTAATACAAAAATACCTATGAATATTTCCTTTGTCACGCGTTTACCTGTATCCCAAGAATCTCGATGAACAAAAATTACAATTTGGATTCGGGCTCGAATTTTAAGAATTTCTTCATAGAATTATTCACTCAAATTGATAAAGTGCATCGAACGAACCAACGCGCCACGAATCCTAATCTCGCGTCGATCCGCAGGGTCGACCGTCGCCATCCGCTGCTGTCGATAGCCTCGTCGATGGGCCCGTCGCCCGACTGGGTCGTCGGCGTCAGCAAGCTGAATCTCTGCCAGCGCGACTGCAGCTGGATCAGGCGCATGACCATCGACCTGTATCCGTGGGACGCCGGCACCGACAGCGGCATCAGCTACATGTCGGCCAACGCGGAGACGCGACCGCGCGAGCTCATGAAGCCCATCACCACCATGTATCCGGAGGATCCGCGCTCGCCGTTCTACGACCCGAGCGGTAGGCCGATGCTGCCCGTGGCCAGGCTCTACCTGGACAGGGACGAGTTGATCAAGAAGAGCTGCTACGAGCAGCAGCAGTCGCACGACGTGACGGACTTCGATGTGCGTGACATCGCCGCCGCATCGGGCAACAGTGAGTCATTTAAAGATTGGGACGACGAGTGGCAATCGAATTAATGCATCTACTATATCGTTCGATACGTAACAATTTTTTTCATCGCGTGGACTATTAACTATTAATTATATCAGTATTACGTTGGAATTTTAAGATTTAACTATAAGTAATAAATTAAGTATTAAAATCCATACATGGTTTTATAACATTTTGTCAAGGGGTCTTTTGTTTTTACTAAATCATCTCCACCTCTAAAAAAATTGGTTCAAATTATTCCCTATTAATTTAGCGTCATATATATCATAAAACATACGACGATCTCACAATAGGTAAGTCGATGAAAACGTTCGCTGCATTTTGCTTTTACATATATTGCGCGTGCGTAAAATACAAAATACAGCTAAACCATGCAAAAAACAAAAGCTTACACAATTCGAGGCGCTTATGTATTTTCACTTTACTCACAAAAAAAACCGTCATTATGTATAAGTGCATGTACGTAGCACGTAAATAGCTATAGCAACAACAAAAAAGGGTACTACGCGCTTTGAGTCTGTATCGACAAAAAAATTGTGTTCATATCCGATGTATTGTTTATATTTACTATTATTATAAATTTACGCAGCGGAGACAGACAGCGGCAGCGGCTTGGGCGATCGGCGCGAGGACGACTGCGCCATGACGGATTACTCCGAGTGGTCGGCATGCTCGGTCAACTGCGGAAAGGGAGTAAGGACGCGCAAAAGAAGTTACAGAAATCCGGAGCGCGCCACGCTGATCGGCTGCAACGAGGAGCTCGTGTCCCAGGAGATATGCCTCGGCGCTAACGGAGAATGCAAGTGAGTTAAAATAAAAAAACTTACCTATTTAATGCAGATTGTAAAATTAGGCATTAAAATTAACTAAACTGCTATTGAATTTTATATAAAGTACTCTGGCATGAGAATTCAATCACAAATATTATTTCTAAAGCAAAAATAAATTAAAAGGATTTGATTCGATGTAAACATTATGTAAATATTGATGTTTAATAGATATTTATTTCGCGTTCATGATCAAAAAATTGTAAAGTTAATCGTAATTAAGGCCACCCTATACCGCTAGGTGGCGAGTACCTTTATTTGTAAATCTCAAAGTAGGAAAATGGAAATAATTGTATAAGTCGAAAAGCGAAATTTCAAAATATGGTACTTTTTTCTATTTTGATGAATCTAAAGATAATACTTTTATGATAATAATAATTAATTCATAATTATTGTTTCTTTAAAATACACGTTTTCCTTGTAAATATAGGAAATTGAGCAAAACTTCACCAAATAAATGGAAATGAAAAGAGTTTTACATTAAATTTCATGTAAAACTCATATTATTCGATTTATGAATAATACTCAAATTCAATTCGAATCACATTTATTTGAATTATTTCGTATGTAATTAAATTCACCCGTAACAAAAAAACATCCCCCACTTTTACATTAATTTTCATGTAAATATATCTCAACAGCGAAGTTCCGACGTTCTTATTCCTTCTTCTTCTCTTTGTACCTTGCTCACTTCTGTAATTATACTTTTTGTTGCGTTACCGTTGTGCTGTTGCACCTTCGTTTGCTTTACATTCGAAAGATTTCTCGACCTTGCACCAAGTGCGCGCGCCGTTTAGAGCTCTTTAAAAAAAAACCCCCCGCCCGCGATTTCCATTTTTATGCGCGCAAATAATTTTAAAATGCATTTTTCGCATGCGTGTTCGCAAATACAGGATTGCACCGACGCTGAGCAAAAAAGAAAACGAAAAGTTCCAACAGCTGGCGGGGTCCTTGGTGGAGGAATGCGAAACGACCGATTGGAGCGACTGGTCGGAATGCAGCGCGACCTGCGGAGTCGCTTTCAGGACGCGCTGGCGAAGACTGCGCCGCGCCGACCATCAAAATAAGTGCTTGCGCACTAAACTCACGGAGAAGGATCGATGCGTCCTGCCGGCCTGCCCGCAAGACGCCTCCGAGCAGCAGGACGACGTCTGCAAGGTACGTTTAACATTATACGTACGCGCGCGTAATTAGCGTTATGTAAAATTTTACAGCTTCGGTCGGAGAACGAGATGCACGATAATTTATGCCTCGTGTGTATTATGTATATATGCATTGCTCGTAGGTTTCCGACTGGTCCAAATGGTCCGCGTGCAGCGCTACCTGCGGCAACGGAGTCAAGAGCCGCAGCCGTACTCTGCTGGTCTCGCCGGAGCTCCGGGCCGATTGCTCGAGGAAGGTGCTGCTGATACAGCAACGACCCTGTCTCGATCAAGCCGATTGTACGTTCGCAGCGGCTGCGGCTAAAGGTCAATGAACGATTATTTAATGTTACGTGTAAAACTCGATTGGTTGAATTTTTAACGATCGAATTTTTACAGGCATTTGCTCAGAGAAAATTCACAAAGGACCCTGCCGAGGTTACTTCGAGAGATGGGCCTACGACCCGGAAAAGCGCGCCTGTGTGTCCTTCGTCTACGGTGGCTGCCGCGGCAATAGAAACAATTTCCGAACTTACGACGACTGCACGAATTCCTGTGCCGCCGTAAGTATACACAAAGTGGCGATCAATAACAAATTTTGCAAACCTCGACTCAATCGATGAATTTTCAATTTCAAAGGATTCGTCGAGCGTAGTTCCGACATTGGAATCGGCATCGACGGCGAATTCCGATGTTGTCGTGGCGCGTCACGCACCCGAGGATCGACTGGCCTCGTTGAGATCGTCGGATGTGCTGCCGCTGCCTACCAAGCAACGACAACTGACGCCAGTCGACTGCGAAGTTTCCGAGTGGTCTCCCTGGACCGATTGCAACGTGACTTGCGGCATGGGTCGCATGATCAGTACACGCTACATCGTGGTACGGACATTTCTTTAACTATTTACATTACTGTTGATTGATATTGATTTGACATTACTATTTATTAAAAAAAATAAATAAATAAATAAATAAATAAATAAATAAATAAAATAATAAAAAAAAAAAATTTGAAAATAAAACCTTCTTTTACAGCGACACCCACAAAACGGAGGCAGATCTTGTCCGTTGCGACTCGAGAGACGCGCCATATGCCAACTTGCTCCATGCAAGTCGTTTGAAGTTTGAAGATTGCCATGTAGAAAAAACGAGTTATGCCAACGTAAAATCAAAAGCCGATTAATTAGACTAAGGTCGAAGAACTTCAGCTCGAGTTCAATGAAGCAATATAATCTTAAGAATCATCGTTTTTAGTTCAGTTTAAACTCGAAAATTTAATATACTATATTTAGGAATAAATGACTAATCGATTGTATGGGTGATCCGTGTAAATGTATGAGTGTTAAGTACTTACTCACTTGGCTGTAAAACGTATAGAAAGATAAGCACTCTTTTTGTAATAAGTATCTATTTATGATTATATGACAAGTTTAAGATTTGAAAAAATTAAAATGAAAATGTATAAGTATCAGAATATACAGGGGTTTATTAATGGTCATTTTTTATCAACATATCCTTTTATAGCTAAACTTTTAAGATTCATCCCTTTTTATCATACAATAGTTTTATCATCATAATAATTAATAGTATTTACGCTTACTTCGTAAATTTGTCACATATCTTACACATATTTTGCTTGTTTTTCTTTTCCATACTCAGCGTATTCGTAATATGAGACTATTCGTAATAGTTAAACTGTATTTTTAGTTCGTTTGAAATGTACTCGAATTTATAATTAAAAACCCCCCACAGGTTCACATATATATCTTAAACTGTTTAAATTACCTTCGCTTACAGTTTTATTAATATTATAATCGTGATCAACACGAGCTTCACTTATATTTGACATTTTTAAAATCATCTTAATTAGATAATAAAATGAATTTAAAAATTGAACGACCGATAGTTAACGATTCTATTTTTTTTTTTTTTTTTCAATAAAAGTTAATGACTGTAACATTTACCTCGACGATGCATACGTGAGTGGTTAAAACTTAAAAATGAAATTTAATAGGGTTTTAAACAGCTAACGACTACTTTTCATCGTTTCATTAAAATTCTATTCGCGTTTGTACTATAACTCTTTTAAAATCTGTTTCACAGTACACTGATACAATTATAAAAGTCTGAACAATCGTAATGCATCGTTAACATTAAAATCCAACTTATTGTACAATTAATTTATTTTAGCTCTTAGCACTTTTTGCATGCTAATCTTTGGAGTACGATAGGCCATCTCTTTCTTTAGAGGATATCATAAAAAGCAAACAACTTTTAAAACAATCATGGAACTTTAAATAACGACACTACAATTCTAATTATATTTTGATCTTTTTAACAGTTTGATACAGCCGACTAATTTTTTTTAATTTTAAAACTTTGTTTACTAATTACTCCTCAAGTTTAATCACACCAGAATAATCTCTATCAAGAAATTTCTTTTATTTTCTTATAGCTAATTAAAAGCTAATTATTTTCAATAATTTTAAAAATTCACATCTAAAAATGAAAAGTATTTTAAATTTCTTTGCTTATTACGTATAATTATGTCAAATTGTTTACAAAAACATCGGTTATGATTTCCACTGATAAAAATGTCATAATAAATATCTATATGTTTCGTTACAATTATTTATGAGCATAATACATTATTTGCTTTGATTTTATTTAAATTTTGTATTCATGAATTTGATCTTAATACTTTTAATAAATCACTATGAGATCGAACTGTAAATTCCTTCGCACCTTAAAATGGAGTACTGTAACAATTTTCAATGATATTTGGTTATCGCATAAAATTCTATACTTTTTTGGTTTTCTACTAGGTTGAGTTTTTTTCTCAATATGAGAAAAGTGAACTTTAAAACTATAAATTAAAATATCAGCATAGATAAAGTGACTAGAGACTATATTTACGCAGCAGAGAAAAAAATTGTCTTATTTTTTTGCGGCTGAAAACAGATTTAAATTTTTAATGCACCAGTATACTTACAGTTATTCAAGACTAGCAAAATCAAGCAATCAATCTTTGTTTATTTATTCTCGATAACGCTATTTTAAAACTTATTCATATTCACTAACAAATGTTTTTTTTTGTATTTTTAGTAAGACTAGTAGTAGCAGAAACTTTTTCAACACTAATAAATATCTACCTTTTTTAGTATATAGCTCAACTAAAATAGTATTGGAGAATATACGAATATTTATTTTTTGTCAAACGTTTATCATGAACAGTGTCGGTATATTAGTATTTTACATCCAGCAACTTGATTTTTATTTTTTACGAATTCAAATAGTTTCGAGCCATTGGTATTCGGAAAAAACGTAAAAATCATTAGCTTTTTTGTTTTGTCCAATCGAAGATTACAAATTGATTGGCCGACCCGTGGCACTTTCCAGTTTGGCAGTATTAGCGTAATATGATATCGACAATCATACGAACTTCACAACTTATATGTAGTACCTTCTCGTTACTCACAATTCGAAATACATGTGTTTACAAAATTGTGCGATTATAGTACGTTTCGTTATAGGAAGGCATAAAAGTGATCCCCTTTGGTTAGTGAAAGCAAAATTCATACTTCATCCCAAAGCTCATAATTTCAATTAAAGTAACGGAATTTACGAAAACTCAATAACAATCTTTAATTTCTCGTTTTCACAAATAAAATACGATCCGCTGGGTCGGCGACGTATCGAGAAAACCACAATATATTGTTGCTTATTCATTTTTGTTCTCTTCTTTTCGTCATATTCATCCAAATTCACAGGAATTTTGACACTTTGATAAATACACACGCAGAAACGACGACGACGCCGGAAGATGTCGAAGCATTTATGCCCCTTCAAAGCCATCCTGTCGAAGCGGCCGCGTCGTGTCCGGTTATGGGCTCGATGTTGGCCGGCAATTTCAGTTGTTGCTGACTAGTCGAGGCACCGTTGTGTTTACCCAGAGCCGAGGCTGCGGCGGCGATTTGCGTACTAGCGCTCAAGACACTCTCCTCGGTGGTCGACGGTGTTAAATCAACCGTCGAATTGGTCATAGCTGCAGCCGTCGACGACGAGGACACGCCACCTGAAAAATGCAAGTTCACAGGCAAAAGCTCATTTCATTGGATATTAACGCGTGACTCGTGCTTGTGGGATGCAGTAATTGTTTCAAGTTCGGTGTATTTATAAAATACAGATTGTCGAAGGACTTGGTTTGAATAGAAGTCAAATGTCAATCAAAGGTGTTTTCAGGGCACACTGTCATAAAATATACAAATGCCACAACAAGAACATGGTGATTTGGTGGTTGACACTCACAAAAACGAAAGTGATTTTGTTGTCGGTTGTTTGCTTTCTTTTGAAATATGTATTATATTACATAAGTTAGCTAATTGAGGGAAGAGTGACATTTATGGAATGGTTACATAATGAATGGTTTTGTTGTCGAGGTAATTGCACTGGAATAATTTACAGAATATTTTAGTTTTGCTGTGTAAATTTGCAAAGGCTGTTTCTACAATAGTTACATTTGTACATTGCCGTATGAATTTTTCATCTCAATCGAACGAGACGTGTTAAAAAATAAGTCGAATCGAGTATAGAGCTTTAAGCCAGTGTGATGGAGATAAGCATCGACTTTTGTGTATAGTAATATAAGAATTTAGCGTCGAATTTCAGTGCATATTTGCGGTGACTTGATGAATAACAAACAATTGAATAAAATATCCAGGAATATGAATTTCTGCAGAACATTTACGTATCGATGCTAGTCTATGTGACATTAGCAAACAACTATATCAATACACACTAACTATAGCATAATATATAAAATTCAACGATTAAATGGTTTATCGAATAGAACGGCTAAAAAGAGGATGTTTGAAAATCACGCATTTTTAATTTAATTTCAAACTCACTATTGCAGAAGCAGTCCTGTCTTTCCAAACTCCTCTTCATGCAGAAAAGTTAAAAATTCTGGCCGGAAAATGTCTCAATAGTCTCTTATAATCTCCATAAACCTCGATGTTACATATACTTTTTTTACTGCCTTCGATGGTAGTCGAACTTGAATTTTTTTTCTCTCGAAAAATTAAAATAAAAAGATAATTGGAAATGCATCTATGTTACACCATCATACAATGCAACATTCGTCGTCTTTTGAATTGGGAAAGTTTTTTTCATCGGAATTCTTCAGATAAAATAAATGATGTGTAATTACATACACGCGCAGAAGACAGAGAGATGTGCGCAAAAGCCGCAGAGATTATAAAGCAAGATTTGACGCGATGAGATCTCTCAATTCCGATGAGCTTAAGTGACTAAATCCATTTTGTAGGTACACAGCATATGTATGAAATATTACCATAACATAGTATAGCCAGCAAAGCAACTATTTAAGCCTCTGGCTAGTTATACAGCGCGCTTATCGGAAGTAGATGCACCTTGGATCATTCGAACGACACTCGAGTCGATATATTAAAATACTTTTTTTCTTTTTGTGAGTGTCTTCTTTATACACAATTTTTACAAGACTTATATATCATAATATACTTTTCGTGGCGCATAATATCACTATATTCAGCTTGGAAAATCAAACGACGATCAAAAATCTTATTACAGAAATACTATATGTATATTATATAGCCGAGATAAAGACCAAAATGACGATGAATCTCTAACCTTGGTCTTTGGAACCACCGTTGCTAGACCCCTCTTCGAGACTCGGCTGCTGGCTCTGCGTCGTCTCGTGTCGCCTCGGCTGCACCGGCTGGTGCAGAGCCAAATCGGGGCCGCGCGTCGGCACGCTGCTCGCCCGCTGCAGCTGCTTCTTGGTCACGCGCTGCAGCGCCGAGGCGATGGGATTTAGCGCGCTATCCATGGGCGAGGAAGCTGAAGCCGAGGCGCCGCTGCCGGTGCCGGTGGTGCTCGTGGTCATGGCCGGCGTCGAGCCTCGGGTCTGGTACCTTTTGCGCTTGCGGCGCAGCGCCGCTAGCCCTAACGCGAACGGGCTGGAATGGGCCTGGCTCTCGTGATTCGCGGGTGGAGTCGGTGGAATCGGTGGTATTTGTTGCTGCTGCTGTTGCTGCTGACTTTGCGAGTGGTGATGGTGGTGATGGTGATGATGATGGTGATGCGAGGAATGACCACCGTGATGATGATGGGAAGAATGGTGATGACCTTGTGGATCCTGAGACGGGACGTCCCCGGAAGTTTTCGAATCTGTAGAGCAGTCCGAGTGGGAAGCAGCGTCGTCGGAGGCTTGCGAGTAGACCGAATCTTCGGAACGTGAGCGACCTGCTAAACGAAAGAACAATAGTTTTTACTGTGTAAAACGTTCCTTAATTACATATAAAAAAAGTGTATTTACACGTTACCATGCTCATTCTGCGTTATGAAATATTTTTTCATTTAAAGGTATAGGATCTATGCCCCAAAACATCGAGATCAAATTTGCAACATCGATATAGTACGATAATAAAACAAAAAAATCACATAAGATAAAATTAAATAAAAATAATGTTCTTATTCATAGGGTAAAAAAATGTCGATCAAAACATAGAGAGTCAACTGTAGAAGCATACACTGATAAACAAAACTGGAGAAAGAAAAAAGCAAATTAAAATAAGCGAATGGATAAAAATGATTAGTGTAAAAAGAAGTTACGGATGAAAAATACCTATGGCATAAGTTGTATGGACACATAAATGATGGTAATTGACAAGAATGTAAAAAAAATGTAACCTGTAAATACAAGAATAAACTGAATGGACTGCACAATAGTGGAGTGTCCTAAAAACTTGATAATACAAGAAAGAAATGAATTTAAGAATCAGGACAACACGAAATAAATCATAATTGTATTAGGTTTTAGTTGCGACAGTATTTTTTAACTAATTCCATTTTTGCGTCGAACGCATGTCAGTCACAGGCTGCTCTACCAAAGATACTTGCAATTTTTAATTACTTTGATCACTACAAGCAACAGTGAACTATTTATTATCAACTTTACAAATCAAAAGCCTACGAATTGTCGCCAACAAAAAAATACCACCTATGATTATTACCTATAAGCTTGGAAACTCGGCCAACTTTGGCAGCTTCGATGAGGGTGCCCCATTTTCTCTTGCGCGAACTGCCGCCTCGCGTGTCCCTCGACTGTCGCTGCGAGGAGCCCAGTCCCGGCACGCTGTTCGTGCTCATGTGGTGCGGATTCTTTTTGGGCGTCGTGCCAGGCCCGAATAAGCCGCTTAGCGTACTGCCGAAGATCTCGTGATGGTGTCCTCCGGTACCCGCAGCCGGATGATGATGATGCGAATCGTCGAGGCTCGGAAGTCCGTCGTGGCCGGACTCAGCCACCGGCGCCAGGGTCCCGCTGCTGCCCGGCGGCGGTGCTATGTTGAAGCCCTTCATGAGGCGGCGCTCCTTCTGCCGATTCTTCTTGCCACCGACACCTAGTACGGATAACTCTTTCACGCTACCGTCTGGGCTCGAGAGGAAACAGACAAAGAAAACACCCAAAGGCAAACATTCAGCTAAAACATGCTTACTAGGATTAAAGAATAACAAATTATAATGATTTGGTTTGATTCGAGTAGGTATAGTCCTCGATTGGCTGGATACTGTCGATATTTAATGGAATTTTTCGTACCTGAATTGGCAATTGTTTGTAAACGGAAAAATAATTCATTCAAGACAAAATTATATACAAATCAAAGATTTTAGATCAGTAATTTTCTTTGGAATGGATAAAAAGGGTAACAGAAATAACAAACTTTATCATGCTTTTCACTCAACAAAATAACACCAAGAAAAAAAGTTATATTCAAAAGACAAAAGGATCTCTAAATTAATTATTTTTCAAAGAAGTATTTCTATAGAGACTATTTCTGCATTCAATCTAATCAATTCAACTAAATTCGCCATCCAGCAAAAATTCCGATTGTTTTCCATATCAGTAGTATATCTTTTGTAAAATCTAACAAACGAGGTGTCTTGTTCGACTCACAAAGTATTTTATGTTTAATCATAGCATAGTGCTGCGTATGGAATTTTATTCGGCTAATGTAGGCCATGCATAATTCAAAACTAAAAATTGCAACGTTGTACAAGTACAGAAAAAAATCGGAATTTTCTTTTCAATATATTTCAAGTCCTGATGCTTTCATAAACGAGGAAAAACTGACAAAAAATATCAAAGTCTATACAGATGTTTAAATTATTCAAGGATATTTATAAAAACTACTATATAAGTCACTGTCTCTCTAATATTCAAAAATGCAAACAACATCGAAAAAACTAAAACTCCTTTCACAAGCACAATATAGAAAATTCTGTAAATATATTTTTCAAAACTGCTCGATCCATCGTATAAAAAGAGAATCGCAATTTTCCAGGCTTATCGACGTTGATGCTTGTGAATTACTCCATAGGCATCAAACGCCGTTGATCGTACATCGAGACTCGCTCGTTCGTTTGTTTTTTCTCTCTTTCTTTTTATTTCATGAGTAACACGAGCCGCTCGATGACAAAACAGAACGTTCTACTCTCACCGGTACCCTGGCCAGATGTGTGCTCCGTCGCCATCCCCGACTTTTGCAGTATATTAATGAGCTCGCAGCGGAAAGCGCTTATGTCCTGCTTGATCTCGTTCACGTCGTCCTCCGTCACACCCTCGTTCTCCGTCTTGCGCTGCTCCACGGTCACGTAGCGGCGCACGAGATTACGCATTATGCCCTGATAACGAAAATCGCGCTCCGAGGCCTGTTTCACCTTGCGCTGGTACATTAATACAAAAAAGTTCGCAAATGACACACAGAACGCTGGTGCGCTCCAGTTTTACGGACACGCGTCAACTCACCCGTATGGTCCTCATGTGCTCTTTCTTGGCGGCGCGACTGTGACCGCAGAGCTTTCTGTAAATCCACTTTACAATGTACCAGAAGCTTTTGGGCGTGGGTATAATGTTGAAGGGCGGCGGCACCGTGCCACCTTCCTCGAAGTAGCTTATCCACAGCTTGCTCCGAGCGAATTTCCACTCTACGTCGGCGCGTTCCTAGAAAGATATATGCATTTGTATTGTGTGCACGCACGTATGCACAAAAGCGCAGCGCTATTCAAAATGTATATCAAGGATAAGACGCTCTGTCGTGCTACTCGGCGACATATTGTGCTTTTTGCTCGAGAAAAGCCACTCAAGCTTTTTTTATGTGATTATTACAGAAAACTATAGAATGGTTAAATAAAAGAATGTTTGTAACTATAATTTTTAATCATTACCGATATTAATTGATAGGAATGATTCATCATGGCGATCAGTAGATTCAGTAGCACAACGATGTTAATAACGGAATACGTGCCGAACATCAGCATACCCCAAAATCTTGTGAATATTTTTATTCCATCGAGCTCGAAACTTTCAAGATCTACCAGACCAAAGACGGCCCAGAATAACGTTTGAGTCGTTTCGAAAAGACTGAAAACGAAAATTAATGACGGTGCAATTTTTTTTCTATTCTCTCAGTGCGGTATTCTTTCGAAAAAGAAAATAGAAAACTTTACTTTGCGAATCTTCTCCAAACAATGCAGGCGTTTGGATCGAGGTTCGTATTATTTTGAGGCAAATGAGGCATGGCTGTCGGGCACCTTTTCTTTTCCATGTCGGCGTAGTACCACAGAAGTTGATTCAAACCTGCGCAATTGTTTTTCGCCCCGGCAAAATGAAAAATCAACATAATTAATGGGGAAAAAGTTACGTGACCGAGACGGTGTGCGAGTTCAACCGAATGGAAATAAAGTAGGTCATTGGCAAAGAGTTGTAAAAGTTACGTGATCGACACGTACCGCATGAAAAAGCGAAGAGCACGAGGACGAATAAGAAGAAAAACTTCATGATGTCCATAACCATTCGAGAGAGCGAGACTTGCAGAGGTCCAAGATGTGGATTCACCGAGAATATGTAGACTAATTTTAAGGAACTGTAAAAAAAGACGAGCCACTTGTATCAATATCAATTAACTGAATGTAATTATGTTGAAAGTAATTGAAACTGATCTTACCTGAAAATATTTGCGGCTGAAAATAAGCCCTCGGAAATGAGCATCGGATCCCAAGTGTCCCACTGCTCGCGTTGCAGCTCGACGATCATGTGCGGCTCTATTCCCTCGTTCTCCCTCTGCACTCTGTAGTAGGCCACGATACGTAATGCCACAGTCGCCACGTACAGCGAATTCGTGACGAAATCAATTACGTTCCACATGTCGTTGACGTACTCCTCGAGACCGACGTCCCATAATTGCTTCACTTCCGACCATATCAAGCCCGAGACCCAAGACAAGATTACCCTGAAGAAGCAGAGTCAATAAAGGTGAGGGCGACGTTTTTTTTTCTACATACTTTTGCACGTAAGACTTACCACTCGACGATGGTGGGTGCAGCGCCGCGTTTCGTTGGCTCGTTATGGGGGTCGTGTTCCACATCGTGCCCCGTCCAAACGCCTATGACACTCTCTATCCTTTGACTCGCTAATATCAACATAACTGAAAAAAGCGCCGATTTTAAATTGTAATTCTTTTTTTAAAAAATTCCGAAGTAACTCTCGCGACTTCACTCACAAAGGAACGTAAAATACGACGCGGAATGGCATATGAATTTGATGAAGGGCTTCCTCATGGTCTGACCGACGACCGTGTGAGGCGCGATGATGTAACCGATGCTGAAGAATGGAAAGAGTATGCCGATACGCACGATTTCCAATGCCTGCAGCACCATGTTTTTGCGCCTGAAGCCAGGCAAGCCCTCGTACCAGATGGACGCGAGCAGTTGCTGCACGTTAGGATGCGCTACGAACTGCATATCAAGAGAAAACGCAAACGTAAATTACGTTTTTCATACTTTTTTTCTTCTCTCTCTCTTCTTTTTTTAAGATGAAATAATTTTTTATTTGCGTAACGCTCCCCCGTGCAAACTCACCTTTTTCTGGCGCAATTTCACTGCGAGCTTGAGGCGATTGAGATGCATGCGCTCGCCGTGCTCGAACGCTGGTCCCGTTGGATCGTGATTTAGAAGCACCTCGAGTTCGTACGAACTTCTCGTGTGATCAAGTAACGCCGTGGCGAAGTCTTGACACTGACGCCTGAGTTCCTGAAGTTGCGGGAAGAAAAATTATGTAATTTTACGAAAAAAAAGAAAAACAAGAACGATATAAAAAAATAATGATAATAATAGAAATTGTAACATAAAATTGAGCGTAGAGAAATTTCACCTAATGAAAGTGCGAAAAAGGTAAGCTCGCGCGAGTCCACGGGTCTCATTTTCTTTGAAACGCGCGCGCTTCGTTAGGAGCTGCAATGCCAATTATACACCCTGATTAAACACACTGAAAATTCATTTGTATCGAGTCGGTTTTAATTTGTCTTCTCTCGTGCGCGCAGTTTCTCCACCTCGTGCACCCTTTTGGTGCTGCACCGCGTACGTTTAATAAATCTCCACTGGCAGCTAACGAAGCCAACGCGTGAAATAATGATATTTTAAAATTGTATTTAAAAAAAAATCGAATATGAATTTCGATCGATTCCGGTATTTATTTATACCGTGAGCTTTTAGCGCGGCACGCGCAAGGCTTCTAAACGCGTACCTTTATAATTACTCTCGAGCTCCTTACGATGCCATAATACTATATTACTCGTAATGATCTCCGAGCTGTGCGCGTTATATACACGAGGAAGCGAGAGAGGAAGGAAGAGAGAAAAATGGGCGTTACACTCACTTGATACTCGCACTTGAACTCGTGCTCGAGAAAGGAGAGCCTTCGCAGCTCCCAAGACAGCTCGAAAGCCGTAAGAATAGGATCCTTGGAAGAGAGAGCTATGAGGGAGGGCGACGCCAGGGCACGGTAAGCGTTGATGCGGCTTCTCGAGTGTCGCAGCGAATCCTCTTGGCGCGACGTCACGCACTCGTCGCACCTGCAAGAGAAGAACAAAAGAGATACACACCAACGCAAGCAAATCGAATTAGTTCTTTCTCTCTGTTGCCTTCGACTGACTGTGTAATCTTTTTATTATAAACGGCTTATGACGTAATATATTTATTTATAAATGGCATTAGGTATGTGAATGGTATTAAATACCCGCAACGGACGTCGTGAGGCATCGGCAGCGTGGAACCTCGATCCAGCAAGATTTTGATGATTTCGTAGTTGTCCCGATGCGCCGCGAGTATGAGCGGTGTGATGTCAGGCGTGAATGTTGCTGTATCAGGTGGTAGAGCCTCCCAACTCTGAAAATCATTCGCAACCACACCCGGGCGCTCTAGTGATATAACGCGCGTAATACACGGCATCGTAGTCCTACCCATTCTCGCACCCTCACTCTCGCACTCACTCTCCTCCGCACTACTCTGCTCTGTTCTAACCTGCTTGCGGGAGGGAGAGAGAGCTTATATTAAATTTCAACTCTGTATTATATGTGTACGTACGGAGAGGTAGAGAGCGAGAAATAGAAATTCAATTAAATGTTACAAGCTCGTGCGCTTGTACGTATACGCTAATTTTGTATATACCAACGTTATTGAACTCGAGTGAGAGTTAATATACAAATACTTATTAATAATGATAATGTCGAGCAATGATAAGTATACTCACGTGTGGCTCGCCGGCTCGATGCATACTTTCCTCGTGATCGAGCAAAAGCTCCACGGCCTCGACGAATTCCTCGGATATGGCGTGCAATAGAGCGTCCTTCGTGTCGACTTTAAAGTCTATCAGCAGTCCGACCATTTCGAGATTTTCGTTGTCGATCGCCATGAGGAGGGCCGACCTGCCCAGCGGGTCGACGCAATTTATGTTTATCTTCTTGTGGTTCTCCAGCTCCAACATTCTGTGGAAATCGAGAGAGAGAGATAGAGAGAGAATGAGAAAAAAAACGGAAAGAAAAATTACGAAATTGAGAACGATCGTAAAAAGTTTTTCGGCGATGTATATTGCGTACGTGCAGCAATACACGCACCAATATTGATAGCGTTTTACACCGAGTGCGCAGCAGCTCTTCCTCGTTGATTACAGAGAGCCCCAACCCGTTACACGATCGCGCTCGGTAATTTTTACAGTTTCTAATTGAGGCGAAAAATACAGGCTGCACGTGGTTATCTAGTAAAAGCAAAACAAAAAAGAAAAAAAAAAAAAAACGAGCGCACCGTTTCACGAATGCAAAACGCGTACCTACACAATGTATACGCTCGAGACAATTGAGCGAGCTTGCAGACGCGAAAAAACGAAAGAGCGATTTTTTTTGGTGCTCTCGTTGGTTTCATTTCATTCGAACTTACACGAAATGCATGATTTTGTATCTATTTCAATCGTTCAATTTTTTGCATATTATTATACGAAGAACGTAAAAGTCGAAAATTTAGATAATATACAGTCGAGCGCGATCCACAAGCCGTGCCACACGATCACAGAGTTCAGTGCACATGCACCCACGAATGTCTATATAGCATATATATAGGCGTGCGCGCGTGTACGCAGAGAGATAGAGAGGCGAGCGAGAGACAATAATGTGATTTACTTTCTGACGCCGGCAACGTCACCGCGCTCCACGGCCAGCAGGAACTTTTTGTCGTCCAGCGAGAGGCTGGCCATCTCCTGGTGCGGCCTTATTACGTTCTCGTCCTCCATCATGCCGTGGATACTGTGTCTCTGTGAAGCAAAAAAAAACAACAGGATATTCATTTTTTCTTCGGGAAAGAATTCAATTTGCATTTAATGGTCATGATGACAATGAATCTATAATGGATATAGAAGGATAATTTTGTTATTCTCTAATAACTTTTCACTCTCGAGCTTGGCGTAGCCGCTGCACGTCCACCTGTTGTCGGGTCGTACGCACGCACACATTGGCGACGATCTCCAAATCGATGCGCGGATAATTCCGTGTGCCCAAAAGCATCCAGCCCGGTATATAGCATACAATCATTATATACTTCATCCACGCAAAAGCGTCGAGAGCGGAGAGCAGCAGCGAGTTTACTCTGAATGATATTGTGCGTGTTACGTACGCGTATACGCCTGCATGTGTCAGTGTACCGAGGGAGCGGCTCTTGGCAATTACGCTGTCGGGAACGCCCTGCGAGGGCAAACATTGAACCTTCGGCGTTGAAGCTCTCGACCAAAGTCCAATAGCTAGTATTGGCGATCACTTGAGAAACGTCTTTGCCACGATAGAATTTGTCTATGTAGGTGTCTCGCGAGTTTACTTTCCCCCTGACCTTTCCTATTCTGTTTTTTCTTTGTTCGTGAAATCGTCGAGCCGAAAAATTCGAAGAATGGAAATGAGAGCCTTTTTTCGTCGCAAATTTTGGGTCGGATAGTTTTTCCCTATAAATATCGCTATGTATCCGGCGCCGTTATTTTCCATATTTTATTTCCGTTCCAAAGGGAAAAATACTTGTCTTGGAAATTTTCACGAAGGATACGGGCGAGCGTCAAGCATGATGCAGCGTAAAAATATTGGCTTTTGTGTTCGTTTTTTTCCCTTCTCGCGCACGCAGCAAAGCGCGCGAGAGGATCTTTCAGAAAAATAGGGACACCAATGTATCAGGAAAAATATGTATACGCGCGCACAGGAGAGAATTTTTGCAATGAAAAACATTTCATTTATGCGACGATGCAAATAATAAAAAAAAAAAATAAATAAGTGAACACGCGGCGCGACTCTCGCAGTATTGTGTAAACAAAAACAAACGAAAAATTATTCATCTTCGTGTTTTAATAGTTTATCGGTATAAACACACGGTGGAGAAAGAAAGACCATAGATATACAATAAAGCACAGGTACAGTTTCAAGGGAAGGGTTAATAAAAATCTTTATATACACTACTCTAGCTCTCGAGCGTCCCGGGCAAAAATTCGCGGTACATATAGAACCCCCATCGACGCCAACTTTTTAATTGACGATCGGATTGAATTATTCTTTTTTACGCCCGGTCGACACGCGAAAACGCACGCAAGCTCACCGAGAGGGCAAGAGTTGACGAACGACCGTCGATATTTTTTACTGCGCCGCACACATCGCTCTTCTCTGCATAGGAAAATAATAGAATGGGAAAAAGTGCCCAGTTTTACGCACGCGAGTTTTCGCTGCTTTTTTGTTCTCGCGAAACGCCACGCAACCAAAATGTAATAATCCATCGATCGCAATTGCTACCGAAAAGAATCGCTTCTTTAATTTTTATTTAATGCTCGAATACGGCATAACCATTATATGATGTGGTACCTGCACACGAACGCCGCGATGCATCTCATTGCGCGTAGGGGTTATTCAACGACGTCGACTCGAAACTCGAGAGAAGGAAATTCTCAAGAGTATTCGAACGACATTGTGTGTATGTGTGTAGGTGAGCGGCGCGTAATATATGCCACCGAGCCACACACGTGCGCTATGGGTGCGTCTCGCTCGTCTTTGCCTCAGCTCCCGACACGCGTCATTAAGATTCAGTTATGGAGAATGCGTAATTCTCTTAGCGTCAGAGCATTTATATGGAAAGTGTACACGCACGCGTATGTACATGTATATTTTAGAATATATATGGGCAAAAGTGGTTCCTTTGCTTTGCGCAGCTCTATCGCCGAGCTAATTTATATAAATATATCGCGCAGCGCGACGAGGAGCGACGTCTATATTTTTAACAACTTTCGACGTTGAACGAAAATCGATGATCAGTGTCATAGCAGCGCGAGTGCACACATGTCAATGATAAACAATAATTTTAGTCTGGAAGCTGGAAAATATGCTCGACGGAACGTTCCAGTCTCGAAATCGTTGAAAAATAAAGTCTCGCGGAAAAAAGTTCTCAAGTAACGCGCAAGCTCTCGCCGTGGATGGATTTTCCAGCGTTACGCGCGCGCAAGTCTCCGCACCTGCTTTCGATACATATTTCGACGATAATATAAGAAGGGCAATGAAGTACTGCGTCGGAATATCCGATATAGGCGAATCTTTCTCGTATGACGGCGAGTGCAAAGAGGTGTATTCTGATTTCAATAAATATATACGATATAGAGAGATAGAACCCGAGCTTTTGATTATATTTTCAACGTCAATAAATGAGATCAAATTTCCCACGCGTGGATAATGAGTAAATAACATTTTTGAAATTTAAGGACCCGAAATTGATTCGATCGAGTGTGCGGAATTACGGAGATAAACGACGCAACGTCGGAGGATAATTTAGACCATAATACACGAGCGCGTGTAAACATAGTTTAGCCAGCGCGCGAACAAGCGCATGTAGCTCGCCCGAGAACGTGCCAAGTGACAGCAGCAACAGCAACTACAGCAGCAGAGAAATGAGCTGCAGCAAAATCAAGAGCGAACGTACCGAGCGTACATATTTACGAGGATAGAAGTAGTGGATAGAATAGAAATTGGAGGCGCGCAGAGCTAGCTCTTCCTCCACCACCACCAGTTTGCTGCTACTGCTGCTGCTAGCTTATATGGCATAATTGAATATACACAAAACTTGGCAACGCCAAGCTCGCGAGCTCCTACGGAGCTTAAGCGGTTTAATTCTCGCGTGAAATTTGCCATGGTAATGCAGTTTGAAAACACCTTACGTTTTATGCGCACGATCCAGAGAGAGAGAGAGAGAGAGAGAGAGAGAGAGAGAGAGAAAGAGAGATTCTGGCCATGCCGTGCATATAAGCCACGTTCGAGGATTTAGTCTATTAGAGGAGAGGTTGCATCGTTTTGCATTTTTGGCGCCGGCCCGTTACGTACACGTAACAAGTTACGAATACGCGTCGAATAAATTTTTCGTTGATTAAAATCTTGAGATAATATATCGTTGCAATAGAGCGAGCTTAATCTCTCTCATGGGAAAGGTCGAGGGCTGAGCGCGCGTGATCCATCGATGAAAGCTCGAGCGAGCCAGAGCGAAAGGGGAGAAAAAAAAGGAAGAAATAAGGCGGATGTTAGGCTAATGAAGACAATGATGGATCTATCTAGACCCGCAGACTATATCATAATATTATCGCACGGCCTGCGATAAATATAATGTGAGTGACGTTTGTTTGCACGCGCCTCCATGACACTTTGATCATAACGCAGCAGCTTTGATGGCGAAGTGTGTGGATATTACCGCATGCTTTTGAACGTTATCGGACTCGACGTGCGAATAATATCGAAAAATGTTAATTTTTGAGAGATGAGAATTTTCATTTTTCTTTTTTTTTTCAAAAAAAAATTGTAATTACAGAGAAAGTAATAGATGAAGAATGATGAGCGAATGAAAAAAAAGGTGTTATTCAAAGATAACATAAAATGCAAATTCATAGTCAGTTGTAAATGTTTCATCGCGTATCTAGCGTTGTTTAATTTTTTTGTTCGCGTGATTGCTAAATTTTTTAAGCAAATTTTCAAGTAAGAATACCCTTAGAGACATATTGATATACATCAATATTTAAGTTGAAATTAAATATTCATTCATACCTTGACAAGAGTTGAGAAAAATTTTGTGGTGGGGGCAATTCATACTTCTCTGTGAAGCGAGACTTTTGGGAGAGAACATTTTTATGCGAAACTTTTTTCATTTCCCAATGCGTGGTATTCGTTGACAACTCAAAATTACGTTCCAAGACTTTTCAACTAATCTACTTAAAAATATTATTACTTTTCTTATTTACAAGGCACAAAGTACACATAGAAATGCCACGCAATAGAATTAATAAGATGAAATAAAATGTACATTTGTAAACCATTTTTGCTTAAAATATTTCGTTTTTATGAAAAACTTGAGACTTTCGTCACTTCCACCTAGTTTTTCAAAGTCTGCGATATTAAAAAACAACTAATAAATACATTTTATCTTAATTTCAATTGTCAAGCTTTTTAGGCATAGCCAAAGAAACTAGAAAATTCAGTGTGTAAGCAAAATCCTCGACCTGAGCCGCTGTCAGACGTTTCAGTACAATCTGACACGACACGGCCGAGCATTGATACATCGGTCCAGTATTTTTGTCAATTTATTGCTCACTTAACTATTCTTTTTAATTGCGAATGTATAATATCGTTTTCATTTAATTTGACTTATTCGCAGCAATTTGAAGAGGAGTCGATCCTTCCACATTGGCTAAATTCGGATAAAAGCTAATTCTGAACAGTCCTATTTGTATTTTCAAAAATGGTTTCTCACTTGCGAGAGCGACTTTTTGGTAGTACGCCACCTAGCGTCCGGTCGCGAAATTTAAAGTAGAGAGGTAAGTAAGCGAAAAATTAATAAGTTTAGAGTTTGCATCGAGTTCTTTATTTACTCTGGCGCTCTAGGCCTTGCTCTCGGGGATCTTTTCGGTGAAAATGTATTTTATTCTGAATAAATTTATCTAGAGAACAGGAATAGGAGCTTTTTTCAATCTTCTTCGGACTAGATTGAATAATAAACGCTCAAATAAATTTCAGTTTTTTTGTACGAATTACGGAGGTTTATGAGCTACAGTGTTGATCAAAATTAAATAGATTCAACTGTAGGGAATTTTATTTCTGTATTTATTAATTTAAAAATTGCGTGAAACGAAGTAAGCGTCTCATGACTGACCTTGACTTTTTTGTCGATCTCCGGCTTCTCGAGCAGAGTCATCTGCGGCGTCGGCAATCCCATTTGGGTCGGCGGGGGTGGCGCTTCCGGGTCAAAATTAACGTGGGGCAAGGGCGGCCGGCCCGTGCCGGACAGAAAGCCCCGCGCCCTCTTCGCGCCTGCCATTCTCAGAAGTGCAGTTTGCTGCTGCGTGGGCGCCTGTTGTGACAACTGCAGCTGTTGCTGCTGCTGTTGTGGTTGCTGCTGTTGCTGTTGTTGTTGTTGTTGTTGTTGCTGGGTTTGTGGAGCAACAATGGACTGCAATTGCTGCTGGCCTTGCGACGCCGTACCATCGGGGTTGCTCTCGTCGCCGCTTCCACCGCCACCAGGGGAGTTTGTACCCCTGGCAAACTGATCCTCATCTTCGCCCGCGCTCTCTAATGATCAAGCAGAAAAAATGGTTATTACTCATTTATTCATTATATGTCTTGAAATTTTGATGGGTAGAAATTCATTTAAATGTATTTAAAAATAGTATTTCAGAGTTGACCTAATTTTTACACGCGCAGTTTCTACGTGAAAACTACCTTGGTAAAAATGCTCAATATCAATAATGGTATTATATGACAATGTAAAATACTTTAAAATACATGCTTGTTTTTACATATTTTTTTGTTACAATTATGTTACAAATATTTTTCGCCTTTTATATGACCTGAAAATGGCAATTTAAGTGTTTGAAATTATTTAAACTAATTTTCAATCACTAATACGATAATACTATTTTAACCTTTCACAAGTGGCAAAGTAAAAGTAAATGTATAAGTTGCCAAATATCTGTCTATGCGAACAGTTTGTTCTATTTTATTCGTTCTGTGATTATACTATAAGGTTGCTTTATTACTTATTCTCAGATTTGCTGTTTTCTATTTTATAGAAGCCATTTAATTTCTTAGTCTTAATAACGTATCAGGAAAAAATTTTCATGCACCACAAAAATTTTACATCTACAGCTGAGTCAGGTTATCGAAGGGGACAATGATCGAATTTCCCGGCTACATCAAAATTCAGATGCTGTAAAAGCGCCTTAAATTGATACGGGTTAAAGTGCAAGTTTCCCTGATTCTGGCTGCAGGGTTCAATTTTCACACTTTTAGTACGCTTTAGCATCGGCGAAAGCCTCAATTTTCAGCATAGCATAATATAGCCTTGCGACTGCGCGAAAGCTTGAAATCATCATACAGCCAAAAGATTTACTTTCAAGGATGTGAGCGCGGTGTAAAGCCATAAACGAATCGCTAGTAGATTAAGATTTGATTCGAAATTCGCAACGAGACGAGTAATGGCAGAAATTTGGAAAATTATTATTTGCCATTCGGCGTACGCGGGAGTGGCGCGCGAATATCACAATTTAATAGGATTATATACACGTTCGAATTACAACGCGCGAGGAGCTTAAACATTTGCATACTTGCCGAGGCGTATACACTGCACACACATACACAGGCCGTTATTACAAATAAAGCACACTGCTGCGCGTGTTACTATTTGTTTCAAGCATTGCTGCTATCCGCACACACGTATTTCACCAGCCAATAAAATAATATCAAATTCGATTGCGCATCAAATACAAGCGCGTGCGTTCCGCGCGCGCGTCAAATAAACTGAACGGTTTTGCCGGGGTCGAGAGTAAAAATCAATAAGGCGCTTTATAACCGTATGATCGTTGCGAGCAGCGCGCACCACGCTTCGAAAATTTAATATGTAAATTTCATCATCGCGTCATTCGATGCCCTCCTATATAAAATGATATAATCGGCGAGCGCGTCTGAACGAGCGAGATTTTTGTAAATAATTTTCGCGATGGAGCGCGTGTAGCGGATTCGAGCAACACAAAGTTTTCTAAACATCGACGAGTACCCGCGCGTGAATTAATAATAAATTCGCAGTTCGATCGATGCGCATATGCCAAAAACCACAAAATACACACGTGTACACACTCTGCGTCGGACACACCGTATTATACGAGCGAGCATGATGTTTTTTCATCTATCATGGATTTTCATCGTTCGTTCGTATTTTTTTCCCGAACGCGGATGTACTCAGTAGATATCAATAACAGATATTACATTTATAGTTTGTCGATGCTATATACGCGTACACATACATATATCGACGTTATAAGGTAACATAAATCGTACGTATATACCAAATACGTAGCGTATATATACAAAAACATGTCATTCGATACGTTATAAAGCAATCGAAACAGAACAGAATCGAATACATCACAGCTCGAGCGCATGCTCGAGTGTAAAAAAAAAATGAAAAGAGATGAACTCTAAGCAGCGCAAAGAGAAATCCACGTGCTGTTTTATTTATTTATTTTTTTCATAGTCGTATCAAAATAAATTGAATAAAGATACAGTATAGAGAGGTGGTGCAATACGATATCATATGCAGCGAGAGGCTCAATTCACTTCGATTTGATATTACTGTACTACGGTATACCTGTCGTATACGGCGCGAAATAAAATCGAGTAACAGAAAAAAAAGAGTAAGCTCGAAATCCTAATTTGTCATTTCGAAGCGAGAGTGAAAGTTATAAATTGCTGTAAAATTATCCTGTATACGCGGCAGCGAGTTTCGAGTACACACACGCCGAATAATAGCAATTTATTCGTAAAGATAAATCGAATGAAGCGCGCACAAAGCGATACACACGAAATTGTTATGGAACGAAAGATTGATGTATACCTTTGCAAGAGGTTTGCACACGTTTAGTGTGTGTGTGTGCACCTGTTGCTTATGTGATTCCGAGGTATTAATCATGAATGAGCGAACTCGCTGTCAAATTTACGATTCGGGAGTTGGTGGTATTTTTTAGCTCTATCTCCTTTTTAATCATGAGGGGACTTTTCAATTAAACAATTTCTTTTCGTTCGTCGTAAAACACACAGTCAAGAATCTATCGATCCCATCTAAATTGACCAATAATACATTCTTCACGCCTGCGGGGCGTACATCGAGCCGAGATTTTGCCATGGCAATGCTTATAACCTTCTGACCCTTTCTCGTTAGTGCGCGAGTCGCGCGAGCTTAGCGTGCCTCGGTCGATTTGTAAAAGTTTTTATTCTCCGTGCATGTATATACGTATATCGCTGCCGGCGTGCATGCTCCAAGTGAAAGAGAGAGCGCCTAGCTCGCTGCAGTCCAAAATTAAGGCTGTTCCAGTTATACGTCCAACTCGATTTGCATGCGCGCGTTTGTATAAGTTGCTATACACATTCGTGCATACGTCGTGCTTGCGAGTGAAAAAGAGAGCTTGCGACCGAGGCAGCTGCGTCGTCGGAATTCCGAAACGCTTCTCACTCTAGGAGGTGGTGTAGGACTATACGCCGCCACCGGTGTACTGCACGTTTCGCGCGTGCTGCTGCGTGATAAGATGTGCGCAGGCCGGTGACAATGCAGATTTTTGCCCATCTGATTACAATCCGAGCTCGAGGCGTGCAAGCAGCTCTTTTTTACCTCTCTCGGTTTCAATTAAAAGTTGCCCGCGTTTACCACATGGTTTTGAGGGGAAAAAATAAAGCGTAGTCAACTTCTGAACTAAACGTACGGTGGTCAGCGGCCAAGGCGTAGACGCACAGACGCGTAAGTAGTACAAGAGCGATATTAGTCAGACATATGGTACACACTGGCTGCAAAACGTTTTTTTCATACGCTTTTGATTCAAGTTCGTTATGTGCATACGTGTGCGTGCTTACGCGCTTCCAGCTTCGTATATTAACGTTTGTTTTATGTCTTTGTAAAATCAACGTCGTGCGCGTCGAGCGTTGAAATTTCCGAGTCATGCGCGCGCGAGAGAGCGTTTACATTAAAAATTGCTCGTATTTACGAATTCATGTCGAAAGTAGTTTCGTATAAAAACAATAATATGTGTCTGAGCGTGTGCGTGAGTATGTACGCGGTCGACATTCAGTTTGAGCGACAACCCGCGTACTGTGTGCCGAGTTTCGATGAGATCACATAAACGGAAAATTATAACGCTCTCGGGCTGCACATATAAAAGCGAGAGAAAGAGTTGACTGACGCGTTGAGTGAAAGGGAGAGAGAGCGAGGAAAATTGAGCGTAGGTAATCAAGTGGGATATATTAGAAGCAATAAAACAATTGAGCGCGCGACGCACAGACGGAAAACGCGCGAGCGCAAGTGATACCAATAATCGTGTCAAGTTGCTAAGCAATTAAACGTTGGTGCAGAGAGAGAGAATGCCAGCAGGCCGACCCCCTGCGTCGTTTTTTTTCTCTTTATTTCCTAGTGCAAAATTGTGTGCACCAGTCTATGAAAGCTGCGCGAATGCGCTTTGAATGCAAGTGCACCGAGCCGTCGTATAAATAAATGAAAAGTGCGGGAAGCAAAAACAAATGTACGAGACGAGGAATGATATAGAGAACCCACAACAGTGGAGTCATCCAATCAATACGAACTCGAGTTTAAAATTGTAAGCTCAGTGAGGTTTATTTTCTTTTTCTTTTTTTTTTTTTAATAAATGTATCAAGTCGTTATTATGCATTCAGGTTTTGACGAGGACGATGAGTAAAATTTAATTTAACGTTTCGAAGGACGCCTACTCGAGAGAAGCAAAAAAACAGATGAAAATTGCGCGTCACGTAAGAGATAAGTCGGAAAAGAGGAAAAACAAAACGTAAATTCGGTGATCACTCAGAAAAAAAGGATACAGCCGGGTGACAAAAATGAATTGACCAACTATATACCCCACACAGACGGTTAGCTTGTATCACGCAAAGCAGTGTAAAAACTTCGAGCTTTACGACGGTATTAAGTGACACAGGAATGTATGCGAGTGTTTGTATCCAATGAATCGCCAGATCAATCCCCCGTGTGAGAAAGTTGCCCGTGCCCTCTCAGGAAAAAAACAATGTAATAACTTTGATAGGCGTAATCCGTAACCAGATTCGAACTTTACCGGTGTGAAACTAACTCCATCGGCTTCCCGCTGAGATTTCAACTTTTCTATTTCTTTTATCGTAGGAAAAAATGATTTGAATTCAGCACCATTTCTTCTGATTTGCAATGCTAATTTTATTACGTATGCGTTTATCGCCCTGAAAAATTCGTGCAACATATAAAATCGAGCGAGCAATTACTCGGCGATACGAAATATATTCGTTTTTGAGGTGGTGTCGCAGCCTCGTTTTTTTCCGATCGAGTACTGAGAATGTATAATTGCATAACATTTGTTCTCCACCAGTTTTCATTAAAAAGGGTCTATGGAGTCCTCTGTATTTTTGTCGTGAACGGCTGTGCCACATTTCAGTGAAAAACGGGTGTAAAACCTTTTGATCCTGTTTACCAGGAAAACTACTGGATGAAGTCGTTTTTCGAAAATCAGTTTAGAAAAAGTTATGCAAAA